ATTAACTCACCATCATCGAAGTTATACACCAGGCTACGCACAAATGACCACCCAAATCCACAACTACATCAACGCTGATTTCGTAGCTCCCGAGACTGGCAAATTCCATCCCGTCGAAAATCCAGCGAATGGAGATACGATTGGTCAAGTGGGTGTGTCAAGCGCCAAGGATGTCGATGACGCCGTCAAGGCTGCTGAAGCAGCTTTCCCAGCCTGGTCCAAACTCACTGTCAAGGCTCGTGCTGCCATCATGATGAAGTTTCACGCCCTAATCAAGGAACATGCGGACGAATTGGCCGATCTAATCGTATTGGAGAATGGCAAGAACAAGACTGAAGCTCTCGCCGATGGTAGGTACCCAACCAATCAATGGAAACGAATAAGATTGGATTCCAATCCAATATGAAGTCATGTCCATGTTCTGATTCACGTACTCACAATAAATTCCTCTCCAATCCTGCTATACGACTCACCATCATGAAAGTTGCCAAGGGAAATGAAACGGTCGAATATGCCTGTTCCCTCCCACAATTGGTTCAAGGAACTTCGCTCAAAGTTTCGGGGCAAGTAACTTGTGTTGATCGTAGAGATCCATTGGGTGTGGTTGCCAGTATTGTTCCATTCAACTTTCCTTTGATGGTTCCCATGTGGACGGTCCCCATTGCGCTCGTCATGGGAAATACCGTCGTCCTCAAGCCGTCGGAAAAGGTTCCTCTTACCATGAACCGAGTAGCCAAACTATTTGAAGAAGCGGGATTCCCAAAAGGTGTCTTTAATATGGTTCAAGGAATGCGAGAATCCGTTGAAGCATTGATTGATCACCCATCCGTCAAGGCGGTCACCTTTGTCGGTTCCAGTCCAGTTGCCAAAATTGTCTCGGACCGGTGCCGGGCCTTGCAGAAACGTTGTACCGCTCTAGGTGGTGCCAAGAATCACCTGGTTGCTTTGCCTGATTGCGAAATGGAGGGGGCTGCCTCCGACATTTGCGTCAGTTTTGCGGGATGCGCCGGTCAACGGTGCATGGCGGCGTCCGTTTTGTTGTTGGATGGTGAACAAGATGGCTTGTTGAATTCACTCATTGAGAAGGCTTCCAAGATTGAGCCGGGAAGTGGACCTGGACAAATGGGACCCGTCATTGATGGAATTTCACTTCAGAAAATTCATTCCTATATCGAGGCGGCCGAAACGGCGGGTGCCAAAATCTTGTTAGATGGTCGCAGCTGGAAGGAGAATGGGGCTAACTGGATTGGGCCCACCATCATTTTGCACAATTCCAAGGACGACAAGACCATGAAGGAAGAGGTGTTTGGTCCTGTTCTATCCATCTATGTTGTTTCCAGTTGGGAAGAAGCCCTTGAAATTGAAAATGCCAACCCATTTGGAAACGCAGCTGCCATTTACACTACCAATGGAGGAAATGCAGAATGGTTCACTTCCAAGTTCCGTGCTAGTATGTTGGGTATCAACGTTGGTATTCCAGTTCCTCGTGAACCATTTTCCTTTGGTGGTTTGTACGGAACTAAGAGCAAGTATGGAGACATGGATATCACTGGAGATGGTGCCGTTGAATTCTTTTCCAATCGCATCAAGGTCACAAGCAAGTGGCCTGTTCAACGAAGTACTAGTACCAAGAGATCGCACACAGAAATGGCCGGAGTCAAGGATGCCGCCAACTTTGCCGGTCAAATGTAAAACTATTGCTTTCGTTGCTACCTACCCACCTACCCACTCAAAAGAGGTGCAGATAAAAATACCAATATACCAATCTATCGCTATCAAGGCAGCTCACGATTCTACCATTCATTTTTGTGCATCTAAAGGACTAACTACTAAATAGTTTCGCTATGTAAATAAAACGCTTGTACGTTTCTGGGCACGACATATGAACAAAAAAAAATACAATTTTAATTTGGCAACCAATTGATGATTCATTCCTGACTGTTTCATACAGTTCTTGCATATATAGCTTGTTACTCATGAATAATGAAGATTGTTTCGCTGCTGTAGTCTATTCTATTGTGCCTGTCAAGTCAACCTTCGATATGTACACTCTCTTGTTGACGATGTTTTAAACCAGCGTCTCGAACGCTAATACTGCACTGACAACTCCAATTTGAAAAAGTAGTCCCCCGTCGAAAAGTGTGGCTTCCCTTGCCTCCTCTTCCTTTTTGACTATACTCTCCTCTAAATGTTCTGGCTCGAAAGTGAGTGAACGACCAGTAATCTCATCAGTCTCATCAGTCTCATCACTGACATCGTCCTCATCCTCCATAGGTTGCTTCTTTGGCGTGCAGAACGAGAAAAGATGAGAAATGGGAGTCTTCGGCTTGGGCGGAAGCACATCTAGAGACTCCATAGTGGATACATCAGATGTTTCAGTAGTAGCGTTTGTTGACTTGATCACCATTGTTATCGTAGTGGTAGTATTCTGTGCGACTTCTGAAAGTTGTGGTTGAAATGGAAGGATGAAGGTTGAATGTGGAAACTTTTGAGTATCTTCCGTCCACAGACACACTGATCGCCAAACAGTTCTCGCGCGTTTTTTAAAGTGTGGTACAGTTCTACATACGAATGGGAATTTTCATGGGACGGAGACGGATCAAGGACAGCTGCAGAACAAAAGGAGTCGCTGATTGAAAAATTCGGAAAATTGACTCCCTGGAGTGAAATTATCAAAAATGTATAATACTGATCGAACAAAGATAATTCAGAAAGTCGAGTTTTACAATTCTTTTTTATTCAATTACAAATAACTTAAGGCTACCTAGCAGTCTACAGCCTCAAAGCTTTGTTGATCATGCACATGTCTTCGTCGGAATCTTCGTCCTTAACAATGCAGAACTGCTTGAATCCTTCCAGACACCAGTTGCTTTCAGATAGTCGTATTAGCACCGTGACGATGCAACCAACAGTGGCAAAAGCAATGATGGTCGCAAGCATGAAGATTAGAATGCTTGCTTTCCCTGATTTCTTCACGTATCCATCAATATACTTCTTTCCAATTAAGGCACCAAAGAAACAAGTGCTGAAGAATGTAACTGCATATTGCCATGGAACCATTCCAGCTGTGACGAATAGCACTGCGACACTACTTGATGTCAACACAACCATTGTAGCGGTTGTAGCACTTGATACTCGTGGGTGAATTCCCATCACCAACATAAGCGGACCCAATACCATACCACCACCAATACCGATTAGACCGGCAACAATACCAGCGATGAAAGTGAAGAAGGCGTAGAACCTAGTCTTTTCAAAGTCCCAAAGCACATCTTGCGGATGGAATGGATAGTTCACTCTTTTCTTTTCCGCAGTCTGCTTTGTCAATCTCCAGCCAAAGAGGCATGAAATCCCCATAGTCCAGAGGAATTGAATTCCAATCAGGACGCCATACCATGGCGATGCGCAGGTAATTCCAATAACGGAATCAACCCCCTTTCCTCCTTTGAGGAAGGTCAATGCAATCAAACCAAACCACAGAACAATCAATCCAATGATTTTCTCTCCGGGGAGCTGACGTGCATCCTTCAGCAGAAGCTTCTCGCGAGTGGCTTCCATCTCTGCCCCATCGCTGTCTCCAACAGCAAGCTCGTCAACGGTCTCGCTCTCTTCATGGTGTTCTTCGTCAGCTTGGTCTGTCTCGCCGGCCGATTTAACGTCGTTCGTGTCTTCTGGGCCTTCTGGAGCATCGGACTCGGCAGCGGCGGCGGCAGCTGCGGCTTCTCGCTTTGCAGTTTCTTTTGCGCGTGTGTCGAAGAATTTCTTGTATGTCTTGTAAGCAGTGAATCCGAGAATGATTGCTGCCAAGGTCAAGTAGAGCCACTAAATACGTATAGAAGAACTTTGTTAGAATGAATCATTCTGTTCCTCACTCTGTGATAGAAACAAGTGGTGACTTACATTTGGCAATAGCTTTTGCACGATGACTCCAAGCACAGCACCTGCCATCTCCATTGGCGCAAGGAAGAGTGCCATGTCAAAGTCAATCAATGGCCGGCTGAAGTACTTGACCTTGTCGGTATCGGGTGGTGCATCCATTTCACAAGACTCGATTTTGGTACCACCTTGCTCACTAGGGCGGTATTCGCACTTCACAGTGAATGGATGGTTGTCTCGAATGTTTAGAAGAAGCCCACCTAGACTTGCTCCAAAAATACTTGCTTGACTCAGACCACTGGAAGGCTTTGGCATAAAGTTCAAAAGGAGGATACCAACTGGGACGTAGATACCTCCTCCACCTACACCACATGCTGTGGCGATGCCTGCGGCACAAAACCAGAGGATTAGTCCAGCAACATCACGCCAGAGATAGTCTTCAGACGGGTTATCTTTGCCATTGAGTAGTTTACGGTCGAAGCAAGTTTCAGTGATTGCGTCAGTGCTCAAGAATCCGTCACACTCAAGACAATCCTTGACCAAGATTGTTGAATTACAAGTGGTTGAGGGACACTTGTAAAGATTGGTTGTGGCACATTGGTCATCTGCTGACAACACAGATTGTAGTTGCAGTGCAACCAGGACGAAGGCGAATAGTTGGAAGAGCTTCATGATTTGGAAACGATGCTTGAGGAAGTTTCGTACTTGTTGCAGCTTCAACTTTGTGTCCTTTCGGAAATTATGAGCTTTGCTTCTATGTTTTTGTGACATCTACAGAACTTCCGATGCGATGTTTGGTTTCTCCCGAAGGCTGACAATAGAGCCTTTTTCCGGGCAAGTCGTTTGAACAAGGACTAAGTATGCTCTTAAATTCTGGGATTTTCCGACAATCCAATTTTCCTTTTCTCCGACAGTCAATGCGCGACTGCATTACAACAAGACCACAAAAGAAGACCACAAAAGAAGCAGCTAACAATAAAACCTATGCTTAATAGCAACATCGTTGCATTACAGCCGTAGAAAAAGAGATCGAATACATAGGTAGTAGTATACAACAATCCTATCGCCTTCTTGCCGCTAGGTAGCCGGATTCTCCTATGAATTTTTCCTTGCCAATACAGTTGACCTTAATGGGAAGTTGGTGAACATTCAACCCTGTACAGCTTATGGGGCTTGATCATGGCACTCTCCTTCTGGCTATCTTATTGTATTTCCTTAGGATATTGACTTATTATTTTATGAGTCATCGACAGGCACCAGTGGTTTAGTGGTAAAATCCAACGTTGCCATCGTTGGGCCCCGAGTTCGATTCTCGGCTGGTGCATCTTTTGGTCTGTTACTGAGTGCACGCTTCTCTTTTCCCTGACGAACCAGTACAACACTCGAAAACTTTTGAGGTAGTGATGGGCTACGTTGTTTTGGTTCGTTACTGTACACTTTTCCCTTGCCCAACCTACTGTAGAACTTTTGATTTGGCAACGGCGGCTACATATCAGGTGACTATTAGTAACCGGATACAATGGTCACTCTTCTTGTAACGTTACAGTTAGTACCCGGATACAATGGTCACTCTTCTTGTAACGTTACAGCATTATTACAGACCGTCTCTGAATTGCTCTGGCAATTAGAGCCACTTCATTGCCGTATTTTGGGTCATCACAAAGGACGGGGATCTTACTTCTTGTAAAGCTTCCTCCGGTCCTTTCTTTGGTATACCGTATTGTTAAACTTATTACACCCTCCGCTTGATTTGCTAGCATGCGTGTACTAGGATGCTGTCCTCCATAATGTCACAGTTTCTTCAACCAGAGCCAGGTTGTACTAAAGGATAGATAGATCCCCCCTGCTTTCTTCACAGCATTTTGACCTTTCAAAGGTATCGACAAACGGGTACACGTAGACTAGGTTCGATAAATCGTAACTTGTTGGTTTTGCTGCTCAAGATACAGCTCTGCAGCTTTTTCTGCTTGGCATAGGGATCTTCGGCAAAACATCCGTTAAGTGTCGGGTCGGCAGTTTTCTCAAGCATGTATTTTAAGACGTCTGTATGTCCACGTTGTGCAACCACAGAGACTGGAGTCAGATCAAACCACTCGTACTCTGGTAAATCCACTGGCCAAATAGTCAGCTTCCGCCCACCAGTGAGCATGGTTAATAAGACTTGCCCGTTCATCTGATACTTCGATCTTTTCTACAAGAGCCCCGATGCCTTTCAAATCTTGTAGAGCTGACCATGATATTCAGGAGAAGCAACTTCTTGTAACGTGTGGTATCCGAACCCACCTCCTGCCCTATCCATATGTTGCATAGTCTCCCAGCACCATAGTCCCCATACTCACTGTAGTACTCTGAGGCGAATGGGTCCATATTGGTCTCACTGTGTTCTTCGTGGCGCAATAAGCTATCAGGCAACAAGAAGAAACCCCCAATTTTTTTTAAATCAGTGTAAATCCAAATTTTTCGGATTCAAATCAGTTCGGGATTCAATGAGTCCCATTCTTCGCCACATGACGTGTTTTGATCTTTCTACCAACCGTCAAGAAAAAGACAACCGGTATTCTCCCATAACATTGTTGCCATGGCAAATCGATGCCGAAAGTTCACACTTGTCCTCCTGACGATATTGGTCAACAATACAGTAGGATCACAGTTTGGTCATCATTCTTCGGTCCAAGCAAATCTCCCAAGGAGTCGCCTTTGCAACACATCAGCACAACACAAAAATGATGCATACCACCTAAATGAGTCTATCATCCGATATCGAGCTGGAGCGGTAAATATAAGGCCTCGGAAAGATGATTCAGTGACAGAAATGGCATCAATAGAGAAGCGAGGTTTGGCTGTGGTACAGCTGTCATCCCTGCTATCAATATTATCCACAACACTTGTGGCATTCACTCCAGCTGCTGCTTTGGTGCAAAAGTTAGGCGACGCCAAGGCCACATCACTGCTATCCATTCTAGCTGCAAGCTCGGCCATTATTGAAATTTTGTTTAGTCCTGCAGTTGGAAGATTAATGGATGACTTTGGGCGGAAACGACCTTTGCTGACTGTCTTGGTTGCGATTGCGATGAGTCAATTGACCGTAGTTCTGTCCAACGAGTCGACTTGGAGCCTGTGTGTGGGCAAGTTTGCTGGCACACTGGGTATAGGGTTCTTCTTTCAAACCATAGGTCAAGCTATTTTGACTGATGTAACGGGTCGGGGTAACAGCCCCGAACGGCTGAGCTCTGCGCTTGGAATGCAAGCGGCTCTCATAAGCATTGGGTTCCTCGTGGGTGCCCTTTCTGCTGGAAAGCTCCAAGCGACCTTCGGTGTGACTACGTCCTATGGGATTGCATCCATATTAGCCTTTGCAAATGCAATCCTAGTGGCCTTGGTCATGCCAGAAACATTGGAGGCGTCAGCCACCAAACGCCAGGTCAGACAGAGGAAATCTATTCTGGGCTCATTATTGAGCTGCATTGATATATTGATCAAACGCCAAAATGGAATACCTGTCTTGGCCGCAACTTTCGCTTTGCAGTCCCTGCCTCAGTTCATGGGTGATTTCTTTCAAATATTCTGCAAAGCAGAATGGAACCTTGACACCGCTGCATTCTCTCAATTTGTTGCCATGTTTGGAGTGTTGGGCCTTGTCTCAAATATATCGGGATCTCTGCTCGTGCGCCGACTTGGCATCCGAAGGTTTACAATCTTGACGACTCTGCTTGCAATCGTCCCAAGCTTTTGTGTAAGTGTATGGGGGTTCCAAGGGCTTCTGGCAGGTTATGCATTTGGATTCCTCGGTTTGGCACAAAACTTGGGCATCATGTCGGCTCTAGCCTCGGAAGGCAAGAAACAGAACATTCCAATTGGAGAAATTACTGGAGAAAGGGCATCACTCATGGGTTTGGTGAAGATTTTAGGACCAATACTGTATAGTACATTATACGTCCAAGGCAAGCGACTCTGGGGTTTGTCGAATTTGCCATTCATATTCAACACTGTCCTTGGAATTGCGGTGTTCGCTCTCAGCTATTACCACGTAAAGTAGTCAATTGACTTTACTTGAAGCCTTACATCACAATACTTGGAACTGTACCGATAGCTACCGGTACCATGTACCCTTATCATGCATGCAGTCCCTACTCATACTGTACCTACGCACTCTCTTTTAGAACACAACACGATTCAATCGACTGCAACACCTCACTTTGGCTGTCCGTTCTCATCTTACAGTCTATGAGATCGATGCAACGAATCAAGTCATATTCTTATAGCTGTCTCCTTTGTGTACTTCTAGTTTTTGCTTTGAATGTCTTTGGTTTATCCATGAATTGGCAGGCATCAAATCAAAACGCAAAATCAATGGATTGGAAAACGTTGAATCCTGGAACGTTTGCACAAGTTATAAATGATGATGGTCGACAAATAGCAAAAGATGACAAGTACATGAATGCAGTCCAAGAGATTTGGCAGAGTGCCCAACCTCACACCGTTCCTACCGAAATATCTTCATTTGTTTACCAAGGTGAAGAAGAAGCAGGGGACGAACGGACTCAGCTCTATGGGCATGTTGCTCGGCGAAAGCTGGTCTCAAAAGAGGGCAAAAGTCGTTCCATTCCAGGAGTGTTACTGTTCCATACGGGTGCGGGGGCACAAGATGTCTTCCTCTTTCAAAGAGCTGCACTCATTTTACAATCCATTGATTGTGTAGTCTTTATCTGTGACATCCTATCAGATGAGCAGGGTTGGGGATGGGGCTCTAATCGAAGTCGGTATGTTGCTGAGAAAGATGCGTTGATGGAAGAAAACGCAAAGTTATTGCAATCTCGAGTGGCAGCAGCTGTCAAATCACTGTGCAAGATAGGTTCACTCTATGGGGGCGACGATATTCAAGTAGATCCAAAACGGATCGCCGCCTTAGGATGGTGTTTTGGTGGCCATCCTATATTCGAGTTAGGCATGACTTCTCCAGGGTTGGCCTCTTCTATTCCAGATCTTGATGTTAAGGCCATGGTTACGTTTCATGGAGTGTTTGGGCGAGATTGGAGCACCTACGTTCCTCCCAAAGAATGCGCTCCAAACACCAAGACAGATTCTACATCAAAACCGAAAATGCTAATATTCAATGGAGCCCTAGATCCCTTTGTTGCACAGAAAGACTTAGACGAGGTAAATACGTATCTCTCAAGGAATAATATTGAAGTACAAGTACATCAGCTCGAAGGTGCAAAACATGGTTTTTCAAACTCAGCACAATCATTTAATGAGAACCCAGCCTTCGAATACAATGAGAAAGGTGCAAATGAAAGTTGGGAAGCTACCATCGCAATGCTAAAGGGTACACTAGCATGACAGTTTTAGAATATATTACTTGATGGATCCACCTGGGCGAAGACCGTACACCGGTGGACTTGAAGGCTTTGCTTTATCAGGATTCGCATTCTTCTGTTCGATATCATCTGCATCCCAATCGTCGTCAGTATTGTCGACAATTCCTAGCTGCTTTCGGAGCTGGGATGGCGAAGCTCTCTCTGTAAAATCGGGATTTGGTGTTGGTTTGGTCGGATCAGAAGCACCGCCTAGCGAGGCTGGCAATCGTCCAAAGTAGCTCTTCCACTCGTTGACAATAGCCTTATGTTCCTCTTGAACAAAGCGGTAGTGTTCTTGTGACGTCATGCCTCGTGGGACGGGAGTCGTTCCCAAAATCATGGCCAAGATTTGATCTAGCAATGTGAAGGATTTATCACTCTGATGAACTGTATCTTTCTTGCTCTCTGCATCATGTTCCCGATCTTCTTCTGCTTGCCACTCTTCGTCTTGCAATGACTCCAAGAGTTCCTCAACGCTTTCAAGTTTCTTCGATAACGCTTCATAAATCGTCTGGGCAACCACCATTTCTCGTGAAGTATGCTGTTCCCTGAGTTCTCTTTCCATCTTCTTCAGCCTCTCTTTTTCTGCTTTATTCTTTGCCTCATTTCTCTCTTGCCGTTTTCGTTGTTTTGCACGTTGCCGTCTTTCTTGACGCCGCCGAAAGGGTGTTGTCAGCGTAAGTTTTTCTTTTTGATCACCAGCTGCCCCGTCTACTCCAGCCGTACCATCGATTGGAGCTTGTGGCATTGCCAATTTTTGCTCGCCCTCGATTGGTAGGTGTTGCGCTTCGGTACTTGGGGTGCCATCCACTCCTTGAAGCTCCTGTTGATGCGAGCTTGGAATTGGTCCATGATCTCCTTTTTCTTCTGATCTCTCGCTGAGACTAGCATCTGAGCCGTATCCGCCATCGGAACTTTCACCATAAGCGCTATAGTCAGAGTCATCGCTCATGCCATATGAGTCGTCATCTCCAAGTCCCCAATCATCGTCTGTTTCCTCAGTGGCATGATCGTTCATTCCAAGCAGAGCAAATTCCTCCGGAAACGACAGGTCAGAAGTCTTGGTAGCTTCTAATCGTTGTTGTTGTTGCATCTTTTCCTTCACGATGTTCTCTCTTTCCTTTGCAAAAGAATCATATTTGGCCTCGCTCATATCCACCTGGTGCACAATCGTTTCACGAATGGAATACAGCTGATCCAATTTGGCCTTTCGTTGTGTCGTGGTCCACTCCTCGTATCGTATTCTAGTCTCTTCCTGCTCTACAAGATTTGCAAGTTCTTGGCTCATTTTATATTTCCAGTCCAAATTTCGCGAGCAATGGGCCAAATAATTCCACAAATGTGGAATGAACTTTGTGGCATCATCACTTCGAAATGCAAACGGACAAGTTGAGGTCTGTTCCCATAGCTTTGATGTCAATTTGGATTCTCCATCCGAGGTGATGATTGTCGGTGGGTAGGAAATAATCATTGAACATCCTTCATTTCTCGGAGAATCATCCTCGTCAGTATATTGTTTGAATCGTGCAACACCATTCTGTAAGAGTTCAACGACTTGAAAGTCAAAGTCGGGAGGCGCCATTACCATAGTTTGTAGCGAACTATCTGTGGGTACATATTCACGTTCCTCCAGACGATACCGCGTCCACATTGCTTCCAGTAGTTGTGATTTGATGGATTCCATCTCTTCCAATTCAGGCTTGTATCCCACCAAATTCTCGACGTCAATGCTGATTTCAGGGAGTTTGGCATCCTGAATATTCTCACTGTTTTCCTGAACAGAATCATTCCCTTCTTCAGCATCTTTCTCTGGTTGTGATGTTTGCCTCAGCTTGGCTGCCATTTCAGGAGGAAGAGAAAGCTTCATACCAAAGGAAGAAGACATTCTTTCCGTCTGTCGCTGGTGGTTAGGTATTGAAACCTGGTCGAGTACAATCAAAAGTGAAGGGAGAATTGGGTATGGGTTATGGGTCGAAGTCCAGTCTGTCCTTTGACCTGCAGGTTTTTTCCATTTGCGAGATGCTGAGTCTTCATTTCTGCTGGCACCTACAGTACAGTACAGTACTTTCACAACGCACAACTACATTGATTCCAGAATGAACTGGAATGAGCTGCCTAACACAACAGTCATCGGTCCAAGAACGTGTGCAACATCCTACATTATATCAACATTTTTTGTTCTTATGAGATGAAGCAAGGACGAGAAAAGAATCAAGAAGAATATAAGTAACAACAACAACATCATTAAAAAATAGTCTGCAAAGGCAGTGGCCTCCCCGCTTACAGTATTGAAAAGTTACAGAGCACATTTTTGTCTTTCGTTTGACAAGAACTTGGTTGTTCTGCAGAGAGGTACAGTACAGTAGTCAGGCCACTTCCTCCACTCCTTAGTTGCGAGATGGCCTACCGGCCATCTAAGTAAATTTGAATTAAAAGTATTCGTGGCGAAGACCATATCCAACGGAAATTGAAATCTCATGAAATCAAAAAACACTTCTCTCGCCTCAAAAATGGTCGGTTTGTCAGGAACGACAAAATGTCCAAACAACGATGCATCTCTGCAGAGGACACAGTACCACATTATCTGTGCTCGTTTGCAACGGCAATAGAATTTGAAAAATGAAAAACTACAACAACTTGTCGCAAAACCATAAATTCAAGGCACTGTGTTCATTAGTAATATGACGCCGTTCGGAAGCACCACCGCAACTGCCACAGCCACAGCCACTACTGCTGCAACTGTAAGTAGAGCAGCCTCCATTGATCCCCGAGATTGCAAGGTTCCTCAAGTTGGAGACGATGGAATCAGCTCTTTGGCTTGGTCTCCAACTCATAACTATCTGGCGTCCAGCAACTGGGATGGTGGCGTCCGCCTTTGGCAAGTCGAAGAGCAAGCAACACAAGTTCGCGCCACCCCACAAGCCATGGTCCGACACGATGGCAAAGCTCCTGTTTTGGACTGCTGTTTCAGTGCCGATGGATCGACTCTCTTTTCAGGTGGAGGTGACAAGGCCGTTCGAATGTGGAAACTTGCATCACAGCCACCAAATTGGATCGGACAACAGATTGGAGTTCACGACTCTCCAGTCAAAGCAGTTCGCTACTTACCTTCTAGCAAATTGGTTGTCAGCGGGGGCTGGGATCGCAAATTAAAATTCTGGGATCAACGAAGCAGCAGTCCAGTGGGTTATTTGGACTTACCAGAAAGGGTCTATGGATTAGACGTCCGAGGCAATTTGATGGTCGCTATCACGGCCGATCGAAAGTTGTTTGTCTATGATGCCAGTGGACCACAACCTGTCCTTGAGTATGAGATGGATTCTCCTCTACGTTGTCAAAGCCGCTGCGTGGCCTGTCTCCCAAACCAAAAGGGTTTTGCAATTGGAGGTTTGGAAGGCCGTGTCTGTATCCGACATCGCAACAATGCCAAGGGATTCAGATTTCAATGTCATCGTCAAGGCAGTGATGTTTTCGCTGTAAATGCAATTGCGTTTGCCAATCGATACAGCACATTTGCGACATGTGGAGCCGATGGCGGCGTCAGCTTTTGGAACAAGGGTAAGTCCAAAGACATGGAAGCAATGTTGTTGTTGATAAAGATGCTACATGATCACTAACGTTGAATCGTGCTGCCGTTGAAGACCTCAAGCAAAAAGTCAAGGAGTTCAAACCAATCCAAAGATCCATTTCTTGCGCAACATTCAATACTCAAGGAAACCTCTTTGCATACTCAAGCAGCTACGATTGGAGTAAGGGATGTGGGCATTATGCTCAAGGATCGCCAAACGAGATCTATGTTCACTACACACCTGATAGTGAACTCAAGCCTCGGAAGTAGACGATCTGATGCGATTGATCGAATGTTGATACTTCTTGATACTGTTGGCGCCTATTTGCAGAACACACAACTACTACTATGGTTCCAGAATGAACTGGAATTAGCCGCCTAGCAACACCATTGCGATTCCATAGATGGAAATGACTCGGAATATAGATCAGAACAGTATGCGAGATAGATGCACAGCGTCAGATTGGATTCTACGCTCTAAGTGCAAGAACAAGAACGGAGTATGACAGAGGAATTTTTAACAAACTTCTTGGGTTTGCCAAGGCAAAACCATTGCACTCATACATTATATTACAAATCAAACATGACACTAAGAAATGTGTTTCTCTCGATGGACATACTTTTAGTCTTCCGGTAGTCTTCGAATGGTGCTAAACCTTCTTCCCGCTTGAGGACCACGTGTACCATTATGCACAGTACGCTGCGGATTATACATACCGAAGCATTGAACACTAATATTGTACTCATCAAAACAGCTTGGATTCAGGCTTACTTTCTATATACTATATAGACCTGAATAGTCACGTGCGGTATTTGATAAAGTTCAATTTAAAATTGTTCTCGTCATTTGGTCATTTGTTGTGATCCCTCATTGTTTTTCCGATCTGCCAATGAGCGTCATTATGGCATGATGCACACTATGAGAATGAATAGATGATGCGTTATTCTAATCCGATGGATGTAGTGGTGGTGATGATCTAGGAGTCTCCGGAGACTGCACTTTGCAAGACCACGGGAAATACCATGGATGGTGTCCCTTCCGATGAGATCCAATCATCCAGCCCACCGAAACGATGGATCGGGTCGCCCTCTGCGAACACTTCTCGAAACAGAACCTTTGGATTCAACAAGGATAGCAGAGAACTCTCTTCCGCTTCATCCGTGTTATTGGGTTACGACGGTGACATCAAGACATTTAGTTACGACTGTGAATTCAAAACACAAATTTATCAAGTCAAATTTACTTGACGAATAGATGAAGGAAACTGAATAAGCTCTAGTCTAGACCATTGATTATTATTATCTTTCCCCTCTCCTTTTTCTTACTGCTATCATTGAATTAGCGACTGCGAATATCCTCATGCATGTTTTTCATATACAGGGTAACTGCAGCACGTTTCCCTCTAAAAATCGCTGGACTTGTGTTTTCACGATGTTTGACTTGTCACAAGCTGGAGAAGCATTTTCTGATTGGCAGGCTTTCCGATCTTGTTTGAAATAGGCAAGGCTGGCTCCATATTTGGTGAGATTTGGTGGGAACTTTATTAGTGTTCAATGCTGCGGTATGTATTATCCGGAGGGGGATTTTAGTCTGTCCTTCATCGCGACTTCGAAGATGGATCCGCCAATTTTGTGGATTCAAAAATACTCCGTTGCGAGGATGCAGGTGTATGGTCCGAGAAGTCCAGAAGCTTTGCCTTCGTTTTTGAAAAATGGAAGCTGATGATAAGAAGCTCTACCACTTATCCATGTACTGTAGTGTTAACATTCAACACCATGCTGAAATCACCACCGAAACGAGAGAAGAATTCACGTCGCTCACTGAGCAAGCTGATGAAGCGTAAGCTGTCATTCAGAACGAAAGATAGAATAGATTCCGAAGAATTCGGAGGCACCAACATTTTTTTGTCAGGGAAGAAAAATAGACTCCCTAAAGGAATGCCAACGGAAATTGCTTTCAGACCTGGGTGTGAAGATCATGACGATGAAATTTCTTGTGAATCACAGCTCAGAGATCTTCCTGACTTGGTTTCAGCTGAAACACCAATCAAGAAAGAATCGCCTTCATCATCTGAAAGCAGTGGTTCGGAACCGCAGACGACTGATCGGTTTCAGTCTTTACCCGATGTGTTTCAGTCTCTTCCCAATCGATTTGAATCACTGCAGAACTATTTATTCGCTAATCGAAAGGGTTTGCTGGCTGTAGCTGTGGCCATATGTGTTTGCACTCAAGTTCCTGAGACAACCAAACTTCAACTTTCTGTGTTTGCAGCTGGCTTGTCCAGCACAATCGTGGAACAAAGCAAGACATTAGTCACAAATGAGCCACTCAAAACGATACGACAAAACATCAAGCCAGTTACTACTGAGAAGCTGCCAGCAGAGGACCTGGGCACTTTCACCGGTAAATTGAGTCGTAATGCATTGGAGGATATACCACATCGTACGTTGCAAGAGGTCGGCAATGCCGCCATTGATAACTTCAATAGTGGAGCACATCGAGAAAGCTATGGAAGCTATGACGTTGTTACAAGCCGAATACTCCGAGGAGTCATGCCAGAAAAGAACGGAAATGGAATTGCTGTTCAATCGAATAATGTTGAGGTGCAACAAGACGGTACAAACACCATTATCTTTCAAAACAAAGTTGTTGAACCAGAAGGCAGTAAGAACACGATTCTCCTCCAACCAAATGTCGAGGGTGCTTCAATACGATTGGATTCCAATGGCGATTTAAGAGCAGCGGCTCCAAGAGCGATCTTGAATGGTATGCCCGATCCGTTAGATACACCAAAGCAGGGTCAAGTTGTAGGGTGGGCAACACAACCGGCAGATGACGAATTGCCACCCGAATGTTACAACGTATTCAAAAAGTTCCTTAGAAATGACTGTAACCGCGCACCAGGAGAGACAGAATCGAGGGAACGGAATTGGATTGAGGCGCTCTCGACTGACGCCTGGATTCTCAATATGGATATTTAAAAAAAGAAAAGAATGGGAACCAGACACAATGCAAACAAATCGTGATGCCGCTTCTTGGCACTCAAGGAGCATGGAAAGCGCACATAGAAAACAAGAGAAGTTAATGAAAAGCTAGAGCAAAGAGGACCTTGTATCAAATAGCCAGATAGTCCTTCCCGTAAGGTATTGCCCAACAAAAAGTAGAATGAAACCCACAAAATTTTATTGCGACTCCTACGACTGGCCCACGTCAGTTTCTATGAATTCATAAAATATATCTTTCATTTTCTTCCATCAGAATAATAAGTCCCATGATGTTCTCACATTATATCTTCTGTTGTTGTTTCATTCTTTTGGGCGTCGACATGGCATCAGTTTCTAGCTTTCAATCGGGCCCTTTGGAAACGACCACAAGAAACCGCAGCCACGTTGGCAAAACATTGTTGACTCTTCGAGGTGGAGAGGACGATATCAAAACACAGCAAGAAGAAACCTTGATCAAGTTCTACACTTTGAAGGGTGGCACGTGCCCTTATGCCGCCCGAACTTGGATAACTCTCTTAGAGCTTGGGATACCATTTGAGACCATCGAAATCAGCAAAGAGGATAAAGATAATTGGTGAGGCAGAATGGATATCGCCATGTTGTTCTTGTGTTTTCTCGTATAAATATTATGCTCATTTTTTCTTCTTTTCTACAAGGTACCTTGATATCAACCCCCGAGGAAAAGTTCCTGCTCTTGTGAACACCAAAGATGGGTCCGTAGTGTATGAGTCTGCCATCTGCGATGAGTACCTGTCGGATCTCGCCCGTGATTTGGGAGGTGGGCCATCATTGATGCCAGACAATCCTTCAGAGCGAGCCTCTTTGAGACTCTTGAATGACCACGTTGATAACTCACTTTCACCAGCGCAGTTTACATTACTCATGAACAAGGATGAAGAGAAAGACAAAGAGCTTATCGAAAAGCTGGAAAAAGCACTCGGATTCTTGGAGGAATCACTCGACGCACACGGTGGGTCGTATTTGATGGGCAAAGATTTTAGCCTCGCCGATGTACATGTGCTCCCTTTCTTCTTAAGGATGACAATCACCCTCGACCATTACAAAGGATACAAACTGTCGAAGGAAAACTTCCCAAATTTGCTTCGGTGGTTCGACATTTGCTCCCAAAAGGAGTCCGTCAAACCATCAGCCAAATCGCGAGAAGAGATCATTGAAGTGTATGATCGTTTCATCAAGGCAGATTATGCTTTTGGTGGACTGAACAAAAACAAAAAATAAAGTAATTGATACGTTATGCGGCTAAACGAAATTATCCGACAATCTATTGTCGACCGTCAAACCCGATCATATCCCATCCAGCTACCTTCAAAAATGGATAGGTGCGATGCATTCGTGCAATGATCTGCAACTGCTGACGGACACTGACTGCTCCTCTTTCACCGGCTAATTCTGATAAATCTTCCGCTACACTTCGAATGACGGAAGCCGAGAACCTTCGTTGATCCCGCCACAAAATTGTTTTAAGAGTATGGATGTGAAGCATGAGCATGCCCAAATCGTCTGTGCTTAGAACTCTGTCTCCACCCAGATGGTCTGGGAGCAGCTTGGGGTCGCGATCCACTCGGTTAGCATTTGGTGCATATCCCCCAGCTTCATACAGCAACTGAGGAGGAGCATCTCGGATGTTTAGTAACCGCTCGATCTCCGTCAAGATGTGGAGAAAGTTACCGTATGTTTCTTCTCTTGTTTTGCCCAGTCTCAGGGTAGCGTAGAAGACGAATTGAAAAGCACGCTTGGTCAAGTACATCAGCAACACAAATGGAGTAACTGCTGCCATATTCAAGTTGAAGTTCGTCGATGCTCTCATGTCGTCCAAAGCAAGCAAAGCATTCATCATTTCCTGCAATTCATGGGTTAGAACAGTGAAAATTAGGCATTCAATGAATGAATTCAAAAGTCGACACCGATTGCCTCACCTTCTTGATGAACTGAGCCTCAATGAAACTCAATCGAATGACACTATTCAATTCGTAGATTGTCCTCATACTCGCCTCCTTTTGATTCTCGATGAGCGCCACGTCCATTGCCAATGCCTTTGCCGCCCGTTCTGCTTCTGGCATTTTGGGGTAGGCTTCGTCCAGCCAAGCTCGAATCATCTTTTGTAAATTTTCGATGACAATGTCCCGAGCTTTGTGGTCGCTAATGTTCTCTGCCCTCCCTGATGTCAGCTCGTTGTAGATTGCCCAAAGGGGAGATACAACATGCTCCTGGCAGAATTCCACAAGTTTCTCTGCTGCGTACTTCAAGTATCCCATTCCATATTGCTCGTCTCGTGTCTTGAACATGACATAGGCTATCGAGGGAATTGCCAAGGCTACAACGTACCAGCTCCTGCGAATCTTGGAATCTTCCTTGAGTTTGTCCAGCCGTCTGTTTCGTTGAATTTGCATGACACCCTCCATGACATCCAGCAATTCAGCTACTTCTTGCACCATCAATGGCAAGTCGGAAATTGTGACACGGTACTTGACAGCTTCTTCATTTGGCGCAGTGTCGTCTGCATCAGTTACTGGTGCATTTGAACCACCTGGCGCCACACTTTGAGGGGTCACCGTGGCCCACAACGGCAATTTCTTGTCGCCTATCGATTCATTGGTAACTGCTGTGGAATCGTCAACAAAATTGTGCACAGAGGCATAGGATAAAGATTGATCATCTCCTTGTGCCCAATTCTCCACAAAGGGCAAAGTCACCCGCCCATTGCACGCTCGATACAATTGGTGTCGGACCAACGACATCGCATCCACCGACCACTCGGCAAGTGCCGGATTGTCTGTGACAATTTGCCCATTGAAAGTATTGCGCACCGAGACATCCGTGTAGTAGATGGAACTAGGCCGTCGTTGGTGTGGCAATTTTCCAGCCTTTGACGCAGGTGTCTGTCGCGGCATATCACTAGCAGATGGCGGTGGAGGAAGGGGAAGTTCACTTAACTCGCTCGAGACGCGAGATATGCTGGACTTGATGCGGGGAGTTCTGGCTCCAAAACGACTTGTTTGATTATTGGTTTCGTCAGAATCATTTTCTGGAGCGGGCATCCTACCATCAAACCCAGTCACTGCCGCAAAGTCCCCACCATCTCCCAAGACTCCCCACTTGGCCACTCCTTGCTGCCATCCGGATCGCAACAAATGCTGCTGCAAGTCTCCAATAGTGACACACCGCCGAGCCAATACTGCTTGAATCTGAGACACCTTTTGACCGACCAGCTGATGTTGGTAACCTTCTTCCGCGAACCAAACTAAAATGTCACAAGGATGGCCGTGAGATTATACCGTTGACGAGCAATCACTCTTTCAATTTTGGTTGCTTACCAGTTGGTCCTGCTTCCAACCACGACAAAAATGGTCGTTCCCACCGATACGACCAATACCGCAATGCCGAATGCAATTCCACCGCTTCGTCCAACGCAATATCCCGAAACGCCCTCAGAGTTCCTTCTGCCAACTGAGAAGCCGTTTCTGAAGGCGTATTGCCTATTTGGGAAGCTTGACGGGCACTTGCAGCATTACCAGCATTCGAAAAATCGGTTCCATCCGTATGTTTTCGGACTTGAGGACTTCCAAAAAAGAAGCCAACTCCCATGGAAGAACTGGATTCCATCCACTTGGTCGTGTTGGCCATAGTCGGAGTTTCAAAGATGGGCCTACCAATAGTGGGAGAATTGACATTGTAATCTTCTTCGTCTTCGGGATCACTTTCACTCCGTGGTGACGACAGATAGTACCCTCCTTCCGACACATCTGGTGCCGTCACACTCAACAGAGTTCGAACGGCATCCATGGAGGAGGGCTTGTCAGCTCCTCGCAACCCACGGACCCTGGTATACGGATTTTGAAACATGTTCAAGAATGCTGGACTTGTAAGCAAGCTAGGATGCACTTTGTTGTTGGATGGGGTGAGGGGGAAATTGCCATTGTCATAAATGATCCGATCTTCACTGCCACTGTTGGAATACAAACTCATGGAAGACACATAGCCAGAGACTGCCGAATACGTATTCTCAGCAGCATTTTGTGCCAAATTCCAATATTTGGAAGTAGCGGATTGATCTTGATCGGCAGTACCTTGACCCAACTCGGGAAACTTGAGAATTTCGAAAGGTTTGGATTGATTACTCGTGTTTTCGAGCGGTTGTGAAGGATTGGAAGCAGAGCCCTGCTTGGGTGTCCTGCTGCTGTACCAATCCCAGCTCTTTTCCGCCGCTTCTTTGATTCTTTGTGTAACCATTGCTTATCCTATGGTGTGTGCTAGCGTTGCAACGATGATATCATCCTCCTCTTGAATCTTGACAGCAAATGATGAAGGAGATTTGAAAGTTCCGAAATCAACGTGTCATAGTACTCCTTTAGTCTCAAATGGGCAGGTGACACTTAATTCCGGTTCTATGATCTATCATTTATTGTTTATCATTGTATAGTAGCCGATGTAGAGCCAACAATGGTCGTTGCTGCCACGGACAAGCTTCCCACTAGGCTCGATATGGTAGCAAAAAGCAACGAGAGGCAGCAAATTTGGCCAATCCGGTCGCTCCTTTTCCGGGCCGCTACTTCTTGGAAAGTGATATCGTCACGTTGGAGCATGGCAATTATGTTTTGTGCAAACACTTGAGGTGCGAGTTTGTAAAAGATCTTGTCCAGAATCAAAGGAAAGATGAATCCAAAGAGTCCAGCAAGGCCAGGTTTGTCAAGGCTCGCAGAGACTTGTACCAATACCTCAATATCCTTTGCCCTTCGAGACGAAAATTCAGATACTGCATCGGCAATACTTGAAGCATCGTCTACGCAATCGCCGAAAATCTAATGAACCGTACATTCTCTATGAGAGGAAAGGCTCAAATATATAGTACAACAAACAACACAGCTTACGTACCCTGACATCTTCTAGAGCCGAATTACATCCAAGGCCAAAATATGGTTTCACAGTCTGTAAAGAAGGAAAAAGGTAAGCGATACTCGTCCATCTTTTCCATCAAGTTCCACAATAAGTGGTCCCACTCGACTTACCTTGGCGCTGTCTCCCAGAATGACACAATTCTTTCCATGATGCAACCGAGGTGTCACATATCGAAACATTGGCAATATGGACGACTTGGAACGAGCCGCCTTTTTCGACTCTATTGCAGTAATAAAGTCACTAAACTGAGGGATTTCTTGTTGTAAAAACTGGCGAAAGACTTGTGGATCCACTTGTTCCTCTGCCATTTCGTCATTGGCACGAAACAGTAGAATCCCCACGTAATCTCCCTCCAAATTGACGGGAAGCGCATCAAATATCACTCGACTATTTTCGGATCGCACTGCATAGTTTAGGTTTCGTTCCCAATCGGATGGTAATTGAAAATGAATGCTCTTGAAGACGCGTTGATTATTGTCCTCGAACCGCACAATGGAAATGGGGTCTTGTTTGTCCTTGTTCTTCTTGTCTTGTGCCTCGAAATATCGGACAAAGGTTCGAGCTGCACCGTCACATGCTACCACCAAATCGCTGTCTTTTATTTTTATCTTGTCTGTGTCCAAGTTGGACACTTGTATTCTCACATTCGAGTCATCGTCGTCGGTACTTGTCGTATCCATGATCGGCCTGACGTCATGTTCGTAGTGGAGATGAATGGAATCCGAATATTCTTCCTGCACATGCTGATGGAGGACACTGACAAGCTTATCGCGTGGTAGAACATAGGTCCCATATTTCTTGTCTGTCAGCATCTTTTTACTGGGTTCGCTGCTACCGGGTTGATAGTCTACGCGGCCGGGCACCAGTATGCAGGCATCTCGTACCACCTCCCAGGCCCCAAACTCCATCAAGGCTGTTATTCCTCGTTCTCCCAAACCAAGATTGTAAAAGGAGGACGACAGATCTTCCCAACTTTTATTGGAATAGGTAGGTGCTGGCCGCTTGTCATAGACATCAATCTTGCAGTTGCCATTCCACTTTTGTGAGAGACAAATGGCCGAGAGTAAACCGGCAGGTCCTGCTCCACAAACACTTGCTTCCATGGGAGTTGTTTTTTGGATTGTCATTGAAGCCACATGAACTACTATCAATTGCAGCTTGAGGAAACATCGAAGAACTGACACCATGGTTTCTATTAGACTAGTTTTGGATATATTTTATGCTTTTGAGGAAGGAAGGTCGGGTTCTCGTCGTCAATAATCGATCCAGTTGTTGATGCGAAGGCAACTTTGTAGGTACTTTGATAGCCTCGAATGACGACGTTCTGTCGAACGTCAGACGCTAATCCAGTGGCACGACCAAACGATCCAATGACTGAAGGTGCACGGCGGCCGTTGGCCATTTCGAGTCCGATACGACATATTTGTTAATATAGCGAACGAAAAGTCGTTGGCTTGTCCGATAAAACATATAGTTCCAATGAAAACCAGTAACATTATTACTGGCCGAGCAGGCGCGAATCGTACATAAGCTGTATCGTGTGTGCCAGCGCTCCGGGCAGGGAAAATGCGAGAAAGTTGAAAATCATTGCTGACCTCGTTCAGGAGGAAAACGAGGAAGTTCTGCGATACAAGACAATAGTCACATACACACACTGCAACACCTCTAGGGAAGCCTCGATTTCTACACAGAGTGGAGTCGACAGCACCAATTTTAGCACGAGAGGAACGTTGCTGCAGCAAACAACCACCAAAAACAACTCCTACAATTGCCATCACGTTTTGGCGCACTCGGAACTTTCCATTCATTTTCGTGGAAGAATTGACATCAACGAGACTCCTTCTTGTGTTGTACTTTTGAGTTGCGCAATTCCCAATAGGGTCCGGTCTTGACGACGCTTACGTTGACAAACCCGCTACAACTCCTTGCCGCTATTATACGATAAACGATACGGTAGTATTAATAATACAACACAAACAACACAAACAACACAAGCAACACAAGCAACACACACGTCAAACACAACAAAACATCAAACAACAATGAAGTTATTTCGATCGCCATCGACGAAACAGGCTGCCGCGGACTCGTCATCGTCGTCTGCGCAATCGCAATCAAATAGTCAAAAGAGTCCAAGACGTAGGAACTTTCGCTTTCTACGATCTGTAGATCAAAAGCGACGGGAGAGTGTTTCCACACAAAAGAGGGCTCGAGCACACGCCAAAGAACTGGCCATGGCGTACAACCTTGGACCAGCGAGCGACACACCCAATTCGACAACCTCTTCGAATGTCAATCTTTTGAGTCGGGCAGACGTTGCTACGCCATCTCCGAGAGCGCAGCAAGATGACTTTTTTGATCCCTTTGGAAATGGAGCTCCACAGCAGCAGCAGCAGCAGCAACACAATAGCGATCCGTTTGCCAATGCATCTGTCGAAGAAGACTTGTTTGCAATCCACAGGCCACCTGAAATCAAATCGTCCTTGGACCAACATTTTGCCGAAGGACCGAACGATTTTAGATCCAAGGAACCAACTGCTTCGACTATTGATTCTTTTGATCATTCCAGTATTGGCTCTGACTTGGACCTATTTGCCAACAGCAACAATAACAATAGCAATGGGAAACCTGCCAAACTAGATGATTTCATGGGGCGACAACAGCAGCGGGGACGCAATGTGGTGGCCAATCCAGGTGGGATCAATGCCATTGCACGTCGGAAAATGCGCAGTCAATCCCACAAGCGACAAGTCAGTGATTCCAATACCTCGGTCGCATCCAACACGTCACAAGAGGAACAACATCACCACCAACAACAATATTCGTCACCTCCAGCTTCGCCACGAGGTATCCAAAGAGCAGCTATACAAAATCGGAAAGCATCCTATGGTGGAAAGCATGGAATGTCTTCTGGGGGATCTGTAGCGGGTGGATCAGTGGCTGGTTCCGTCATGACCACTACTACCTTTCAATCCCAATCTTCCTTCATGTCCAGCGGCTCTGTCGCCGAAGGAGACCCCAATTTGTGGGATTCCAATCGGGATGGTGGATTCACCTTTGATGCCTTTGGATTAGATGAATCGCAAGTACAACAAGATGTCGATAATGCGGTCCAAGAATTGGTCACGCAAGGACACAGAGGATTTTCATTCTTTCAAAATGATGGTGCTGGTAGCGACAACGACTCGGAATTTCAAGCTGGGCCATGGGATTCGCCCAATACGTCACGAATGTCCATTGCCAGTGTTTCCAGCGACACGGACGGCTTTGATGACGGATTCCGAACACAACCACAACATGGTGGTGGCAGACCTCGTTCTCCAACACCGCCCATGAGAGGGCAGACTCCGCCACGATGGGAAAAGAATAGGAAGGGGAGCAATACGCGAGGAGCTGGATTTGCCGACTTTGACAATCCATGGAAGCACGACTCTTCCTTTGGTGGATCAGCCTCCAAACCACCTGCAGCAGGATCCGAGATTGGAGGATCTTCGTCCGTCTTTGGTGGAACCAAGTCGGAATTCATGCCATCCTCGTCTTCTCCCTTTCAAGCAGGCGGCAACTTTACAAGTTCTCTATTTGCGTCCAATGCATCGGATCAAGGGGGAAGTGGGCCTGGTTACTTGGGGAGACTGAAAACAAAACGACCCGATGGCGATACGGATGACGAAATGCAAGATGACTTGGCCAAGGAGTTTGCCCAAGAGTTTGTCAAGCGCATTTCCCCACGACACAATGTTGCCAGTCCCACCAGTGAGCGATCCTTTGGAGATTTCAGCGAACAGTCCAGTTATACGGAATATGACGATGATCATTCCGAATTTGACGAACAACAACAACAACATGATGTTCCTCCTACCACACGAGCGGCTCCAAAATCCAAGTTTGGAAATTTTCGGGATCGGTATGAATCCTCCAAGGTCGAAGTGGCAGCCCCGTCAACTCCAGGACAATCCTATCGAACGCTTGCGGCGCAAAAGGAACAGCAGGGGACTACCGATCAAGGCGGAAAACCATCGTATGGTTCCTTGCGATCCTCCTACAATGCAGCCAAAGCCACTACGTCAGGAGCTTCGGAGGAAAAGAAGGAGGACGAGGATGGCGCATCATCGGCTGCGGGAACATCCAAACGAGGAACTCTAAAAGCCAAGTGGCAAAAATTTGAAAACAAGTCACGACCACCAGTGACAACAACTCGACCACCAGTGGATGATGATGAAGTATCGGTGCGAGCGCTGTCTTCTGATACTCCAAGACATGCTGGGCGTTCGAGCCAAGGGTTTGGCCGCAAATCGGACATTAATAAGAGTGCATTCAGTCGTCTTCGGGAAGAGTCTTTTTCGCATTCGGAACCACCCACTCCATCTCTCCAAAATGTAACCTTGCGTCGAACGCCATCCAGGTCGAAGCTTGAGGACTTGATGGACGATGAGAGTGTCATGCAAAACGCAGCGACACCCTCTCCTTCTACTACTTCCAGACCAGTCTCTTATCGACAACAGTCCTCTGCGGATTCTGGACACAGCCGACCGACCACTCCGGTTGCCGGCGAGGATGAACCACCAGTGGAGCGAAAATTGACCTACCGAGAAAAAAGAGAATTGGAATTGAGAAAAGAGGCCGAACAACAAGCCAAATCACAACAAGTACAAAAGCAAGATACTCCAAAGAAGGATGTCGCAGCCATGATTCGCCGACGTATAGCAGCCAACAAGGCAAAGGCAGCCCAAGAGGCAAAGCAACAGAACAATGAAGTTGCCGACTTTCGAAGTCGACTCAAGCCAACGAAATCCAGCTCTCCCGAAAAGCCTGCCGAGGAATCTACTACTAGTACTACAGTCTCACCCGAAAAGGAAGCACAAGCACAAGCACAAATACCGGCTATACCGGAGCAAGCAGAACAAGACCTACCGCCGAGACCAAGCATTGGAAGTCCAAGCCCGTTGAATGAATTCATGCAACAAGGCAACAGTCAAAAGAAGGGCAGTTTACTGGATCACGAGACTGTGGTTTCATTGCAAGCTGAAAATGCAGATTTGGTTGCCAGACTAAAGGCTTTGGAACAAAAGCTGGCTGAACAGGATTCTCCAGCAGCAGATAAATCGGGAGCTCCATCTATTGATACGGACTCTGCACAAGATCAGCACAAAATGCTTGGCGGTATGCTTGCAAAGCGACTATCACCGACTGCCAAGGCATCCTCATCGAATGGTCCAGTCGATACCAAGAAGGTCCTTGGAAACATGCTGGCTGCTCGAGGTGCTCCGGCTTGTGAGTCGGATGGCCCACAAGATCCAAAGAAAATGCTGGGAGCCATGTTGGCAGGTAGAGCAGCGCCTGCTGCTAGCTCGGATGCTCCACAAGATCCAAAGAAAATGCTAGGGGCCATGTTAGCAGGTCGAGCAGCGCCTCATGGTGCTAGCTCGAGTGCTCCACAGGATCCAAAGAAAATGCTAGGGGCCATGTTGGCAGGTCGAGCAGCGCCACCAGGAGGAGATTCTGCCGCTCCACAGGATCCAAAGAAGATGTTGGGAGGTTTGCTTGCAAAACGCGCTGGTCTGCCACCGCCGCCAAAAGAAGGTGGAGCGGAAGCTGCTGATGCTCCCAGTGGGCGACCTGCATTGAAGAATGATCCAAAGTATGAAAAGTACTTTAAGATGATGAAGGTTGGTATGCCAAAGGAAATGGTCAAGCACGCGATGCAACGAGATGGGTTGGATCCTGACATTCTGGATGCGGATCCAAATCAACCAGCAGGCTTACCGCTGAAGGAAGACCCCAAATATCAAAAGTACTTTAAGATGTTGAAGATTGGTATCCCAATGGGCCAGGTGAAGCATTCTATTGAGCGCGATGGATTGAATCCCGACGTTATGGACCAGGATCACAACTTGCCAGCTTCCGCCGCTGAGAAGAAATTGAAGAAGAAGAAGATTCCGAAGATCAAGGACACCCATCGACGAGCAAGACTCCACTGGAACACTATGACCAAGGTCGTGCGTGGCTCAATCTGGGGGAAGATTCAAACGGATGACACATTATCATGCATTGACATTGACGAAGACGAATTTAAGGACCTGTTCCAGGCAGAAATTGGACAAAAGGACGAAACACCAAAGATGGACAAGGTTGCAAAGAAAGGACCCGCTGTTCGTGTCATTGATGCCAAACGTGCAAACAATGGTGGGATTATCTTGGCCCGTATCAAGATGAGTCATGACGAAATGGCAGAAGCTGTTGATCGAATGGACTCGTCGTCGTTTTCATCTAGCCAAATTGAGAGCATCATTGAATACCTGCCCACAAAGGACGAGCGCGATTCTTTGGAGCAATACATGATTGATGGTGGACAAGATGCAGCCGCAAAGTTCAACGGATTGTGTGAATGCGAAAAGTTCATGGTGTCAATGATGACTGTGAAACACGCCAAGAGAAAAATAAATGCCTTACTGTTCAAGCTACAGTTTGACAACTGTCTCGAATCGATTACTGTTGGTAAGTTTTGGTGGCGAGTAAATATCATCCAGTACTATTTTCGCTAACAAATATCGTTCCTTTTTGTGTTGCAGATGCGGACATGATTGACCACGCTTGCGAAGAATTGAAGAACTCCAGTCGACTTCGTCAACTTCTTGGAATTGTTTTGCAGTTTGGAAACCGACTGAACACTGCTGGTTCTGGTGAGAAAAACAAGGCAGGTGCATTTACTTTGGATTCCCTTCTGAAGTTAAATCAAGCCAAGGCGTTTGACAAGAAAACGACATTTTTGCACTATATCGTGTTGATTGTACAACGAAACAATGAGTTGCTATTGACTTTTGACGATGATATCCAGGGTGTTCTGAAGGCTGAGCGAGTATACTGGGACCAATGTGTCTCGGATCTGGAGGATGTTGAAAACCAACTTGAAAATGTTCGTAGAATCTCTCTCCACGAAGCGAAGAAAAAAGCAGGCCACCGAACTCCGAAGAAAAAGGATGACGACGACGACAGCATTATTGACGACAAGGCCATGTCACTTGAGGAAGAAGTTGCAGCTCTTCGTTCTACGCAAACTGGACTGTTCACACTCAGTGCAATCAAGCAAGTTTCCACTCTTCGGGACAAGGTCGATAAAACTGTGGTCAAGTTTGACAAGTTGCTTGAATACTTTGGTGAACACGAATCCGGCTCAAAGAAGCAGCCACACGAACTCTTTGCGATTTTCTCCAAGTTCGCTCGTGACTTCAAAAAAGCGCGGGAGGAAGTTGCGAGACAGCAGAAGAAGAAACAGCGTGAAGAAAGGAAGAAGCAGAAGGCAATGGGAAACAACCCCTCCAAACCAAACCATGTCGGAAATGACAACAGAAGTATTCCCCGAACACACCGTACCGAAAGCGTCTCTCAAGCTGCAGCCGCAGCCGCAGCCAACCGAACAACGGGTGAGAGGTCTTCGACAATTCCAGATGCGAAATCTTCGGCAAAGGCGAGCTTCAGGGACCAAGCACGTCACTCTCGATTGCGACAGGTACAAACCAATGTCACAAGTCACAACAGTGGAACATCATCACAGCCTCTTGCTTCCAACCGTAATACAGAGTCTGTTCCTTCCAATCGCCCCCCACCACTGGCACCATCTCCGTCGGACGAAGGGTACAATCCAGCAGGAACACCATCCGCAAAACCACCAATGTCTTCAACAACGACACCAACAGGATCACGTAACCTCATGCGAAATCGTCGACGCCTCATGGAAGAGAGAAAGAAACGGTCGACACCAACAGATACATCTTCTCCATGGCGTTCTCCTCAAACGGCATCTTAACTTTTCCCCTACTTTGTAATATTAGACTGCAACAATAACTATCATTCTGCGTTTCTTTACCTCTATCTTTTTAGCAGAATCATATGTGTTCATTTAATATTTACTCTCTCTAATAACCAATTAGCTTCTTTCCTTTTTCGTTGGTAAAGTCAAGTCCAGGCAAGTTCAAGGTTGGAGGCTACAACAACACGTTGAATGACACGGTGGAAATCAATAGTACGAAGAATATTGCGGACGTACCTTGTCGTCTCCTTTAGCAACTGTTCCTTGTCCAAAAGTCCCCCCTACAATTCCTTCAGGTTAGATTTCGCAATCGACGAGGCAACGCAGAAAAACTGCTATGAATTCGTCAAGAACTCACCAAGAATACCAACTTCACCTGAAGATGAACTGACGCTACCGGAAAGACCATCGTTTCTATCCTCTTGTTCACAGTACCCCTTGCAGTTTGCCAAACAATAATCAGGATCTTTCGGTGCAATCAATTTGCAGTTTTTCATGCAGTCCTTGAAGCAATCAGGCGCCGCCAACACAGGTAGAGGAGCTGCCATTGCCGAGAAAGCGGTGGCGAGTGCAGCGCGTCTTGAAAGAGACCGAGGTTCCGGAGTAGAGTAGGCACAAACCAAGGATCCAATTTCCAGAAGGAAGGGAGCAAGCAACAGGATCCATTTCATAGAAGTTAACCGACTCATGGTCTCTTGAATTTGAACACGTGGTTTCGATTGCTCCACTTTCCTCGTCATCCGATTTTTGTAACTCGTGAATCAATCAATTCGTGGACCAATGAGTGAGGAGTCGTCAGAAGTTTTAAAAAAATTGTCAATAGCTACACCTTGGTTCCGCGACCAGTACTTGTTATCTAGCTGCGGTACTTGGCAATGCTTGGCCAAAGCATTTTCTATATATGCAAGCAAAACTCTGCCACAGAACTTTCTTCCTTCTCGAAAATTGTATTAGCAACGGTCACATGCCCTTCGAACTGGACGATTGATACCATTCATTCGTATGCCAGCGAGAGACTTTAGCAACCACTCATCTCCAAATACCACCAGTTCAAAAATAAGACAATTGCAATCTCCAAACGGCAAAACCCGTTTCAATCAGTCATGCAGTGATTAAGTACTGTACATGCAGCTTTCCATCGGATGGATTGCTGCAGTTGAAAACTATACAAAAGGGTGGCAAAAAACCTCCCTAAATCGGCGATAATCTGTTGTATTCTTTCATCGTTTGGCATTATCATCTCCATCTCGTGGTCTTTTGATGTCGGTAGGACGGCCGTGCCTTGGTCGGTGGGAATCCAGTTCGTCCCTTGCATATCGCGGTTCTCTATCATCTCGTCGCCTTGAATGCCGATCATCATCCCTGCGATAATGGTCCCGATTCCGTGGACGCCCAACTTCGGAACGACGACGATCATCAAGCCTTGGCGGTCCCCTGTTATCGATGTAATGATCCTCAGCAGGACCATACGGATTCGGTTCATCCATGCGTCGATCTCGACGATCCCTACTGCCGTAATCGCGGTCTCTATCACCGTACCGTCTGGAATCACGGTCAGCAACCGCACGGTTTCTATCTTCAGATCGACGCCTTTCCCTGTCGCCATGCCGACGCCGATCATCTTCTGGGCGACGTCTCTCGTCAAGCATATGCCTTTCATCTACCAAAGGATCTTTGTTATCAGGTCGACGCCTGTCTTCCCCGAGACGATCTCTATCGTCGTGACGTCTTCTATCTTCTCCACGACGATCCAAGTCATCAAGTCGCCGTCTGTCGTCTAATGAACGATCACGATCCCTGACATCAAACCTCCGTCTGTCTCCCCTGCTTCGCTCTTTTTCGTTGTATCGCCCTCTATCATCAATTGGACGGTCCCTATCTTCCCGAGGACGTGCTCGATCCGGACCAGGGCCAGGGCCATAATGATCATCTTGTGGTGGTGGTGGTGGTGGCATACCATCCACCGGAGGTCTTCTCTCACGAGGCATTTCTCCTCTTTCCCTTCGACCCCGTTCCTCTCTATCAAACTCTCGATCATCATGCCGCGAGCGAGATCGTCGATTGCTGTCTCGATATCGCGGAGGTGATGGTTCTCTGTCGCCGGGAAATCTTCGTCTAGAATCCACGAGCCTTGGTGGTTCCCTGACATCTGGATGATAGCGATCACGTGGTGGGCCATCATGGTAATCAGCTAGAATTGGTGCAGCCCGGTCCATGGATGGACGTCGCCTCATTTCATCATCGCGAAATGGTGGTGGTGGGTGTCCATGGTCGTCTCTGCCGTGAACTCGTCCATGCCTCTCCCGCTCTACATCTCTTGACCTTGAACGGCGCCTAGACCCCTCTCTCGATCTTGAGCGGCGGCTCACCTGCTGATCAGCTGGAATTTGTGCAGCTCGGTCAATTGATGGACGTCGAGTCATTTCCTCATCGCGAACTGGTGGTGGTGGTGGAAGTGCATGGTCATCTCTTCTTTTGTCTCGTCCGTACCTCTCTCGTTCTCCATCTCTTGACTCTGAGCGACGCTTAGATCCCTCTCTAGACCCTGAACGACGTCTAGACTTCTTTGAATCAGGAGTCTCACGAGATTTCCTTGACGAATCATTGGACTCTCGTCGCCGCTCCTTTGATTTCTCTTTTCCGTCCCTTCCTTTTGTGCTAGGAGGAGAGGCTCCTTTCCCATTTTCTTCAACGCTGGGATCGACAATTCCCCACCACGAAAGTGGCCATTCTGGTTTTCCAGGAGGAAAATCTTCCGGGAAAATGGGGATCTTTGGCTGAACCACAATGTTCCCGTTCTGATCCGTATCGTACCAATCAAACTCACTTCTCTCCAACATGGATCCCGACAAATCAATAAGCGCACCGGCGCTCCCAGAAGACTTCTCCTTCAACGTATAATTGTCATTCTCAGACTCTGCCAAGCCAACACAGAGTTTGGATAGTGAATTCCAAACCATGGAGTCCAAGTCACGTGAAGGTCTTTTGGCAGGAGGCTGAGCTATGCTAGTAGCATTAGTAGAAGAAGTTACGTTTGTGTTCACAGAGCTTACAGGTAAAGAATGAGATACAACAGTTATATCCATGCCATTAGGACTGGTGGTAAGTGCGTTTGCTGGTTTACGGGGAGGTGCGTCATTTCGGGCAGATTTGGGTGCTTTGGCACTGGCTGTCGGCTGAGGTTTCGACGGGACGTTTGCTGGTGGTTTCATATCATAGGAAGCCAATAGAGAGGATTCGTCAGTCGATTTCGCAGCCTTTTTCGGTATGACCAACCCAGAGTCTCCGCCGTTGGTTTTTCGTTTGACGCCGCTCATTATTGGGTCCGGACCTAGTCAGCGGTCAGTGGCCACTGATCAGAACAACTCAACCAAACTTCCGCGTTGCTTCAAGAAAGAAACAAAAGATAGAGTTGGTCCTTCTTTTAAAGTTACAACGGCGCGCTTCCGTTCCCCTATGAGATGATTGACGTTCCCCTTTGAAGAAGTGCCTTTCGTAAGTCTCATGTGGTGTTGGTTTTACTTGTATTGATTTCACCACCACAAGCCAGCTCGTTTTTGGATGTTTTGAAAAAGTTGGCGTCGTGAACGCACAGGAATTGATAGGATGGAGGGGCGGACGAACAACGGAATTTGGAGTTTTCATTTTCAACTTGGGTCGGACGACTGTCAAACTGAACAAAAATAAGGTAGTCAAACTGGCCCAGAAAGTGGCTCGGAGGTACTGGTACTGTTTGCTTCCACTTTTAAGAGGAAACCAGAAGCCAAAACTCTCGACTTTAGAATCTTTGCTTGCGTTGGTGCCTCCGTAGCCGAATCTGTTGATGACATTGTCGATCCTTTCCCCTGCTTCTTGATGATGGCATCGAAAATATGATCACCTTTGCAGTCCATACCTTCAATTCCAGCAATGGTGTTGGAACAGTCAAATTGAGTGCACCTGTCTTCGATATTTCCCTCAGCGTTGATGAATCCATTGACCACTTGACAGCTGTTGCATTCGACTCCTTGCACGTTTATTGAGCAAGCGTCGCTGTCGCCATACGATGAGTAACAGACATCAATGGAATCCGGTTCATCATCATCATCAATGTAATAGCAAAAATGCGTATGCACATCCCCGTCTTCAGTTATTGTATTTGTAATTGTATTGTAGCCACAAAAGTCATTATCATCTCCCAGACAAAAGTTTTCCTCTGTAATGCAACCGAACGAACCCTGCATTGTGTCCAAATCAAAATTGCTGCAATCACAATTGTATCTATCAAAAGCGGGATTCTGTCTATCACAGACTGATGGTGATGGAAATAGCGTCGACGGATCCACAATTTTCTGGATTGACTCTTTTTGTTGCAACAATAACAAACCAAAGAGCACGTCGTCATGACCCCCTTCGCAATTTGTTCCAGCAATGTTGGCATCTGTGTTGGTACAATCAAAATCATGGCAATCTGTTTCTTGTGGCTGGCAGCTGTTGCACACTTCACCATTGACAAAAATGCCGCAGCTTTCTTTGTGGTCTGAAATTGAAAGAAATTGCGAATAACACACTTCCGAGTTGCTATTCTCGTCTACTCCATTGTCAAAGTGATAGCAGTGATCGGATCGAGCAGTCCCGTCCTCATAAATGGAATTGGTGATTACTTCCGAGCCACATAGATCATCTTCCAAACACAATTCGGTGTGAGATGTGCAAGAAAATGTTCCCTTTCGATTGTCGAAATCGAATTCACTGCAGTCGCAGTTTGCCTTGCTGGCATAGTCACTGCTGGGATCGCATGCGGATGGGGAAGGGAAGAGCAAATCATCATAATATCTTTGTCGCTTCTTTACCAGTTCAATGGTCGACGACAAATCTTGCAGTCCATATTCTTGGTATCCAAATCCCAGAATGCCAACGTCCACATCGATTGTCTCTGACGACGACGACGAATGCTCTGATGTTCTGGACGATTCTTCAATATGATGATTGTTCTTCAATGGCTGCACTTCTTTCACGGCAGAAGCATTCTTAAATATTGTTTTGATGTCGGAAGGAAGCGATTTCTTTGTAGGAAAGGAACGGTGGGTGCTTGTCCTCGTCGCACCGCCGACTGTCGGATCCGACGATGATGCGACAACAACCAACGTTGGTAAAGCCTGTGCCAAGAACGCTGCTGCTAGGGTCAATCTCATCTTCCCGTGTAGTTTTGTTTAGTCTATTGTATGCAATACAACTGTGGGTCGTGGATTATGTTGATCACTTGGAAAGGCTTTGACGCCAGTGAGCAGGTCGCCAAAGATTTGGCAAAACCTCCCACCATGGGGTGCGTTTTGGCGAATGAGGGTTGTTCACAAGAATGAAATTGATTTTTTTGAAAAGCACACGCACCAAACTCAAAAACTATGAACAAAATACGAGCATGGCCGAACCGCGTTTATCCAAACGGGATCTGGTACTACCGGTAGTATGGTACAAGCGTATCAGTGAAGACTTGAAAGATGAAGAAGCAAAATGGGAGTGGACTTGGAAGGTTAACAAGACATGGCAAAACAAGTCAATCAGTACAGTAGATAGAAGTAAAAGTAGCTAAATAGAGCCAAGATTACGGTTCAGTTTTTCGTAGAGCTTTGTGTTTCTTCTTTTTGTTTATTGTCCCAACCATGCTGCGAAGCGTTGGGTATCGTCCAAGACTAGGCTGTTTCCACTTCAATGGGAGTGCTGGGAGTTTTCGATTGGGGTGCTCTGATGCAAAGGCATCAAATATCGTTCGCAAGTTGTAGTACCTATCAAGGACAACAAGAGAAGTCTGTGAGGTTGGAGCGGAGTGCTACGAATGATGGCAAATGGTGAATCCCAATAAAGAACCACTCACCAGTACTCTGTCGATGATCGAACTTGTGCCAAGTCTTTTGGAAATTGCTGTATTGCCTTTTCCCATGGCTTCTTGTCGCCAGTAAAATGAATAAAGTCTCGATGGGGAGCTTTCTCGTTGAACAAGGGATAATGAATCGAGCTTCCGTAACAATTGTTTGCCTCTTGACCTGGTGGAAGGCATGTCTTGTTGCCAAAGACTTTCTTAGATTTGACGATTGTCTCTATTGATCCGTCTTGCCAATTCTCAATCTCTCGGAGAAAGATAATCGAAACATCTCCCCTGAAATAGCGTGTCCAATAGTACAAGAGCCCTTGGTCCGCAAAGTCTCCGTGGAATGTCCACACTTTCGAATGCCGTGGAGTCTGGCCTCCTTTCATAGGAATTCCTCTCCATTCTTGGTCCATGACAGCACCCCATCCAAGTGTCTTGTTCCACTCCACAGTTCCTTCCCTTGTCTCGATGATTTCCAATAACTCTTTGTAGTAGCTTTGGCCAGGCTCCAACAGAAAGAATCCTCCAGAAGCTGGCTCTGTGAATCCTGCAAGCACTACGTTAGGTTTCAAAACACCGCTCTCTGATAATTCCAAGAGATAATCGAGACTGCAAAGTGGCATGACATCAGAGTCCAGGTACAGAATCCGAGAATACTCTTCAAACTCCAATATCCGAAACTTTTCCAGCTGGGCATTGTAAAAGTTGTCTCGAATGGGAGGCGGCAGATAATGAATTCTAAGCTTGCGATTGGGATTGTTGGGTATTGTTGTCTGCAGCCATTGCAACTCAGATAGTGGCAATTCTGTAGCGTTGCTTGCTCTGGTGAATTGAATCATGACAATGATATCGGTCTTTCGATTGTTTGTGGAAGAGGTGTTTTGGTCAAGTAGGTTGGCGGCCACCAAAATGTTGTAGAAGTAGTTTCGGTAGGTTAGTGGTTTGTCCGGATCGCAACCAGCCACCAAAAAGGCATAGGCCCACTTTGCTCCTTTCCTTTCTTCGCTATCGGCAGGAAGCTTTGGACTTCCCAAAAATGGTTTCTTTTTGGAGGGCGAAGATGGTGATATTTCGTGTCGAAAGTGTTCAGCTTGCGTCTTCAACTGATTTCCTTTCAATTGGAGTCGTATGATAAGTAAATGAACCACCGCCAAGATGAGAGCGATCATCCACACAAACTGTCGAAACTTTCGTTTGGAGATATTGCTGGTCGTTCCACTGCTACTAATCATCATAATTGTGGCAGTTGTTGAGAGCTGTTAGCTCATTCCCTTTAAAATTAATCGTTTGACCATGTCGGTTTTGCATGTAGCAGTTTCAAGTTGTTTTGTTATGGCAGTCAAGAGTCGTCGAGAGTATCAGTTGTGAATACGAATGTGTTTGATTGTCTTCTGTCTCATATTGACATTACACCAGTACCTTGATCAGCTGGTGCGTGGTTGGATTACTCAAAACATACCAGGTTCCATGCCAGTTAAAGTACGAGTATAGCTGTAACTTGTTGTCTATCTCGTCACTGGATCAAAGTTTGAACTGCACAATTCTGGCTGAAACATGTAGTACTTTCCAAAGTTGGAATACTAAGTCCTACAGCATTATTGGTCTCTTGTGGTCTACAGTAGCAATATTTTGACAGGACAAATTCCCAGTGAGTTTGTTCCAACGTCTGCGCTCTATTCCAGCGCATAAATGGCATATCAATCCTACTGTAGTGCGCTTTTGTCACTGCAATGCGTGACCGAGTATGGACTACCAACGCGATGCTGGTATGGTCTCCAATAATGAATTGTCTAACTGGATCGATTCCACCTGATTGCTACTAACAGGTACATGTACAGATATGCAATCAGAGACGGCAACTAGAAACTTTACGCAGAAAACAGAGTTTTACAAACACTCTAAATGCAGATTTTGGTGATGTGGTTGGCTCTAAGCAATTCCACCCTTTACTCTACAATTCGATCCCTTGGATCATCACTTCGTCTGGCTGCAACAACGCCCAAGGGATCGACAAAGTCGTAGGTCTGCATTTTCAAGTATCACTTCTTCTCTTCTCTTCTCGTTGGTATATCAGAAATCAGTGGAGCGAAACGTAGTGGGGCTGGACAAAATTCATTCCGCAGAAAATCCTCCATTTTGGCAGATAGATCGGCATTACAATGATGATGGGCAGGTATTCCAAACACAATTTTATGGCTCTCTCAATTCATTTTCCTTGTTTATCTTGTTCTTCTTTCAATCGTTTCCTCTCCAATCGTTTTTGCCGCAAACGTTCCTTGTCTCTCTCGACACCCGCCCTCATCACTTGGCGATCAGAGGTTTGTGATACATGACTATACACCACAGCACTGGTTGCCATCAATACTGTCAGTCCCATGGTAACTGCAGGTCCTCCACGAGGTAAGTATTTTGTCACCATTTTCTTTTTAAGAGTTACGAGTTGCTGTCGTCCCTACACCAAGAGATACTTGGTAACGGTGGTCAAGATGTCGAATGAATGAATGAAGGAATGAAGGAAGAAATGCGAATTGTTGATGATGATGTGTCCGTGTGAACAGAGAAGTGGAAATAAACGTCAGACAGCCAGACCACATCTCAATGACTCTTACACCTCACCCACCACGTTCACGTACCAGGTACCTACCGTATCAAGCAAAGCATCGGTCATTTTCTTTATCCGGCCAACAGGCCAGCCTCTATGCTACAAGGATGCACAAAGATACAGTAACAACAATGCACCGATGACGAAAGACTCGCTATGGAGATGCTCATTTAATTTTTGAAATGTAGTTTATTCGAACATGAAAAACACAACTAAGTGACGTAAAATAAGAATGCAATTTGCATTTTTCACGACCGACCAAAAAGTAGGTTAATCGACTTTCTGAAAACAATCCATTGTCAGATTGATCCCCCATCTGACGATTAGGATTCAATCATCAATGTTCTGGATACTCAAGGGGGCACACTTTGCGTGGGTGCCGCCATCGTTTAGAATCGGAACGCAATCCCAATTTCTTCCGGCGGTATTTCAATTATTGCGAGCTCTTCTTGACTGCGCACTTTTCTTTCAGCCGCTTGAGGGCAGCGGCATTGGCTTCTTCTTTGGCCTTCTTTTCCTCTTCGCTCAGTTCAGGAGGGGAAATAGAGAGTTCAGTTTCGACGGTCTCTGCATCCCCGTCAATCTTTTCAGCTTCACCATCAGCAGGAGAGGCCTTCTTTGGACCAAAGGCGTAGAGGGCAAGACCGGCACTTGCTGCGGCAGCTACTGCTCCCAAAGCGGTAGCATACATTTTCTTTTCGGATTGGGTCAAAGAGGACATCTTGAATACTTGTTTGGTAGATAGATAGTGTAGAAGTTATTGACTCTTTCAATTTGGCGACGCGGAAAATTATAGAAGCAATGTGAGATTCATTCACTTCCATCGCAAAAAAGACTTCTTGTGACGTCAGATTGTCTCCACAGCAGGGCGCCAATTCGATCTGGCCAATCAAATTACAACGAGGTGAGAATCTTCCGAACGAACGGTGCTGGAAGTTGAAGTCGGCTTTTTAACGGTCCGAATTACCTCCACTTCTCTGCTCCTCCAAGAAAAATTCACAATTCACACCACCTCCCATAAAGACACACACACACACACACAACATCAATATAATCCGGTGACAGGCACCATTAAGATGATTTGGGGAGGACTTCGGCCTATTTTGTCTCATGTTATAATTGATTCTTGGACACTCTTTGGACTTGGATATGTGGTTGTGACGAAACCTTCCACTGGAAAAGCATTTTTGCTGGTTGTGATTGCGGCACTGTCGGTGTTCTTCACTGGCAGTTCTTTCACCAACCGATGGAGCATTACATTTCCAATGATCCCACTGTTGGCACTTCAACTAGTGATTCGACCCATTGTATATCGATCAGCACAAAAGAATGGACAAAACAGGAGTCTTTGTGGAACCTACATGGTTGGCTTACCGAGTATTCTCTTGGTCTTGATTGCTGCCGCTTTGGCGGTTCTGTTTCCAGCGATCGAATTGCCCTTGGCGTTTCCATCCAAATACAATGTGGGCGTTGTGGATGTCTTTTTGCCAGCAGATATAGTATATAAAACAGATGCACCGGGAGTCCATCAAGATGCCCGAAAGAAGACAGTCGATCACGTGACCGTAAGGATCCTGTACCCAACATTGGAGGAACCAAACGATCCTGTCTATCAGTTGAAACCAGAGACAGCAGAGCACTTTTGCTACGAGACCATGAAGTATGGGGCACCACCACCGTTGCGAAAATATGATTGGATGCTGCACAATTGGAGATTGGCCAAACTCCCTGCCACTCGAAATGCGCCCCCAACTATGAGCAATAACGAACAACCATTTCCGATTGTTGCCTTTTCTCACGGTCTCGGTGGAAATGCGGAAATTTATTCCTACCAGACTCTATCTTTGGCAGCTAGTGGACATGTTGTCGTAGTAGTCGAGCATACGGATGGATCTGGGCCAGTAGTTTCCCGTCAGGATGGTACTGTGCTTCTTCGGCAAACTCGAGTAGAAGAGGTAAGAGCAATTGATTGAACAGTCGCCGTCTTGTTTGTTGTGTCCTAATATGTCTGTTCAACCGAAAAGGATTGGCATAATGGTGATCTTGAAAACTATCGGAAAACCCGAAGAGCCATGGTGGAATTCCGTTCCCAAGAACTTTTGGCGGCAGTCAATGCAATGAAAGCGATCAACGAACAAAACATCCCTGCCCTAGAATCCCTTGGTATTGATTTTGTTGGGAAATTAAATGTTGACGAGATTCATTACATGGGACATTCCTTTGGTGCAGCCACCGCATTGTACGCTGGCCTGCAACAACGGCCAACTTCCATTTTGGCCCATGACCCCGTTTCTGGATGGCTTCCCGATCAAGTGCGGTATACGTTGTACGATTTGGCTCGAGTCGAGAGAGCGGCGGCAAACTATTCGTACTACTGGGTCGACGACGAAGAATTGGAAAAATCTGCGGAATACTTGGGTCCATCCATTCATGACATTCCGACGCTGATTCTCTTTAGCCACGAATGGCACTCGCAGGACTGGGAAGGGGCGCAGCTCTTAATGGACATGTCAGCAAGAAACCTGCTGGGTAATGGAAGCACCAAATTCCAGGTACAAGTGATTGACGGGGCCACACACAATGAATTCAGTGATACTTCCATGATGACTCCAACATGGTTGGCCCGAGCGACTGGATTGACAGGAGAACGCCCTCCAATGGATACCGCATGGGACGTTCGAAAAGCTACATGGGAATTTTTGAAAGACCTACGGGTCAAATAATCTAAAGTCGTAAGTTAGACTACTACTACTTCTACGCTCTCAAAAAGCTGGACGCTTCTAGCCAACCTTCTGTTCTTGGGCAGAAATCAGTAAAGGAACTGAAATCAGGTTCATCAAGAAACATGTTTCACGGATGGTGAAAGTTGTCATCAAGCCCTTGACACATTATTGCAGAGGCGAGCACGGCAGACTATGTTTTACGGATGGTGAAAGTTGTCGTCAAGCCCTTGACACATTATTGCAGAGGCGACCACAGACTCACTCTAGTTCGGCCTCGGGCCATCGTTTGGATGTCAGTTTCACATATTTGGCGCCTGTTCCAATAACACAAGGGAAAAAGAAAAGGAACGTTAGCAAAAGATGTTGTGACCAAAATGTCCCACAACACTGATATATAAATATATATGTGTTGTGAGAAAAGTGAAATAGCCAGCATGGATTTTCCTGTTGCGCAAATATGGAAGAAACCAATAATGTAGAAACTGCATTGGCCTCAAATGAGTTTTGCGCACGTGCTGCTGCTATTTCTTTTTCATTGGCATCATTGTTAACTCACCGATTTGTAGCCATGGCTGCCCATGAGTACGCTCGTAGTATTTGAGAACAAAGAGTCCATACACCTTTTAATTCACGTAATGACCACTTGTCGTTCCTTGTTGGTACCACTGTAGTTACTCCATTCACCTCCCGCGTTGGAGTAGTAGTCCATGGGGTAGTTTTTCTTGAAAGGGGTTTCGTCCAGACAAACAAATAACTCGTAGGGGTTGAGAACTGGACGCTTGGTACTCAAGTGGTGGCCCCAATCCACTGATAGACGAGGACAGGCGATTTGTACCCAGGCATCAATCTTGTTTTCCAACAGCGCAAGCTTGGCTGGAGTAATTTCCGACACAAGCATGATGAAATATCGTTTCCCCTTGGCCTTTAGCTTTGCTTGAATCTTGGACAAGATCGCTGGATTACCTTGACGTCCCAAGGTTCCCATCAGAATACCAAAGGTGTTTGCAGACTTGGCATGGGTAATGGCAGAGAACCGAATGTCCTTCATCTTTTCGTGTTCGTAGGACTCCACTGTCAGCTTCTTGGAATAGGGGTCGTAGCGGTAAAACTTGGAGATGTCAGGATTGGAAATCATGGTGGATTCCAAATGAAACCTTCCATCGGCTACAAACAAGACAATCGAGTCTGGTGCAGTGTCTTCGGCCAATACTGGTGAGGTACATCCCAAGACTTCCCCTGGACTCAATGGTTTGGCTTGCGGAATCGAAGTTTGGTAGCCCTTTTCTTCCAGCATCTTTTGTGCTTCCGTCAAAGAATGCCTGAATTGAATAGTTCCCAACAAGTAGACATGAGGCAACTTTCCTCCAGAAGCAGCAGATCCGGCAACAGTCAAATCGAGACAGTCGACCGCATGTGGGACATCAATGGTCAATTCCACAAAGACATACAAACAAGGAATGGCCGTGTGTTGAATGGGAACCAAACACGAATGGCCATAATGAACCAATAACTCGGCGCCCAATGCTTGAGCTCCCAAATCATCCACGCAGCAGGCACCATAGGTGACATCACCCAATATGGAAACCTGTTCCAAACAAGGTGCCAATCGTTGCAAGACATCGGAAAGAACAGTGGCATACAGAAGCAGTCCTTCTGGCATTTGCAGGGCAATATGTTTGGCATTAAGATTGATGATTCGCTGTAGCGTCTTTGGAATCTCAAAACTGTAGGCTTTTGGTAGATTCGATTCGTGCAAGGTTTTTTCGAGCAGCACAGGATCCACAGGAGGTGCTTTGGGAGTCTTGTTTCGGCGCCTCGTAATGCGGCGAGGGGCCTTTTTCACTTTCTTTACGTCATCCTTCTCCGCTTCTGTCGATGCATCTGTTGTTGCTGGGGCATCCGGCATGACCAACACTCACGGATATCTGCAAATGCATGGATTTGGCTTTTGGTTTTTTTTCTCGTCGTGGGGCTCTCTGTGGATTTGGTTTGGATTTGAGGCACGACGGACAGAAGTTCATCCGGGCGTCGGACGGACATGAGAAAAGGAATTTCGTTATATTTCCTGATTCCTGATTCCAAAACTTTGAAACTTCAACTGAAGATACCAAAAACGTGAACACATTTTGATAGGCTTTGGCTTCAACCTCGATTGTTGCTCCAAACTGCACGAGTATCTTTTGGTCAACATACTGTTACGTCTCTGTTCACGTCATACCGTTCAAAGTCAGGAAAAATCAAAAACAATTTGTAAAAAGATATTTTCCACAATGGACCTAGCCGCTACTACATTGCTCACAATATGCATGATCGTTCTTACTGTTTCTTCCAGAACGACTTTGGCATTTCAACCGTCGAGAGGAAACCAAAAAAACGCCAACCCATTTTACCGTCGGGAATCAACCAAACTAGAAGTCAATGGTTTCTGGGATGCCTTGCCGTTTGCTCCAAAGTACAAAGAGAAGCGAAGAGAAGAAGATCTTGTCCAAGCTACTGAGTATCTGGAACAGGTTTTGGAAGAGGCAAAAGCTTCCCTGGACGAAGCAAACTTGGCGTTGGCAGATGCTGATTCGGTACTATCTCGGCAAAAAGATGACGGCTCCGTTGTACTATCTAAAGATGATGGTGGGAACGATGATTGGTCGTGCATGACGGTACCCATGCTCAAACAATCACTAAAGGATAAAGGACTGAAAGTATCTGGGAAAAAAGTCGACTTGGTACGTCGTCTAGAAGCCTTTGAGTCGGAAATGCTGGACGACACAACAAGTGGGGATGATACCGAAGAAAGTTTTTTGGAAGCCGACGGTTCGGAAGAGATAGAGACAATGGAAAGTGACACCAAGCAATCTATCGAAGACTTTACAGTGGTTGGGGGACAGCCGAACTTGGATTTGGACTACTCCAGCATGACGGTACCCATGCTCAAACAAGCACTGAAGGATAGAGGACTGAAAGAATCTGGGGAAAAGGTCGACTTGGTCGGTCGTCTGGAAGCCTTTGAGTCGGAAATGCTGGCCGACACAACAAATGCTGATGATACCGAAGAAAGCGTTTTAGAAGTTGCGGAAGAAGCCGACGATTCGGAAGACCCAGTGACAATGGAGAGTGATATCAAACATTCGATTGAAGACTTTACAGTGGTTGAACAAGAACAGCCAGAGATGGACTATTCCAGCATGACTGTGACCCAACTTAAGGAAGAGCTCCGTGCATTGGAACTGCCAGTCGGTGGTAAGAAGGCTGACCTAATTGCTAGACTAGAGTCACATAATGGCGCTCCGTCCTCGCCGACTACAAAACAAGAAGATGAGCCAGAGCCTGCTGCTGTTGTTGTCGCTGTTGCAAACGATGACAGCGCAGTCCATGAATCACCACCAGATGTGGATTACTCGGGTCATACAGTCGCAAAGCTCAAGGTCGAGCTTCGAAAGAAAGGCCTCAAAGTCGGAGGAAAGAAAGAAGAGTTGATAGAACGGCTGCAAAGTGCATAGAAGAAAACCGAGCAAGAAATGACCACGATGGGTCAAGCCGATTGATTCGGTTTCATCCAAAGCACCAAACAAAGTTCTAATAGAAAAGTAAAGAGTATTACAAAAAGATTGGTCTTGATACCTGTAGGACATTCCATAAACAGAGTGGGAAAATACTACTCTTCTCTTGCTTCTGAAGCATTCGAAGGTGTCGAATTGAGATTCGTCTGACATGATATATGTGACAGCGCAGCGCAGCAACTGAAACACGCAGAGCGTTCTGAAATGGCATGTAGCATCGATTGCAAGAACCAATCGTAAAAACAAATCTCAACGTCCTTCAATTTTTGTGGACACAACAACAACAACACTTCGTTAGTTCGTACCTATCACCTAGCTGCCCTTGCACATACGTGATAACATGTATTCTCAATATCAGTCTTTCCAGCAACAAAATCCATCAACGACAGTGTATTCTTCGTCTCAGCCGGCTACCCATTCTCATTCCAATTATACTGCAACATCGTCTCATTACTCCGCAGGTGTGACCAATAATCCTCAAACTAGCAACACTGGAACTACAGCTCTGACTGTCAAACCAGTGGAATATTACACGACTTGCTACCATGGCTGGAACTCCCAAGCCACCAAATTAGAACAACAACTCCGCATGTTTCCAGTGAACAATCCGGAGGGCAAGAAGGAAACCCAAAGTCGACTCGACTGGGCGAAGTACTACGCAGATCGAAGTTCAAAGGCAGCCCATTTCTTTTACCAGAATCCTAACGCAACATCTGCCCCCTTTGATCTTCCTCCAGAACCACCGAAGAAGGCCTCTTCGGTTGCCTCAATGAGCCCAACCAAATCGAATCATGCTGTATCTCAAAGAAACCAAGCACAAGCAGATCCAAGGCGGAACACTATGAAAGATAGCACACATACTCCAGGAAGCTTGGAAAACTATGTGCGAACTTGTTTAAATCAATGTAAGACTCCTGAACAAAAGAAGATTGTGCAATCCAAAGTTGAAATCAAAATTGCAGAAGCCATCCAAAAGGGTGACATGCACTCTAGAGACTGGTCCAGAGAACCTGTGATTCCAATTCCTGGTTCGTCATCGTCGTCAAAGAAGAAGAAGAAGAAATCAAAAAAAGATCTCACCAGCGACTTGTCCAGCACTGGTAGTCACTACATGGTTTCTGGCGCCAGCAGTTCCGCTTCTGGTGGTCACTATGGACCATCATCGTCTCTCTCATCTCCTAACCCTTCGTTTTCATCGTATTATTACGGTGGTGCCTCCGAACCTTCTCTCTCTTCACAGAAACGAAAAAGCGAGGATTTCATTGGCTTTGCAAAGTTGAACAAAAAGCAAAAGAATGGTGGAAAAGAAATCAACGGTTTTACAACCTCGAGTAAGGATTTGGCTAGACGGGCCAACCGCTTTTCCGGAGCCGGTGGAATCCACGATGTTGCCAAGTCGAATCTACAGTCCATTCATGGCCATGATAAGTACATGGGAAAAGGTATGATTGGAGGATCCAATGTTGCCTTGGACGAAAATGATTTTGAACGCATGACAGTCAAGGGTACGTGTACAATAATGGAAAAAGAATACTTGAGGCTCACAGCTCCGCCACGCCCCGAGCTGGTGAGACCCGAAAAAATCTTGAAGAAGTATTTGAAGGTGCTCAAGAAGCATTACTCAAAACCTGATCACAAGGATTATCTTTGGTTTTGCAGTCAACTGAAAGCAATTCGACAAGACTGTACCGTTCAGCGAATTCAAAATGAGTTTGCTGTAGATGTGTACGAGACCCACGCTCGGATTGCTCTCCAAGAAGGTGATTTGAACGAATACAATCAATGTCAGACGCAACTCCAAGACCTCTACCGAGAAAACTCATCCATACCGAACCACGAAGAGTTCATCGCATACAAGCTATTGTACTACGTATTGTTGTCTTGCAATGATCAGTACGATGGTGGATCATCCGATATGCTCAAGATTATGCTGTCTCTGAACGAGGATCAACGTCAGCACCCTGCGATTGAGCATGCGCTTCAAGTTCGTGAATGCATGGCGCTTGGGAACTATCTCAAGTTCTTTCGCCTGCACGATCTGTCTCCAAACCTTGGAGACAAGCTTACTTCGCGAATTGTTCCAACAATGCGATTGCGTGGGTTGCGGCGAATGGCACAAGCTTATCGTCCGACGCTGGACGCTCGAATTTGTACAGAGCACCTCGGGTTCGACTCGTTGGAAGAAGGCAAGGATTGGTTGGTTCGGTGTGGATGCGTCTTGGATGGGCCCAAGATCTTGATGAAGGACAGTGTCATTCATGAACCGGGGGAAGACACAAAGAACTCACTTATTTGATTGGCTTGGTTGCTGATAATCTTGTTGCATACTATTGTGCGGTATCATTATCGATACGGGGAATCATCAGAACTGCATCGTCCTTTCATTTCTTCACACTTTACTTCCTTTTTTTATGACAAGGCCATCAGAAAAATAGTTCATAGTATAATCCAGCATAATATAGTGATGAGTTGTATTATGAAGGGTTGTTTCTATTTTTTTTTTAAAGTGGTGATATGAAGTTTATGAGGATCGCAGTGTGAATTTGGACGTTGGTTGGACCAGCTGTCCTACGAATTATGTATCCTGATGATTAGTTCCCCTCTCTCCCATTAGGATTTGTAATGCTAGGCTTTGCTTCGATATTGGGGTCAGCACCGGCATCAGGTTCGACTTCACCCTTGAGTTGTTCGATAAAGTATGGGTGCGTGCAGTAGTCTCGGTCAGCAGTTCCTTGTCCCAAGCAACCAGGAACCTGTTCGGTCCCCGTTCGCTGATAACACACAAGATCCCCAGCACAATCTCGATTCCTGTCGCAATCTCCTTGACACATTTTCAATGGGAATAGATTCTCGGGAAGTCCATCGTTGCCTACTGAAACAAGAAGATAAATGCCATCTGGTGGTGGTCCGATTGGTGCCGTTGTCGTGGGTGAGCGTATTGGCGCAGCTGTTGGCTTGCCTGTGGGTCTTCTCGTAGGTCTTCTTGTAGGTGTTCTCGTCGGTTCCCTACTTGTTGGCCTTCTCGTTGGTGCCGCTGTTGGTGTCCGAGTAGGTCTGCTTGTTGGCCTTCCGGTTGGTTTAGTGGTTGATGGCTTTCTCGTTGGTGCCGAGGTTGGCCTTCTGGTAGGAGTACCGGTTGGAGTAATACCTGTTGGAGCTTGTGTGCCTGTTGTATCAACTATCGTTCCAATAGTTCCTTGGCATTGAATGCAACACTCGGTACAGCATTCGCAAATCATTTCGTCACAGTCAGCAATCAGATTGGACAGGTGACACGTCTCAAAGGGCATGGTTCCAACGATTTCATTGTTTTGGATTGTCAGCTCCTTCAAGAAAGGCAAAGCCGCCACGGCAGTTGGTATCTCCCCAGAAATATTGTTCGACTGGAGATTGAGAGTCTCCAAGTCCAACATGCTGAAGAACTCGACCGGAATGCTTCCTTCCAATTCGTTGTCATTAGCCTTGAACTCTTTCAACGCTTCCAGATTACCAAGTTCAAGCGGGAGTCTTTGAGAAATTTGATTATGTTGCAATTCCAAAGATTCTGAAAGGTTGCCAAACATTGCAAATAATTGGTGAGATTGATTCATACAAAGAGCAAGTAGGAAATTGATTTCATTCATGTCACTTACCAAGCATAGTCAAACGTCCAAAGGTAGTAGGGATGGCCCCAGTGATCTTATTGGAAGTCACATGAAGGGTCTCCAAATGTTTCAAGTTCCCCAATTGAGTAGGCATGCTCCCTTCGATGCCGTTGTTGGGAAGGGAAATGTGCTTGAGCATGGTTAGAAATCCCATTTCGGTGGGCAAGCTGCCCTTGAGCTCCAGACCATCCAAGCTCAAAGTTTCAAGTCGGCCTTGTCCATCACAAATCGCCTCCTCATGACTGGTATACCACCAGCATTCGTTGGTAGTGGGAATCATCCATGGACTCTCATTGAATTGCCTTTGTCTTTGTCGGGCAATGGCTTGATCCCCATCACCACCAGTACCATTGCCGATTTGCCAAGTGTCTCCTTGCGTACTAAAGTAAAAAGTTGCAATGACCCATCGTTGCAACCTTCGATTGTCCGAATATCCCGCCAAAAATGGGTCATCGGCCAACCATTGCAATGCTCGGAATTGTGGTGACCCACGAACAATTCCTTCCTTCAACTTTGGATCCATGGAAACCGAAACCAGAGTGTTCAAAAGTTCTTCTTGGGCTGGCGTGAACAAGGCAGTAGGAGATGAAGTTGGAGGAGTCGTGGTTGGAGCATCAGTAGCGCTAATAGTCGGAGCTTCCGTGGTTCGATTCCAGTTGAAAGTGAGATCCTTCTCAATCTCCCAGCCTTCAGCGAGTGGGGTCAAGAAGTTGTCATCGTGATCTATTAGATCTACTTTGTCGTTGTGATCATTGCTGTTGTCGGTGTGAGATCGATCGAGTTCCATTTGCCGGCCCTGCTCAAATGCTAGAATGAGCACCACAATGGCAGACACCATGAGAAAGGTTCCCAGAAAGAACAAGAACCAAATGGTAGCCTTGACGCGAAAGGCTCGATTCTTGTACGACTCGACGGAAGGGCTGATAGTGCCCTTGTGCAGGAAATCCTTGTCTCCAATCGCCACACTGTCCAAGTTGAAGAACCAGGTGTTGGCGGAACGACCCGTGTCCAACTTGCTGACATTGTCGGTGTCGTCCACCGCACCCAAAGTGGAAATGGGATGAGGACGAAAAGGACTGTATTCCAAGCTCTTTCGATTGTTGCTGTTATTGGCATCACCATTGTCACCGCCATCGTAATGATAAATGATATCGTCCGACGATTGGTACTTATTCGGACTAGTCTTGTTGGAAGGAAACGATTGGTTAGGGCGTAGCTTTTTGCTTTTGGGATTTTCGTGGACGACATAATCCAGAGGCAATGTAATGAAATCATCATGACGACTTTCCTGCTTTTCTTGTTTACCATTGACATCCTCTTCAGTCAATCCCACTGGAGGGGAAAGGAATTTATGATGATTACCCGTCGTGACAGGAGTACACTGGGATGATTCCTGGTCGTCTTCCTCGTAGTCATGATGGACACTTTCATCATTGTAAATGTCTTCTTCATCGACATCATCCTCGCCACTCTCGTAAAACAACTTGCCAGAATGATCGTTCTGAAAGAGAATCTGTTCTCCGTCCAAGTTGTCAGGAGATTCGGTGCTTCCCAAGCACGAATTGTCTCCCAATTTGAATCCAATCTCATCAAAGTAAGCATCCGCATAGGATCGGTCGGAGGATGCCTTGCTGCTAGCTGATGAGACGCTTCTGATTATTCTCTTGATTCTATTAGGCATTGTGCTAGTTATGAATGTATTGCTTGATAAGCAATTATGATGCGTTCAAGAAACACGTTGTAGAGGATTGATGATGATGATGATGATGATGATGATTGATGATGATTCAAATTCTCGCAACAAAGTGTGCTAGAATGTATTTTATGAGGGACTTGGCTGTGGCTGCGAATGATTGAATGGATGGATGAAGGAAGGAAGGAAGGTTCAACGTTTGCTCTCAAAGTACAATAGAACAAGGTAAGAACCAATGCTGTTGGATGTCCTTCAACAAGTTTGGCCTTGGATGGAACGTTTTGCCACATTGCACGACAGTGGCGGGAAAGAGATGCGAAGCTCGCTTTTCCGTTTTTGAATTTGAATTTTCGCACGGGACAGTGCTTGTCCGTTGACCGCAGTGACAAAATGGATTCATTCGACTCGTCGGAGCCGTCCTTCCTTCCATCCAAACGGCAGGTTTCCAATGAAACAAAAAATCAAGAAAAAAAAAGGAGACGAAACCCGTGGTACATCAATCATCACTTTTTTGTTGCTGTTTGACACATGCATTGACCATGGTTCCTTGGCAAGCAAAAATACGGCAAAGTGACAAGAAAATTCATCATCACATGGCTACTACTTCGAATACAGCATCGTCAGCTTCGTGGGACAATGTGAATGGTCCCGATTCTCCACCAGTCGTGGGTGATTGCAACATTCATCAACCGCAACATCAGCATGTGGAGGAAGAAGACGAAGAGCGATGTCGAAATTGTGCCTCTACCAATCTTCTTACGGATTGGAAACAAGGAGATCGCGTTTGTACTGACTGTGGCGTTGTGGCGGAAGAGCGATTAAGAGATGATCGGCCTGAATGGAAGGATTTTAACGACGCCGAGGATTTGGTAAAAAAAGGATCCACTTCGGTAGCCAACAGCAGTGCTCGGTCTGGAATGGTGGCAGTCGACGAAAGCAAATACATTGGTGGACTTCAACCCACCACCTTGTCGAAGCTACCCTTTGGAGGAAGCACTTCGGGTGGCTATGGGTTGGCCAAGATACAACGAAGATTACGAACGACGAATCGACGATTGGACATGCTCATGGAAAAGCAACACAAGCATGAGTTGAAGGATGCCAAGATGGAACGGGAAATCCATACCAAAAAGGACAAGCATAATCATCCCGAGCGATATCATGTACTTCACGAAGAACATGACGAAGACGATGCTGGGATTGCACAAAGGCATGCGGCCCTGCACAATGAAAAGTGGTCCTTGGACCGGGCCATGTTGCTTTATGGAAATGATCAAGAGGAATCAACCTCGTCCTCTGCAGAAGACAGAGAAGAATTGAAAAGTCGATTGGACCTTTCCTTGCAAACGGCATCTCGAGACTTGTACAATGCGTACACGAATACCACCTTGGCCATTCAAGATTTGGACTTGCCCGACAAGGTTCGACAAGAAATTATACATCGTCTCGTCCGCTATGCTATCCAACGAGACGGTTTGACCGTCAAGGGAGTTTCCAATAGGCTATCCAAAAAGGAAGCAAGTGGTTCCTCCAACATGTTACGACATTCGGCTTCGGAACGAAAAAAGTTAAATGATCGACTCAAGGATTACAACAAGAGAAAACAATCGAGTGCCTTGGGGGCTGCTCTCATTCATCTCACTGCAAAAAGCATGGGACATCCGCGTGCAATTGCCAAAATTTGTGCTTGTTTCTTACCACCACCCGAATCTACTGTTGGAATGGACCACGAGCAAGTCAAGAAAGCGACATTTGTCAAGGGAAAACACTGTTCCAAGGCCATTAATGAAATCAAGGCTACTTTCCCAGAATACGTAGAAGCTGCGGCCAAAGCTGGAGCTAATATTGGGTCATCATTACAAGTACCAGAAATACCCGACACGATTTGGTCGCCCAAAGTGGCTGGTGCTATCGCTACTACTAAAACGACCACAAGAAGTGCTCTTGCTGATCCGCACATTTCCGAGTCGGTGGACAATTTTGCTCATCATTTTCTAAAGACTTTGCAGTTGCCACCAGTGGCTGAAGCGTCGATCCAGACCTTGTTGCTACAGTGTCGGAAGGAACAGATTCAACTTGGAAAATACAGTGGGGTTGACATGTCGACCATGTGTGCAGCCATTACTTACTTTGTGTGTTCCACGGGATCCATTATGCAAAACTTGGCCCAACAAGTCCAACAGGAAGAACCACCAGAAACAGCAAAAACTGACACGAAAGAGGGAGGAAAGAAGAAGAGAAAGTCATCCGCGTCGGATACCATCAGCTCTGCTGCAAAAAGAACGAAACGCTCCGGTAAGAACAACGACGATGGCTCTTCTTCGGACGACGACAGCCTTGGAGGATTTAATCTGGACTCGCTGGTTGGGACGAAACCAACCAAGCAAGAAGAGGAAGATGACGAAGAGCCGTTCGACGTCTTCTCGCATGCACCCATTGTCGAAGACCAGTCTGAAAAACAACGGTACGAAATGCGGCGCATGTGGGATGCCTGGAAGGAACAAATGCCCTGGGCTAGATCGCCTGTTGGAATTGAGCAATCTTGTGGAGTCGCCCGCAACAAGCTTACAGACTTTTATAGCACAGAGTTGTATCCACAACGAGATCGACTTTTGGAAAAACTGAGGGAGAGTGCTTCCGATGAAGGAGGCGAAGCTGGCGTTTTGCAAAGCACCCCAATGGCTAGGACGCTTCTTAGTGTCGTAAGCACTGCCGCCTCCTTGATGACTTCTAAATAGATTCGTGGCGATGACACTTGGCCGGAAAGCCTGCTCTTGCCCTTGATACGAATGCTATCGGCAGCACATGTGTAGGAATCAAGGGCGCATCCAGATACTTTGTATACAAGCAACATGATTTGATACTAAGTACACGCGCTAATAACTGTGCCAATCGCCGGAGCTATATAAAGGCCATTAATGTATTGAGTTTTCAGCTATGTAGAACTTGCAAAAACATTAATAATCATACTTCCAAGTAGATAATCCAAATGTACAGTAGTGTTTGGGAAGCGTCGTACTATAATATTGATCTAATTATGTCACATCTACCGCACAGTTTGGATGTCACATGTTGAATTTGGAACGACAAAAGAATGAATGTACATCCATGACCGTGACCACCTTTGTTTTGCTCTGTATGTGAAGTTTCGACAGCTCATTTTATCGATCCAATGGACTCATTCGACTTTTCTATTGCACCACTGACGAAAGCAACTAGGATTAGTCCTATTTTAATAGGTCCTATCTTAAAAAATATATAATAAGCCAATTAGAAAATGATGTCGCTTGTGAAATGGGTGATAGTATTGGAGGTGATGACCATGATAACTATTTTGAAACTGACATGACACAGCAGAGGTAGAACGTGTTATTACAGAAAATACCAAAATTTCGTCATTCTAATTTTTTCTATATCTTAAATTACACGATAAAACAAGGCAATCAGGGCGTTTGGCGCAGTTGGTAGCGCGTCTGCTTAGCATGCAGAAGGTCGCCGGTTCGATTCCGGCAATGTCCAACAGACAGAATTAGAGGTTAGAATCCTCTCACATATGTTTTGGCTCCTTTCCCCTCTGGGCCAAGATCCATCAATTCTTGGGCCTATAATTTTTAGTTATGTTGTGTTATACCACGCACCTCTGCTGTGTTCTATATCATGCACCTCGGCTGCAAGTGAATTACTTCGAAGAATGCACAGGTACCAATCTGTCTCTTTTTGGGTTTTTAAAATCCTTGGGAGTCAAAAATGGTCACACTGGTGCATTTTTGCTGCCTTCAGAGCTCTTGCCTGCACCAGTGGCTGCTAACATGCATCACACTACCTTTTGCCATCCACAGAACAAAGCACAGACAGGGAAGAGGCATCCAGACAAGTGCCTGGAGAGTAGTAGCAAGTAGCAGGATCGACAAGCTATCCCAAGCTTTAAGTTCAGATCCCTTTTCCTACTGTACCCGCAACCCTGGGTGTTTTGCCCATTATGTTGGTTTTGCCAAATGGGAAACGAAAGAAAACATACAGCACCGTGTACCTGGTACTGTAGTCAACCAAATTCAGTCATCGAGCTTTCCACGTGTCGGAGTTTTGCGTGTAGGATTATTTCGTCCGTACACGTACAAGCACTGGAGCCAGAATAACAGAGAGCACAGTCAACAACAATTAAGTTAAAGGTCTCCAATCAGTCCGAGGCATTCCACTAAAATATTGCTATCGTAGTAAACGTACTCACACACAATCCGTGCACGCAACAATGATACCACGGCTGTCAAGAGTTGTGCTGATGGTTCGCCAGGGCGAGGCCTTGGCTAAGGCAACTGAATTTTATCATTCTGGCTTGGGTTTGGAAGTAGTACGCGCCACTGATGACTTTGCGGAGCTCCAAACGGAGAATCTCGCCGTGAGTTTGCAGGGGGTAACATCGGAGAGCAAACTGAGCACCGGGTACTCCCCTCTGTTGACATTTGAAGTCAAAGACATGGACAGCATCGTGGCAACGTGCTGCCAGCTGGGAGGCCACTTGGACGGACCGATTCAGTATCCAGCATATGGGAAGATTGCTGCAATGAGGGCTCCATGCGGGCATATGATTGGTATCTTTGAGCCCGTCACAGAAGATTGAACTTGTGGAAGATGATGGAGGACAACATTTCATCGGTATTTTTTAAATGCAAAACAATCTGAAATACTTGTTGGACTTGCTCTCCAAGTTTGCAGTCGAAGCAAATCGAATGAGAATGTGGTCTAGGAGCTCTGTAAATGTTCGAATCGGGTCTAGGGGCTCTGTAAATGTTCGAAATATCATCCGTACCGCTACAATTGCAGGTGACACAATTGACAGTTTAATATCTTTGGTGCAGAATGAATCCAGATATTTTCTCTAGGTGTTGTCGACGGAACAAGATGAAATGAAGATACAAAGTTACGATTGATATCTATGGGATTGAATAATACGGTATATATAGTCAAAAATTTATTTTTCTAGTGAGAGCATTCAAGGCGTCACAATTTTAAGTAAAAACTCCTTCTCTGAATTCTCTTTTAAGCGAATTATTTTCATTCGTAGTCGAAGTGATGAATTGGTATAAGGATCTATTCATTTATTCTGTTGTTTGTCAGTTAGCAGCCATGGTGTGCAGAGCGTATTTTGATGATATCTGTTAACCCATCCACGTTTTTGAACTCGGCCCTGATCAGGGCCGACCTCATTTAAAGTTTTTTGCTTGAACGACAAATTTCCTACCGTGCGCGCGTAGAACCATAAAACTACAATCACTAAAACTTAACTCAAATGTAATACACACGTTTCCAGGAATTCATGAAGATATCAAAGGGTTAAGCTGAAAACTTAGAAATAGAGCAAATGAACCCTTCCAAATCTAATGGAAAAATCAGAATTAGTTTATCATCGTTTTTTGCCACCATTTTGTATGCCCAAGCCCAGACACGAGACTGTTGAATTACTGAATTGGTCTCTTTTTGCCTTGAGGAGGCCCTATTTTACCTAGCAATGATGCTTCACCCCTCTCATTTTGTTCAATAAGTAGTTCCGACAATATGACAGCATTTTGGTGGGAATCTTCAGAGCAATTCCTGTCTCCCATGGAAGCAGAATGCGTCCATGTCAAAGTGCACCTTGCAAAACAAGTGCAGTCATGGTGTAGATCTGCCTTTCTACTGAGCCAGCCATGCATATGTTGTGCCCATCACACCTTAAATAGTCTCTGGATAGTGTGTTGGCAGTATGCGGGTATGGTTGCAACTCTTATTGACGATTCACGGTTGATTGTCTGGACTTGAAAATACTGTGAAGTGGTCGATAATCTCGGCTTCAAATGGAGTCGCTTCGGCGACCTCTTTGGTGAAAAAGTTTCGCTAAGCCATGTAAAGTATCATCATTTTCAATTCCCAAGTCCAATTGGAACAAGAAGATCCTGTACGATACCATCGCCTCGTCCATGCAAACGTATTTCGCAACTGCGACGATTCGTACTGCAAAGGCAGCAATCTCCATAATATCAACATAGACTCTTGAAAACCTAGTAGCTTCCTTACCATATCAGATATCGGCATGGGAAGGGATGTACGTCTGCTGGGAGGAAGGTTGGTTGTTGATGTTCCCGGTGTTGATGTGGTGAAGTTGGCGGCAAATTTTCCTTTGTGCAGTCGATTGGATGGAGCCTTTGGTGATCAACACTACCACACATCGAACACATCAGCGAATTCCATGTCCTAGACTTGATAATAGTCGCTGTAACTTTGGGGCTTCCGGGGGTAGAGCCATTGGGTTGATATTCTCCAAGATGTCGGAGGTGGCTCCAAGATGACGAAATCTCAAACTTCCTCCAATACGCAAAAATGCTCGTAAATTGCGTATTGCTTTGACTAGGGACTGAAGTCAAGCAGTCCCATCAGCTTCATCTGTGACAATATACCTTGTGTCAAGGCACACAGTTCAATAATACCATCATTCTGTTTTCACAAGTCGATAGTAACAATATGACAGAGGGTGTAGATGGGTGCAGATTGCTTCAATAGTGGAGTGTAAGGTATTTGGAATTCGATTTGGTCTGGATGACAAGTTGGTGTCAATTTTTTGGTTTGAAATGGGAAAATGAGCGATCTGGGGGCGTAACCAACCCTTTCAAATACTCTACATGTTGTAGAATGCATTGCCTTGCTAATGGAAGTAATTTCTGCAACTTTGGGACATCAAGAAATGATCTATGGGGTGGGAGTGGGGTCAATCCGATGAATACGGAAATTTCGTCGAAACACGATTCGGTCAAAAAAGAAAATTAAATCTCGTGGCTCGAGAACATCACCTGAGAACCCAAATTTTTGAACCAAGCTTCCACTATATTAAGGTAATAGGTGTGTAAAATTGTACTGTCTAATTCCATCATTAAGCTATTCAACGGATGTGATTTGTGTTCAATTTTGGGGACTCGGCCCTGATCAGGGCCGTCTGACCCCCGATGGGTTAATGGACTAAAAGGGGGAATCGAGTTCCATTAATTAATCCCGATCTTAGCGTCGCTCCCCCGATATGATATCTTTCTGTCACAACACGTTTCGATGTTGAAAGCTAATAATGCAATACGGCAGCATCAACACTGCTAGTACTAATAGCAGGGATTCATCTTTCGCTCCGCAAGAAAATCTCCCCGACGATAAGGCGCTTAGAAGGCTCATATCTGTCACCATCGCTGTAGTTTGCTTGATTGCAGCTCTCTTTGAATCGTCGTCCTCTGCCAACGAAGAACTCTCGTTACCCCTTCCTCCGATGTCTTCCGTTTTCAAGCCCGTCGACAAATTTTCTTCTCCGCACTGGAAAACATATGGAGATATATCTGAGATACGGGAAAAAGATGCAGAATACTCAGAAGCTGGCGGATGGTGGAAAGTTGAGGGCGACAAACTCCTCATTGCGCCGAAAGCAAAACAAGATTTTTGGAGAAAGACCTACTATGAACCTATTCTTGTCAAAGATGACGGATCTTTCCTTTATCATATTGTCCCTGAAAAAGACCTACCAGCTACCATAGAGACAAGCTTCTCTTTGACACCCAAGGCACAATTCGACCAGGCAGGTATTATTATTCGACTTGATGCAGATCACTGGATCAAAACGGGCATTGAAGTTGTGGACGAACAGGCGCGTCTCTCTTGTGTTGTTACGAATGGATTTAGCGATTGGTCGACGCAGCATGTCTCCGAGCCGGGAATCAAGATTCGAGTACATTTACTTCCACAGCATGGCGGCAGTTTTGTGGTGGAAGCTGCTCCTAGAGATACCGACGAGTGGTCATTCATCCGCATTGCCCACCTGAGTAGGAATTCCAACGATGGCAGTCTAAATGACAATAAAGAAGTCAAAAATAGCTTCCATGGCGAAAGCGCGCAGCCAGGAACCCTCATGGTGGGAGTCTTTGCAGCATGCCCAGTGGATCAGAAGGGAATGGTTGCGACTTTTGATAGTATCTCAATAACCAAAGGCTCTGCCTTTGTTCACGACGCTTAGAACGCTTGAAATGGGAGAAGTTTCAATTTCTCCAATGACTACCATAGCTGAGGATAGGCGATAGGTGAAGGGTGTATGTACAGTGATGATTCGGATAAGCTACTGTAATCTATCTAACTATTCGAGATGCTGTGTGCAGCATGGTATAGCACGCCACGAATAGCAACCAAGAGATCTTATACAAAGCAGGCTATTTTGAAAGAACCAGAGGCGCTAATTATGACGTTGAAAATGAAGAATGGACGCGCAACAATTGGTTACCACGCAGGACCTTCCTCGCGCACCTAGGCAAGCTCCTCGGGGATAGAATCCTTTGTTTGTAATGGTTCTGAATATTTGACAAGTACTTTCTCTCCAAGCAACCAAAAGACGACATCCACTCTCACATCGGTGTACGCGTTGGGTAGCCACACTCGTCCGAAACGTCATAATACTTGGGTGTCATTGCCCTCTTGTAAACGAGCACCCAGAGACCTCGTGGAAAACAATTTATGGATTGGTTCTGCAGTGCTCCCCGCCCTCCCTGATTCAAACTGAGAGGAACGGCTAGTTTGGAACCAAAAGAAATGATATCTTCAAACACCTCGTAATCTTCATCCACCTCGTACTCAGAGTGTAAGCAGCATGTGCGTTCGAGACTTGTGTTCAGCCAAAGAGCCTTCAAGAAAGCATTTCTACAGATTTCGGCATCAGGATACTCAAACCCAGAAAACGATTCCACATCTAGACGTCTCAGAGAGTTCATTTGCGGTAGTTTCTCAAAGAACACCAAAAAGTCTTCCGCACTGACGGGGTGCAATTTAGAATGGGACTTTCCAGCTTCGCGCCATCACCCAGGCGCGCAGTAGCAACTTGTCAAAAGGAATAAGGTCAGATACCCCGGTTTCGCTAAGATTGAGGAACGCCAATGACTCGTAACCTCCGGCTATGTGCGCGGCCATCGAACTTTCTATATGGTTCCTCTCCAAAGTAAGTGATTCCAACTATGAGTTCTTCACGCGTCTTGCAGACAGTTTCGAATTGGATGTGAATACTTCAACATGCTTCAAACAAAGTGTATCGAGAGAGCAGTTATCTCGGCAGATCAAATCGTCAAAGATGTGAAAAAAGGAATCATGGCGGTAACAATAGGGTTATCCTCTAGGTCGTGGTCACCCTCTTCCCAAAAATCGATCGCCCTCACTTTGGTTTCCAAGACTGCAGCTCGAAGTATGTTTGAAACCATGAGTCTGTCCGAAAACCGATAGAATCCAAGATCTAGTTTCTTGAGACTGCGGTTTCGCCGCAAAGCCTCGATGAATGCAAGGCCAGCATCAAAAATTTTGGGTCCAAAAGGTAGCCCTTGTAGGTACAAATGCTTCGGACTTGTCTAGTATGCGATTCCTTTGAACAGCATAAACATTTGCTGTAGATTCGATTCTGGAGCAGATCCAGTAGCAAACATTCGGAGATGTTTGATTCCGTTTGGTTGCATAAGGCTTGCCAACAAAACAGCAAATCCAGGAACTCCCAACTCCACGTTGGTAATTGAAAGAGTATCGGCTTTTCTTGCAATCGATATCAATGCGGCGAATCGGGCGAAGAATCAGGTTTCAACATCCGAAATGTGTTTCAAATCCACGTGGCGCATTCTAAAAGTGATACTGTTGAACATTGTGGCCAGCTTTTCAAAGACCGCAGGCACAGCAGCACCTGCGGTTGACCCTGCACAAAGATGTACCGGCGGCTGTCTTCACGCAACTCTTCAATCTCAAATATATTTCGGTACGAGTATGGGTTATCCCCGAAATGGACTTGTAGCATACTGTAGTTGTTTGAAAAGCCCACTGTAGTACAGTATCCTATCGTTTTAGTCTCGATGATGTTTTGGAGCTATCTCACTCATCGTTAGATACGATATTTTCAATTTGAATTATTTGAAAAAATTGGATCGCCTGCACATCGAGATTAGGTTGTAATCGACTTCTTCGATTGAACAGGAGAAATCTTTCTGCTCACGCAACATGATATTTGTATTCAGAACAGCTTCGAACACAAAACAAAACATCAACCATGAAAAGATACTGCCCGAGCAGCATTGTAGAGCCAAGGATCTTGTTCGACAAGGTTCATTCTCGATTGATCCTCACTCCTCGAAGATCACACAATTTACAGCCAAGAATCTATCAAAAGCACCAAAACTACCGAACATGAAAGTCTCCCCAACATCCAAGCTTGTGCTCAACTACCTTGCGCTTCCAATGGGCCTTGGTGGTCGAGGAGGAGCCCTCCGTTTCTTCCTTTTGTCCCAAGACATTCCTTTCGAGGAGAACCTCTTTGCGATGGGCGAGGACTGGGCAGCTGAAAAGAAGCGCTTGATCGCCAGTGGGGAGAATCCTTCTTCAAAGACTCCTGTTGTCTATGCCGATGGCACACCACTGCCGGAACATATTGCCACTGGCCGATTGCTGGCACATGTTCATGAATGTGCATCGCCAGATTTGTACAAGAACTATGTCCAAGATTTGGTTGCCGACGAATACCAAGGCTTTCGTGACGCCTGGGTTCACCATGCATTCAGTGCGTCGGACGAGGAGAAGGCCGTGTACAAAAGTGAAGGCTTGCCACAGAAGCTAGAGCAGTTTGATGCGCTCTATGGGTGCTTCAAAACTCATGATATCTTCCTCAGTATCAGTGATAAGACGGATCGACCACTTTGGGGAGATGCCGCTTGCTTTGGATTGTTGCGCGACAACATTCTTACTGGCATGATGAGCCGAGAAGACCTCTCGAATTACAAGAAGTTGGATGCAATGTATGCTGCATATGAAAAGATCCCATCTGTCGAAAAGTGGTTAGCTAGCACAATTAATTAGGTGATTCATCCAATTCTACAAGTCTATAATTTCAACTGACTCTCATATCAACCCCTCTGCACTTAGAATATGAGCGATACCATACTCATGATAAGAATACCAGCCCAGTGAAATAAGAACGTTGGGAGAAGGTAGAGGTAAACAAAAAAGGGTGGAACAATGTATGTTCGAATCAGCTCGTCGATAACATAGTTCTGCATTTGATGGATGAAGGATAGGCGCATACATCGCACATGGTCCAAGTCTTCGAAATGATGGGCGAATTCATTGGTCGAGGCGCTCACCAATTCGACGCAGAGCTGCCAAAACAGCAAGTTGCGAAGTGACTTCGATCTCCAAGATGCAATCTTGAACCAATAGGTTACAAAGTGTGACAAACAAATGAATGGCGAGCTCATTGGGTGCACTGCCCTGAATGCGCGGAAACTCTCGTAGACCACGTCAAAGAGTGAATTTTTTGAGAGGTACCCATTGTGATCGGTAAACAGGTACATGTAAATTGACATAACAAACAAGTACATGGCATTGTTGCGATATTGGTTCTGATGATGCTTTGTCCCAATCTGATTGTATGTAAAGTAGCATATCAGAGCAATCAGAATAATGGCACGATCCCAATCCACTCGTTTCATGAGATCCGAAAATGTCGGGTACTTCACAGCACCAATAAAGGTTAGAGATGCATGGCGATGCTCGTGATCACCGATATCATTCGAGACGATGCATCGGAATGGGACTTTTGCAGCATTTGGTCGGAGCTTTCCAAGACAGTGTTCCTGCAATTCAGCATCCATTTCGCTGTAGATTGCCGAACACAAGTCCACTGGTGAAGGGTGGGATGACGCGTTTTCAGGAATCAGCGAAAGACCATGCATTGGGGCATAGGACCAGGAATGCCCTTGAATGGTATCTTTGACGTATTGAGGCGAAACGATGCCAGGATCCACTGTATCTCCATGCAAGGCAGACAAGAGCCCTCCAGCAATCCATGGGGTGAATCTTTTCTGACAAGCATATCCTGTGTATGTGAATTCGGAAAAGTAAACTTCATCATCACTGGAATAAAGATCAATGCGCACAATTTCCTTTGGCAAGCGCTTGCCAAGCTCATGGACGATATTTCTCATCTTGTCCCAGGCGCCTGGTTTTGCGACCGGAACGGAACATGGGTTTCTCAAAAATTTCATTTCAAGCATTTCGAAATCCGCATTATAGAAATTTCTGTGAAGCACTGTGGTATTGGGTTCTTGGCATTCCATGCTCACAAAGACAGGAACTCCCGCCGAAACATACCAATAAGTGACATCACGGAATTTACTCATGTCCAATTGTTCCTCCAAGATTACGGTTGGATTGATGAATTCATACTGTGGCTCGTTGTGTCTTCTCATCTTGGCCTTAAGCATTTTTTTCAAGATACCTTGAAATCGTTCTCTTGCGCCTTCTTCCTTTCGAATTGGCTTATTCCCAAGCCCCGCACACATCTTGAAACATGTAAACGTTCCGTTGACGATTCTGGAAACCCTTCCTGACATGTGTGACGCTTTCATGATGCTCCCATCTGGCATATCAGAAATGCCAAATGATTCTGTGTGCGACTTGTTGAAAATTGCAATAGTAGGAACAAGCTTCAGATCTGGAATGGCCCACCCTGCGACGATGCGTTTTACTTCCACTTTGTCTACCAATGGCGCAAGACGACGTCCCCACTCTTTGTCCGGCAAGAAGTGGTTTCTGCAGTAATGTTGATAAGACTCATTCTGAGCCCACATGATATATTCCGAGCCTCGGTTCCGATGGTGTGGTTGCAGATTGGGAGCACTGAACTCCTCCCTACTAACCTCTACACCATCCTCCACGTCCACGGTTCTTATGAATGTAGCCTGATATGCTACCATTCCAAGCAAAGGAAGAAAGAACACTAGATATGCAGTCGTCAAGACATTCTTTCGGCTGAACCCTCTGGATTGATTCATGGCTGTTCACTTGACGGTTGTTACCTGTGAAGTATTTGAATTTTGTGATGTGGAAATAAGACGCTATGCAGTTTTTGTTTTCTATAACTCCATAAGATATGGAGATTTGTCACGTTGTGCGATAAAAATAAAATGGAAATGTGACTCGGGAATGCAAAAAAGCGCTCTCAAAGCTTACCTGTTTTCGACTCATCAGAACAAAGAGGTTGCCATACTTATCACCTGTCCAAATCCAGTTTCAGAAGCACGTTTTCATGGACATTGCAGTGCATTGCTTGCCCGACCTACAAGTACCCCAGACTGAATTTAAACAAATGCGGCTGTGATGCTGTCCTCCATCATCATGATAGTACACGATTTCAATCGTCTCTAACTGGCTCCTCAATGATCCCAATCATATGAACGTATGGTGCCCTCCTCGTTGCAGCAATTTTCCCAGCTGGTAGCATGTTGCCACGATGTTGTTCATGTCTTTGACTGGAGCTCCGTAAAGTCGTCAGTGGTGTGTACGACTTCCAAGTCCGGTCCAGCATCATCATTGTTGGCTGCTGTGGACATGATGTACGTGTATTGTTGTGTGATACGTTTGCTTCGATGTGTACGCTATAGTCAAATTTTGACTGACTGGAGACCGTCAACTTGACTGTTGTTGACTGTTCTATTTGTTGCTCCTGTTGTTGAATACAAGAGTACCCTTTGCATAGATCTCAAATCTGTGCGTACCGGTACGGACGAATAATACCCCACACAAGCAAAACTCATCAATCAAACAAACCTACACGTGGAATGTTCATTGTAGGAATTGCTCGAGGATTTCTTTGTGCTCTTTCTCGTTTCGCGTTTTGCAAAGGTAATGCAATGAGCATAAGAAACCATGGCGGTGGGTGCTGTGGGATAAGAGACATGAAGTTAGGATTAGGGTAGCTCATCAATACTCCTTGTCGTTCTTCCCTGTTACTGTTGTTGTTTTCGTTTCACGGTAGATAAAAGGCAGTGCTTGGGTGCATACTGGCACTCAGTCGTGTAGGTGCGGAGCGGTAAGAGCTCTGGAGGCAGCAAAAACGCACCAATGTGACCAATTTTTGACTCCCAAGGGTTTTTTTTTACCCCAGAAAGAGACAGATTGGTACCTGTACATTCTTCGAAGTAATTCACTTACAGCCGAGGTGCATGATATATATATATACATAACACAGCAGTGGTGCATGGTACAACAAAGCATAACCAAAAATTAGAGGCCCAAGCATTGATGGATCTTGGCCAAGAGGGGAAAGGAGCTAAAAATATGTGAGAGGAATCTAACCTCTAATTCTGTCTTTTGGACATTGCCGGAATCGAACCGGCGACCTTCTGCATGCTAAGCAGACGCGCTACCAACTGCGCCAAACGCCCAGATTGCCTTGCACATGGTGAGAAAAGAGAACTACATAAAATAAAGATTGACGAAATTTTGATATTTTTTTCGGGCCTGGTGTTATTATATCCTCTGTTGTGTCATGTCATGCACCTATGGTGTGATCGAAGTCTTTAAAGGGGTACCAACCTATACTCCTCTCCCTCCTAGCTACTACTAGGTAGCAGTAGCAGTAGCAGTAGCAGTGCTGCCTGGTCCTTCAAGACTACGGTGTTTTACAAGCCAGCCCCAAATATATATAAAATCTGTGATAGAATCGACCGTTTACTGGTAACACATGAGGTCAGTGAACCGTTGCATCTATTGACCATCATAATCCTCTACTAGGTACTACAGCACCAGGCCAGCACATCCATTTGGAAAAGTGATCGTCATGATGGTACGTGCTCCTGCTGACTGCAACAGACAGTATACAAAAAAACAATGCCATAGCTCTGAAACTGCCATTGTCTTCGATACTGTCACCCTTTTCTCAAGAAGCACCCTTGTCATTGGTGTATGCTTCAATGAGATGTGATGTTGAATCATCATCGAAACTTGTAGTCGAACGAGTCCTCCATCTGACTGAGACGAATACGATGCATGACAAATTTTCGATGGGATTTTCAAAATTTAGGAAAAATGACGAAAGAAGAGGAGGAACAAGTGAATGATAGCCCATGGTGGTTAAAGCTGGCAGCTCTTGGAGATTCCACCATGGCCTTATTCTGTTCATTTGCTCTTTTGGTGGTATCCGTTGTCATCGCGCTTGCTATTGATGACACCCCAGAGAGTGACCCAGCGTATCGAGCACTCGGTCCCCCACCGAAAATCGACCCACCCAAGATTTTTCAATACCAGAATGGCATGCCTCTCGTTTCAAACGAAATGCGAATTGCCTTTCAGAAAGATGGTGTGATTGCTGTTCGGGGCCTTCTGGATGATGATTTGTTGAAACTCTTGGATACTGCATCGGCCGACCTTGTTGAAGAACATCAACGAAAGAAACCACGGGGAGCTTTGTCTGGTGGCAAAGTGCCCCGGCCGAAACAGTTTTATATGGCGAATCATTCTTTGATGTTACAGAAAGATCCAGAACTTCAAGATTTAGACAACAATCCCTTTCTCAAGGTTTCTTTACAGTCAAGAATACCCATGGTCGCCGCAGATTTGTTGCAAATGGAGCAGAACGAGACTCTTCGGGCTATGCGTGACATTTTTCTAGCGAAGGACGAGGATCAATTTATTTGTGGCTGGCACGTTGATGATACGGGATTCTGGCCGGCAACTGCAGAAGCCCCTGGTGTAAATGCTTGGCTTGCTTTGGATGACATGCCACTGGAACGAGGAGGAGGCTTTGCGTTGGCAGTTGGCTCTCATACAGCCCCATGGCGAGAGGAAGCATATAATGTCACAGGCAGCACACATACATTCCCCAAAGAGGGTTTTCGTTCTGCTTCCGACATGCTAGACAATAGAATGGGCAATGGAACATGCAACATCAAAACTGCTGCAAATCACATCTACAGAAGAATGGAAGAAACCAAACGAATTTATGAAGTTCAGAGAGGTGATGTCATATTCAGTGAACGGTGGCTTTTTCATAGGACAGTTGCATTCGACAAACAAGCAATCAAGAATCGACGTGCGTCCGGGGAGCAACATCTGGTTTCACGACGATATTCAATACGATACGGACCCGGCTCATCTGAAATCCCAAAAGGGTGGGGCACAGAAATCAGCGTCATGTGGGACGAGCAAAATGGTGAGTGACGAATCAATCATTCTCAAAAATCTCATCGAGTTTTTAGTATACTGACTTATTCTTCATAGCTGGGCGAACCGCAGATGAAGTTGCTGCCCAAGATGCTCCTTGGTACCCACAAGTATGGCCCTCTATATCCAATGATGAACTTGACAAACTCAAGACAATAGCAGAAAGGATGCCTCTATTGATTCAAAAGTTTGAAGTGAGAAGGAAGCAAATGAGACCTCGACATAACCCAACTGGAATCTATCACAATTTGAACCAATATAGTACAACAACCTAGTATTCCAATTTGCATTTTTTAAAATTAAAGCATGACTTCCGTAGGCAAATCAGTTAAGCCAGCCTCGCCAAGAGTTGATCTGCCATCATTTGGTATTCGGGACTGTTACAACTTCCTTTGACGTTCATAATACGGTGTTCATCTTTCATCTTGAAAGCTTCCTCCAATGCTCGCTTCCACATGAGCGCCTCACAAAAGAGACCATATCGTTCCTCTGGATCGCTCACACGTTCAATGTATCGCATCTTTTCACTGGAGCTCTGATTTCCTCGAATCGCCGCTCGGGCAAATGGTTTAAAGCCGATGGGAGGCTTTGCTCGTGAATCGGCCAATGTTCGTAGATTGCCCCACAGCCCAGTCTCGGCAAAAGCCCTGACCTTTGTGTGCCACAGAAGCTTTTCGGGTATTCTGAATTTCTTGGCAATTTTGTCGGCATCAGTCAGCAGACGGTGCTTTTCCCTCTCATTGATCGCGGCGTAGTGCAACACGGAAGCAATGGTGGCTGCCACTGAGGATGATTCAGGGGCCACATCGGGTGACGAATATTTTGTCCGCAGGACCTCTTGATCCTTTAGTAGTTCGAGATAGTCATCAGTACATGTCTTGTAGAAGGCATTTTCCTTGCCCATTCCAAAGACACGAGAACTCTCCTATAAGTCGTCATCCAACACATTAGTTGTAGTCCTCGTCAATTCAAGGCTCCTGGAAAACGATGTTCACTTACCGCAAGAATACTCAGCCTTTCTCGCGTATCCTTCCTCTTGTCCAGAGCCCTTCGAGCCATTGTCACCCCCGCGTCAGTAAACTTTTGAGCCCGTAGCTGGAGGTTCAAGGCTTCCTTGACATCGGGTAGTGTTGACATGTATCTTCGCAGCGTATGGAATGCTTCTTTCGAAAACTTTGTGGTCACTGTACTCATGAACGCTTGGTTCGCCCTACCGGTATCTTGTGTGCTCATATAACAGTACTTTTGATATGCCATGATTGTGTGGAACACCAAATCGGCATCGCTGTTGCAGACAAATGGAAGCACATGAGAAGTCCAGTTGTCAGAGAACGAGTAACAGACAGCATTCAAAAAGTCTTACCTCGCCGAAGTTGCCACTGCAACAGCATCCGCATAGGATCCAGTCGAAATGAGTGCCGGAACTTTGTCTGCTACACTTGTCTCCAACATTAACAAAAGGTTTGCAACTCCAGGTCGTCCAGCCTTGTTGGCAGCCATGGCAACCGTCGCATATCCACCCCGAATGACGCTGGATGACAAACTCTTGGAAGGTTGGGATGGGATTGCTTCGTGAACAATTTGCATGGCACCTTGGGCAGCATCCGAATCAGAAAGTTGTTTATGTCCAGCCACAAAAGCAGCAGCTTTGGAAGCTCGGGCAAACAGCTGGACAGCTTTTGGAAGCGACAAGTATTTGCTAATGGATGACGCTAATGCAGATCGATTGGTTGCAATCAGACGGGCGACTACACCTATTGGGGTGATGGAATCGTATTGGGAAGAAGTCATGACGAAACCAACCGATGGATTCCGAACAGCGTTCAAAACCCGGAGCTTGCGAGCAGACTCTACAAACTTGGAAGTAAGTGGGGATGGTAGAGCCATTTCATCTTGTCCTTCCTCGGGTTTCCCTCCCATGATGGCTCTCTTTTCTCTGGATCCATCCTTGAATGAAAAATGCATTCCATACGATGCCGCTCGGAGCAGCCTTTGTTGAGTAGTGATGTCAAACTCTCGAACTGCTGCATCGATACATCCTTCTATCGCTTCCAATAGCATGCCCGAGTCTGTGATAGATTTCGCCGCCTCGTCAGAAGCCGGGGAACCATTTTCAAAGGCATCGGTCGCATCGAGTAACATGGCAGCGGGTTCAATTGAGCCAATTCGGAGCAAAAGAGCTGTAGCAGGTGGCACCCGTTGGAGTAGTTCCACAGCGACATCAGTGACCACTCGACAGCAATCCATTTCAGGAATGAGATACAGATTGCCTTGATTCTCGTAGGGAAATCGCAGCCAATCACCATAGGGACCAACCATGAGAACTCCAAGATTCTTCCAATGCAGAACGACACTATGTTTGGAATTCATAATATGCAATGAGAAAGGTGATACGTGCAACCTGAGCAAGTGACTGTAAAACCATCGTCAACGTACCTGTCTTCACCACACCACGTCATTTCCAACGGTGGCAGTCTGGAGCCCTCCGATGTGTCAAAGTCTAGCACCTTTGTTTCAAAGGTTGTGGAAATGACCGTCAGCATCGACGCCTCTGTAAAGCATGCTAGAAAACGGCCATTGGGAGCAAATGTCATTGCTACAATCGGTGAAGATATTTGCGAGCGACAATCCAAATCCTTCAATTCTGTCGTGGCAGCATCGGCAACAACGACCGAGTTGTCCGTTGTGGACAAAAAGATTTCCGGGTGGCGGGATGCAGTTCGGGTCCTTGGAAGTACTGCAATAGTAGCATAGGAGTAAAAGTATTCACTGGCAAATGCCGCCGTGGGCAATGTGGTGACCAGACCGCAAAAGGAGGCAATCGAGTCTCCCTTACCTCCCAAAGAATCTGAAATTGTAGTGTCCGGAAAAATCTTTCTGGCTCCCGCATGAGCACTAGAAAAATAAGAAGGATCATCATGCTCGTCCAAGAATTCGACCATTGCCGACTGCTTGGCAATCGACAAGACTGCGGCGCCTCCTTCAAACACGGTCGCATGCTTCAATTCAAATCCTTGTCCTTCTGTCCCAGACTTGGGCAACAGGTGAAAGGGTGGCAGGAGTGGCTCTCCAGTCAAATCATAAGTCAAACAAAGAGAGTCTCGCAAAAGAATTACCAGAGTTGTTCGATCAGTGAATCCAACTTCCGCAATGTCAGATGGCGAGTATTTGCCTCGATCAAGCATTTCTGGCAACGGAAAGTCAATCCTTGCCAATTGGCGACCTGCACTAGTCATGATGCGGATTTCTGTCTGACTGAACCAGGCAGTTTGTCCCACAATTGGCAGTGTCACAGACGCTATGGGTCCACCATGTGGACAACCCACGACTTTGGTAACGGTGGAAGTACTGAGCAATTCTCGCAATTCCTTGGGATTCAGCATTTCCGGATGTCGTTGCAGTGCAGCTCTAGGAAATGCAGACAAGCCATAATTTAAGACGTCCGAATTTCCGTTACCCTCATCGCACCATCGTACATTGTTGTAGATTGGAACCCGTCGATACGGCAAATCGCCAAGATATTGCCAGGAAGCTTCCACCGGTGCTCCTGAAGGGACGTCCAAATTATCATCCAATGTGGTGGTATCTTCTCCCGCTGAATCCGTTGACGCAAATGGATTGATACCAGCAGACGGATCATAGTCAAAGGGGTTGTTGTTGTTGTTGCTGCTGTTTACCCGCAATGACGAATCCACGGGACCTGAATCAAAGGTGTCATCAAATGGATTCGTAGCTTGCATGACATTTGTCATCTTATAAAGAAATGTTGATCCTGCTGAAGTCTTGTAAATGCAGTTTAAATCAAGAGGATGGAGTTGTGCTCGTACAGTCCTGGTACTATAATAAGAATACCAAGGGAAGGAGATGAGGTTGCTGTGTGTTTTTGAAACAAAGAAAACCAGCAGGAACGTAAAATGACAAGAACCTTGTTTGACTCCTTCGACCGCTATTTTCCGTTGCTTTCTTCTAACCCACAATTTTTGAAACTAATCCACCAACAAATTGGTCATATTGCTGTATTACCTGGTACTGTCAATTGTCCATCTCCTAAAATGCAAGCAAATCAACTTGTTACCTATATCTATAATGATCACGTAGGCTTGTAGCCAGGGAACAGAATCGTGCAAGCGGCTGGTCCACTGTAGCCATTCCCTCTATATCTAGATGCACATTCGAATACTGCAAAAAGTAGCGGTAATGCAACACAGATGACAAAAGAACCCGTTTCACTTTTCTTATCACAGTTATAACAAAGTCTAATCTTCTTCACGGGCTGCCTCCTCCTTCTTTTTCTTTTCTTTTCGTGCCTCGTTCAGGACAGTATTTAGGTTTTGTGTCAAAGTGGCACTTCGTACATTGAGATCCCGAGTGCGCTCCATTACTTGTTCGTATACACTTTGGACACTGCCACCCATTACTACACACCCTTCTTCCGAGTCAATCTTGGCATCCAAATCAGCATTTCTGATCAAGTCGACAATCCATCTTTCTGCTTCGTCCTGATTCATGGCCAACTTGGTGCCAAGAGCACTCAAGTCAATCTTGTTGTGGATTCTACAGTAATTCTCAAATACAAAGACACGAGCTTCCTCCATGAACAGTGCCGTTTGCTGGCACAGGAAGAAATCTGCGGCGAGTACATTTTCGCATTCGGCCAGCTTGGTCTGTGCCGATTCAAAGTCAAACTTGACGCACAAACAGTTCACAAATTCGACAATGGGGTCCGTGTGTTCACAGTCTTGCATGACATTGATCAAGTTCTTCATGACACGTCGGGCGTCCGTACCGGGAGATCCAGCCTTTTTGGTCAGACGGCGCTTGCACAATAGAACAGCAGCCGTCAAGTACCTCGAAAGGTGTGGAGCATTGGTAGTAATGGCTTGCTTGTATCGTTCCGTGTGGAAGAGTTCCACCAGTTGTTCTAGACCACCCTTGGCAGAGTTGTTCCAGTAGACAAACAAGGCCCAGTGCAGCAACCACGTACGTTGCGAAAGAGCCTTGAGTGGACTGACTTGGTTTGAGGAAACCAAGGATTCAATGGCTGCCTTGACGGCTTCGACAGCGACACTGGCGGCTTCCCAGTCTTCGACCAAAATTTCGCAAGCAAGTTTTCCCCAAAGAGTTTGCAAAATGCTTTCATTGACAGCGGTGAGGTAATAAATATTTGAGTCTCCGGTTTCTTCCTTTTCTTTTGATTGCGATTTGGAAGAATTGGTATATGCCAGCAACTCGTCATCCTCTGTAGAGTTGGAGGCTTTGGGAGCCTTGGCAAACAATGAAATGTAAACCTCTAGCATATCTCGAGAACCCTTGTAGTCCCCACATTCAAATTTGAATTTAGCATGTTGGCGATAAGTTTCAACGACATCAGGGGTAATCTTATGATCCCCAAGAGCAGGGACGTTCCACTTTCCAGCAGCCAACAATTTGGACTGATAATACAAGGAATGGAAGCAAGATAACTTCGGTCAGATCTTTTTCTCTTAAATTTTGCAAAGCAGAATCAAAACTCTCCAAAGAGTGCATGGGCATTTTGTATCTTACCTTCTCTTCTGCGTTGGAATTCAATTCATGCAGAGCCTTGCAGCCATTCTCTAGTTCTTCCAAGGTTTTCAAAGTAGTTGCCTTCTTTTCCTCCATTTCTTTTGGTACAGTTCCGCCTTCCAAACTCTTGTGAATATCAATTGCGTAATCGACCATGTGTGTAGGCTTGAGCAACGCGAGACGAGCAGCAGCTACATCCTTTGATGAGTACCCAATCTTGCCTTCCTTGATCAAACCGTCCATAAACTCCAACAAGGGAAACATCATGTGTCGATCCAAATAGGGAGAAATCTTGGACGTCAAGTCCCATTGTTCCATTCCTTCTGTCATTGTTGCCTTCTGGTTATTGGTATTGAAATATCTTTGCTGATGCTGTAGAAAAAAATGCTTGAAAGTACTCTTTGTTGTTCAATATTAGCCTCCAAACACAAACCACCTTTCAAATTGCAAGTTTCAACAGAGGCTTGAGGCCAAAGCTTTGGAGGCCACACACGAAACTACTACGGACATAGGGACAGGACACTTCACTAGTGGATGCAGTCAGTCACGCACGGACGTGAATAGAGTCAAAGTGGTCGACTACCAAGTGAAAACTCAAAAGCAAAAAGCAAAATCAAAACAACAACTAACGTCAATAATACGATGGCACAAACACTCCCAATGGTTTCCACAGAACAAAGGGCGCACCTGGGTCAATTGCGGATCCAAGCGGTTCAGACACGACCGAGTACAGTGGCAGCTCAAGAATTCTTTTCGGGGGATCGAAAATCAAAATCATTGCCGCGACGAATTCGACGATTGACGCATGTATTGGAATCCTGGGTAAGACTGTCATTTTGGTAGTGGCATGGATGCTACATGATTATCACTATCTAACCAAATTATTATCATTTTTCTCTATCCGTGCTTCATAGACTGCTGAAAATGGATCTCCCGAATTGGTGTGTTCCTTTTCGTCAGACCCAAGAGAGTCCCGAAGACAAGCAATGACAGCAGCCGTCATGGCCTGTGCGGACGCTTCCTTTTTGAAGTCGTTTCAAGTTTTGTTTCGAAGAAGCCTGTACCAACGACAACAGAAATACCAGCAACAACAAGAAGAAGACGAAGAGGAGGAAAATGACGAGTCATCTCCCGACCAAGAAGAATTGACATTGTTTCAAGATTTGCGTACGTTGGGTTGGATTCGCAAGGGTGGCATGCTGCAGCAACCATTGGGGGAGGCGTTGCATCAAACAATTTTCAAATATGTCAAGACCATTATATCTGCCGAATTTGAAGAAGAAAACATGTTTGAACGAGTGCAAGGATTCAAGGAACTAGCATTGGAACCTTGGCTACAGGATCTGGTGGGACCGGAGGCCCTGGAGCAAGATGACTGGTCTTCTCGACTCTCTTATTCCTGCGCCGAATGTTTCTGCCTGGTTCGAAACGAAGAAATATTCGATCTAGTGGCCGAATATCCGGATTCTCATCCAGCGGTGATGGAATTGGAGCGTGTTTTGGATCGCACCCGAATGCATCCTGCACTGGGACAGGCGCTCAAGGAAAGTCTAATTCGTCGTTTGAATCATCCAGGTGCCAATACTTCCCAAATTATTGATGTCTATATCAATACCATTAAAGTGCTACGGGTGATTGATCCATCTGATAGACTCCTACAAGTGGTCACGGAACCTGTTAGGGCATATCTTCGTCGTCGTCACAATACCGTTCGGTGCATTATCACCAGTCTGACTGATCAAGAAGTGGGTGGAGATCTCTACGAGGAACTTCGTCGACAAGATGCTCGTCCATTGGAACATGTCACGGCCGAAAATGAGTCGGACGATGACGAAGATGATGAACCACCAGACTTTGATTGGCAACCGCCACCCCCGATTACCAAACCAAAGGGAACCTTCTTTGCCAGTACGGGAGTCACAAAGGGTGGTGGTGGAGATATTCTCTCCATGCTGGTCAGCATTTATGGTAGCAAGGAACTCTTTGTCAACGAATACCGACTCATGTTGGCCGATAAGCTCTTGGCCAATCTCGATTTCAATACGGACAAGGAAGTACATACCTTGGAACTTTTGAAATTGAGATTTGGGGAAGTATCAATGCGAAATTGCGAAATCATGGTCAAGGACACCGATGACAGCAAACGTATTGTATCCAATATTCAAAACACACTCCAATCCAACGACAGGGCCAAAGCCATTGCCGATCTAGCAAGTGAGGAACCACCAATGAGGGACCCAGTCGATGCCGAGATTGTCTCTCATATTTTCTGGCCAGCTTTGAAGAATGAACAATTCAAGCATCACCCCCGACTCCAAGCAGATCTGGACGAATTCGGTGCCGAATATGCAAGGCTAAAGAATCCAAGACGGCTTGTTTGGTTGAACCAGCTTGGCACTGTGCAACTCGAATTGGATGTTTTAGAGCCACAGCCAGATGGAACCATGGCAATCGAGACTCGAGATTTCTCCGTAGCACCGCTTCTCGCAACCTTGATTGCCCACTTTGAGGATAAGGCGGAATGGACTCTGGAGGACTTGTCCAACGAGACTGGTATTCCCGAACAGCAAGTTCAAAAGCGCATGGCGTACTGGGTGAACAATCGAGTCATCAAGCTTGTTTCTGGACGAGATCAAGTGACTTATGAGGTTGCCACTACGGAACACTTGTTGCAAATAGGGAACGATCAAAGTGCTGCCTTTGCTTCGATTGATGACGACGATCATGGCCAAGGAGTGTCCCTTGCAGCCCAGGAGGAGGAAGATTTGGAAGTTTATGAAAGTTATATTTGTGGCATGCTCACAAACTTGGGGCAGTTACCACTGGAAAGAATTCACAACATGTTGAAGATGTTTGTCACAGGATCTGATGTCAAGTACAACAAGACGCCGCAACAACTGGGCATGTTCCTCAAGCACCTGTGCAAACAGGAAAAGCTGGAGTGCGGACCAGATGGAATGTATAAGCTCGTCAAGAAATAACTAACTAGTTTTATAATAGGAATACAAAACTGTGCTTTATGTTCTATAATATGTCATGAAGATCCTTCACTTGCCTCAAAATCAATGTAGCCACCATCTGCAATCTGATGCTCGAAAAGCTTCCACCCAGCGACGCTGGCCACTGTTCCCTTTCGACCAGTTTTTAGCGTGACTTTAGTTTGCAACTCCGACTTCCAGTGTGGTTTGAACTTGAAGTCTTCGTCCTTCTTTTGATGGCGAAAGAAAAGACCATCATTGGGAGTAGAAGGTATCATTTCTGATGTTGTCACAATACGACCTATTCGTTGCAGCTTCCTTCCATCAGCTACTGACAATGGATCGGGACTTGCGAATAAATCGTAAAGGTGGGTACCGGCGGGTATATCAAGGACCTCGTCAAGGAATCTAGCACCACTCTCCATCCTCGGCCGTAGCGTCAGGCAGAAGGGAAAGTTAAAATCTTGGGACATTTCGCCATGCGTATCAAAAGAACAAAGATTCGAATTTCCAAGGAGCAAGGGTGTCGCCGAATATTTCTTGAACAGCTTCAAAATGGGCTTCAACGTGGTGGGCATGGATGATGTAATTTGTGTACATAGGCAATGGGCGAAGAAATCTTCTTCCTCTTGTCCAACTTTGCATCCCAGGAACAGCATGTTCCCGCTCTCTATTCGGTTTCCGCGGAACATTTTGATGGCCGCAGCTGGAAAAAGCTTTGCATTTGCTAACCGCTTGCCCAAGAACATACTCGCGAGCTTGTTGTTCTGGTCACTCGAATTCATTGGCTGAAGAGCTGAGGAAAGCCGAATGATGCAATGTTCTGATGTGCTTCCAGGCTGCAATAATCCAGTGTAAGGCTTCCCTCTAATATCATTCGGAAAAGAGAACAATTCTAGCTTGGCACAACACACTGCTCCTTGTGGACATATCGTCTTATCACGCCCATCTGAAATAGGATGGATGTCAGCGGGGCACGTCAAGATTTCATTGTAGTCAGTCTTTCGCACATCGTGTAGGACATCGTTATATGACGGCCATTTTTCTTGTTGATTGGTCTTTGATTTCGAGCCCTCGATATTTTGGGCCGCGATTAACCTCTTCCAAATCTCTTCCTGTTGCTCTCTAGCTGATGACATGATAGAAGGAGATGAGTTTGGTTGGTCGTTTTCATCAACTGGTTGAGTTTATGAAATCCCCCTTAAATTTTGGTGCTGGATTACCAATACTCCAGTTCAAACAATGATAGCAAGAGTACTAGCTAGAATTTCGTGTTAAGCATCCTACATTACGAACAAATTAGCTCCTTTCCAATACGAGACTCTAATCATCCAAATAGGTGATGACTCGATGATTCGGCAGCCAACAATTTTAAAAATCTTCTTTGCCGATGCCTAACTGAGCTGTCCCATGTACCAACATAGTACGAATGACTAGAAGATCAAAGACCAGAGAAACTTGAGAACTATTGTCCTCCCAACCTCCAAAGCAATGTTGCGCTCGGCAAAGGCCTACGAAGTTACTCAGCCGTGACGACGCTGAAGGAAAATCATCGTAAAGGGCTCGGGATAATATGTCGCTGATGGCTTTTCATCTCGTAATCAAGAGTGGCCACTGGTGCGATACAATCTGTCGGTTTCACCGCTGCTGACTCTTTGTCATCAATAGAGAGTCTCAAACAGTTCCGCCTCCCATCACAAAGGGTCGAGCAAAGTCGATCAGGTTAAGTTCGGGTGACAACGATCGACCCAGACCTTCTAGTACCAAGGTTGAGATCACGACACTAGCCATGGCGGGATCAATCTCCACTCCATGGACACGGCATAGATCCAAAACACGTCCCAATAGTCCTCCTATCCGGACAGCACCCAGCGTCAAACCTTCTTTGCGCCGGTCATGGAACTCGGACACAATTTCACCAACACCCTTGGCAAAAGCATCCACACCACCCGGAATTTGACTGCAACGTTCGTACTTGGCTCGTTCCACCATGAGACGACCAGCCTTTTCCCCTTCATTGAAAATCACTGCACGAAATAGATCCTTTAGATTCCTTTGGTCATCGGGACTTAATGAATTGGTTATGCCAGCATCCAAGAAAACGATCGAGTGGTGTGTAATCTCTTTTCCTTCATCGTTGCTGGAATTCCAGAACCATGAAGTCTCTTGCTTCTTGGTCGTCGTCTTGACTAGCACATTGCCAGGGTGTAAATCGCCATGGACCTACAATGTAATGTAATTCGAAAACGTCGTTGAGCTTCTAAGGCATACTCTGTGTTTTGCCATCATACATGCATACATGCTTTTGATACTTACAAAATTGTCCAAGAAGACCATCTTTAGAAATGCTCTCAGTAGAGGCCCTGCCAAGTCTCGACGAACAGCAACGCCTTCAGGTGACGAATCATGCAAGAACTGGGATATCGGGACCGCATTGTCCACATATTCCTCAACGATGACTTGAGGATTGGACCAGCCTTCTAATGGTTTCGGAAATACGATGGTCGAGTTCTTTTCTTTGGACTTGGAATCGCGGTAAAAATTGCTTCTGAATTGTTTCAAATTTTCGGCTTCGTAGGTCAAATCAGCTTGCAGGCATAGAGCCGTTCCAAAGGTTTCCGTTGCCCGGGGTAAGTTCAGCATCCGAATGACATCCGCTGGAATTGAATGGAGTAGCTCTGCAATGATGGTGATTAGCTTCAAATCACCATCGACCTGCTTTTGGAACTTTGGATGTAACACTTTTATGGCGACCATCTTTTCAATAGTCTCTCCGTTGCTGCCTTGGGTCGTCAGTTTGCCGCGATACACTTGTGCAGCCGATCCACACCCAATCACATCCTTCTCGTTCACTACCAAGCCTTTGGCTTGATAGTCTCCAAATGCTCGTGTCAGGGTGTCATCCGTATGTATCCACGCATGAGGATATCCCTGATCGTGCAAGACTCCCAACTTGTCACAGAGTGTGGGAGGAAAGATATCTCGCCGGGTGGCAATCCATTGAGCAAACTTGACAGCCACTGGTCCAATGCCTTGAATGGAAGATACAAGATAGTTCCAGGTGACATTCTTGAGGTAAACTGAATCAAAGAGTAAAGCAAGGGGCGATAATATAGCCAGTGGAGATAACCGAAGGGCAACTTCAGTGGTTCTCGTAGCCACCAAGGTAAATCCCCATGCTTTCGTCCACCACTGTTGTAACCAACGAAGGAATTGTCGATAGAATGATTGCTTACTAGTTGCCAACGTCGATGGACTGCTAGCCAATATCATGGTCGTGCACTCAGATTGTGCACCATGGCCGTTGTGGGTCAAGAACCAAGAGGATCCAACCACGGTTGATGGAACCACCGATAGCAGTGCTTGGCTAGTGATGCCATAAGATCTGGCGGAGACCCCGCCAGAGAAAAGCCTATTATGTGATGATCGAACTCTTCTATTCAGTACTTGAGTGCTGCGAGATCGGATCGCACTCGTCCGGGACAACATGGTGGCTGTCATCGAACAGAACCAATACTACCAATATCACAACCAAGAATGGAGCAGTGATGCAAGTACAAGTAGATCGAATGATGTATGTGTTCTTCGGCATTCTTTTTAATCGTATGAATCAGTATTAATACTCCATTTTCCTTTAGTCTTGGTTGGAGAGGAGGCCGTGACTGAAATTGGAAACTCCAAAAATCCAACCGTTGGATGAATGATTGTTCAAATCTTCTTTCAACATTACAAATCAACAACAAGATGACGAAAATATCGTTCATTGCATCAGCCTTCTGCTCCATTGGACTAGTATATTCTGCCGACTTCACAGAAAGATGTAACCAGAAAGTTAGTACTATCGTACCAGGTTCTGCAAGCATATTCGGCAACACCATGGATGCCAATACCACATTCAACTTGGATCTCAAGCTGATTCCATGTGGACCCACCAACGAATTCTTTGATCTCAGTAATGCGGGTATCTTCTACACAATGATTGGCACTGGTGCCAAAATGAGAATTACTTCTTGTTCCACTGAAGCTCAATTCATCAGTCGAGTCTCTGTATTTACCTCCTGTGACAGCAACAGTTGTGTGGACAGTGCCGCCGAAACCAAAGTGGAAGGTGGCTCCAATACGACCTGTTTTGATGACGAGAGCAAAGCTGTTTTAGAATTTCAGTCGGTGGCTGGCGTGGAATACTCGCTGTTTGTTCAAGACGACACTGCTGGAATCAGTGGTGATTTCGCCATGTTTGTGGACGAGCTTCCACCTGAGAATGCCTTTTGCAACTCACCTCCTGTGCTAGAAATGGATAAGACCTATACAGGAACTACTGGTGGATCTGTGACTTCAACGACTGCTCCAGCGTGCAATGGTACCAGCCCGGATGGTCCAGGAGTTTGGTTTGCAATTCCAGGGGAAATGGACGACACAGAAGTCGTCATGGTCGTTTGCTCGGAGCAACCATTTAGCTTTCTGGTCTATTCGAGTAGTTGCAGTGATCTATCTTGTGTCGATGTCAAGCCAAAGGTTGAAGAAGCAAGGCTTTGTGGTGACGGGAGCATCGAATCGAGAGTGGCATGGATCCCCAACAAGGGCGAATCCTATTACGTTCACATGTTTGGTGACGATGGTGCCAATTTCCGATTGGCCTTTGGACGTCCATTAATGAGAAACGATAGTAGTAGTGGAAGTATATCAGGCAAGATAGCAGGAGGCCTGGTAGCGACGACTATTGCACGTTTGGTTTTCGCAATGCTCACATTGTAGCCGCTGGAAATACTATATCTCCATAATCTTATATATTAGTCCTAGCGACTGTTAGAATGTCATATTTCTTTTGAAAGGAACTGATGGTGCTTGAAGAATTGTCGCATTTTGAATGATCGATGATGCGCAATAATCTTTCAGGGTCACCTTATTCAGAGAGTGGACGACCCGCTGGACTAAAACTCGAATTTCCCCAAACTTATCGTCAACAGATAGTCGTTATTATTTTCAACTTCCACAACACTCCTTCCCCAAGATAATCAGCAATGACTAGCAGAATAATATAACACACAAGGCAGAGAAATGAAAGGAAACAATATCATCATCATGACCGAGGCCGGCAAGCCAGTTTTCTCCACAAACGATTCCGAAATGGAGGTGGGAAGACAAGCAGCTCTTTTTCAAGCCATTCGCACGGCTGTCGAGGGAAATAATGATGCATTGGGTCTGGGAGAACTCAAATCCATTCATTCTGGTAGCCTCATGATTGTATTTATGGAAGCGGGTGGGATTACACTGGTATCCATGATTGAAAAGGGTGAGGAAGAAGGGATCGTGGAAACAGAAGCCTTTGCAAGAATTCAGTTGGAACATGTGTATGCACAGCTGATCTTTAGCATGACAGACCATCCCCAAAAGATATTGGCGCAAAATCCAGGATTCGATTTAGCTACTATGATTACAGCCACTGAAAAGAAACTCTTGAACGGAATATTGAGCAAATGCGGACCAGACGGAAATGTTGGTCAGTTTCTCACGGGTTCGGTAGAGACAGCTTTTCCGATTCCCCACAACTTGCGGAACCAAGCTTCAAGAGCACTACATTCCATCAATGTACCCAATACAGTGTTTGCTATCATGTTGGTCGGGGACAGGTTATTGTCACTCGTCCAGAGTTCTTTCCGGCCTCACCAATTACGAGTTTCTGATTTGCAGTTGATCATCAATGTGGTGGACCAGAACACCTCCCTATCCTCCAGCGAACTCTGGATTCCCATGTGCCTACCCAGATTCAACACATCTGGCTTTCTTTACGCCTATATTCGTTGTCTGGATGAAACGTCTCAGTTGAAACTTATCCTGCTTTCAACCCACAACACTACGGAGCAATTTCAACTGTTTCATACAGCATCGGATCGAATACGGAAAGATATGGATATCCCTGCGACGCATGATACCGTCTTGAAGATTGATACATCCAGTCAGGATACTCCAACTAGTGCAACAAAGACAGATGTCGCCTGGTTCCTCGCCGAGTGCTCCTTTGATGACAGTATCGAAGAAGGGTATGTAAGTATTGGAAAAGCGCAAGACCAACAGCTTCTCTTGGATGCAATCCAAAACAGCCGCGAACCGTCGTCATTGGAACAACTCGTGGAACGGTACGTGGGAAAAGAAGAGTACCTACTTCAATTTGTATTTCGCATGGACGTGAAGGTGAGGAGTGAATCCAATCAACGTGGTCTGTTGTCCCAGTGTATCAGTACACCCATCTTGCTGGAAGACTTTCCAAATGCCAAATCTCGGCGGCGAGTATACATCATGTATCAAAAGCTAGGCCTAAGGCTGCGTCTTGGATCAGCCACGGTGGAGTCCTCAATGGACGCGTTGGATATGATTGCCTTGGACGACAAGGGTGCGTCGGATCTTTCTTCCTTTCCAACCCTTACGAGTACTTGTCCGTCCATTGGACTTGCCGAGTCACCACCCAATGTGCATGGCATAACCTACATTGTGGATGGAGATGAAATTTTCTTAGGAATGAACGGTCGTGATTTTGAATTCTACATGACCATTCGCAACTCAGTTCCAATAAAGAAGGCTGCTGCGATTGGTACCAAGTTGGTACGGCGCCTCAAAGCAGACGAGAAAGATTTATTTCTTACAAACCCCTTGACATGGGATGTAAGATGACGATGATGTTTCAATTTGTATCTTAGTTTAAAATATCTGTCTAGTCACATAGTGACATGCCTTCTTCCTTGCTCACATTGGTAGCACTGGAAACATTCCAGAACCAAGTATGGAAACTAGCATCAGCGTTCTTGTCGTAGAACTTGATCCTAGACCGAAGGCTTTTGAGTGCCTTTGGAGGCAACGCTGCAAGTTGTGGGAAACTAGCAATTTGGCGTTCCTCCGAGTCCGCATGTGATGGAGCCAGCTCTGCGGTGAACCTTCGGCTCATCGAATCACCATCGTTCAGCATGGCAACTTGAGGCATTGGGAAGCGAGTCTTGGCACGCCTCCAAACATATCTCCTGCAGTGCTTGCGAATCTCTTCGTAGTCTTCGCCCTCGCATCCCTTTCCTGACCAAATGTAAAGATAGTCGTAGTGGTCTGCTGCAACAATGGACTGCAAAATCAAGCGTGAGTATACTCTCATTTTCTGAATCAGTGGGAACTAAATCTTGAGATCGAAACTTACAAAGTCCCAAAGTGACAGTGTCTCCGCGGGCAAATCCAACAATTCTTCAGCAATTTCTTCTTCCCCTTCAATGTATCCAGTGCTGAACAGTTGTGGAGCCATCATGCTCAAACAATCTTCCAAGGGGAATCGAAGAAAGAATCCACGCAAGGCAGCCCGGTCGTCCATGGACCGCATTGGTCCAGGACTGATGAGCGGCCCTCGGCGCAAATGGTACAGCAATCTCAAAGCACCATTCAGATTCGGAGGAAAGGCAGAATCCAACGAGGAGGAAGACTTTGCTTTTCCATTCTCCAACCCAAGAAGTCGAAAGGACCCTGAGATTCGCTGCACAGTTGCGTCAATGTCAAGCTGTGTTTCATTGGCAAGCTTCTCCAGCGTCGAGGTGTCGCCAGCAGTAACCTTGTCACGAACTTCGTCAGTCTCTTCCCGACCATGTAGGGTACGATAGACAGCCGTCTTGGCGAGAACCACAGCGACTACATCACTATTGGCATTCTCAAGATAGTCGGTAGTATCCTTAGCCACGGGGAATCGGTAAGTGTACACTCGGGTAATGAATATCTTCCCCTTGCGATCCACATGCCGAGAGATGAATTGGAAGAAGCAATGAGTGTCATTTTCCTCCTCAAAGGTTTCATTTAGCTCCAGAAGAACTGAAATGGTGGACAATGGGTCCACGCGACCCAGCTTTATTCTCGTCATGGAAACGTCCAAGGCATCCGCAAGTGGGAGGTCCTTTGTTTCGAAGCCGTCTTCCACAGCAAGTTCCGCGCCCTCTTCGTACCCTTTTCGCTCGGTTTCCAACATATCGGCGTCTTCGGCAATTAGTTCCCCTGGACCATTCAAAGTACTGGGTGTCATGAAACTATCCGTTCGGATATCCAAGAACACCTGCGAGTCATTGGTAGCCGTGTCGTCCGAATCCACCGCTGGAGAACGAGAGGTGTAGGTGTTTTGCAAGATCCAAGTGAAATTTTGCTTGAGTTGCTTGCTGGCAAGCGAGACATGAGACACGACGTATCCACCACTTGGTTCCACAAGCGCTTGGTACGCAGGAATCGCCAGTTCCGTAACCCCGGAACAAAATACGTCAATTCCAACTCCAGTGTCCAACGCGAAACTGGCAGTAGTGTCAAAATAGTCGATTGCCTTTTGCAATTTGTCAATGTCTACCACATCATGAGCATGAACTGGACCTTCATTCTCCTTGTTATCATCCACAGCTACCACGCTGCCACCACCAACGTTGGGGCAACCGTTGGTAAACAATAGAATTTGAGATGTTCGAGATGGCTCCGGGTGTCCCACGACAGTCAAATCAATCGCGCATTGAATGGCTTCACCAACGCATCGCTTGGGATGTTTTGTTTTGGCAAGCTCTCTGCGCTTGATCCACGGCGATGTCTTGCTGGTTTCGTTCTTGCCCTTTTTCTCTTTTCGCAAGCGATCCTCCTTTTTTCGCTTCAATATTTCCATTCGGCTCTCTGGTTCTTCACCTTGATCCTTCTCATCCACTGGGACACCAAAGGTAGCTGAAAGGCACTGGATAAGACTGTCCAAGTCTTCCAAGCACTCGACCTCTTGGAGGTATGCTCGTTCTTCCATGGATTTCTTGCGAGCAACGAGAGCTTCGTCGTCGTCAGGATCAATGGGGGTGTAGACATCGGCCGAGGCAATGCCCAGCAAGCCAAGTTGATACATGGATACCACTTGATCAAAGACGACAAGACCTATTCTCGTTCGTGGAAAGTCCCCTTCTGCCCGTTCGGCAACCTTGACAAATTCTTCTACTGCATTGAGAATGCCACGACCGTCATTGCCAGTTAGATTGGTATCCACCACCAAGACAAGAGTTCGGGTATCATCATCGACATAGGTGCTCCTGCTGCTGTAACTACGATTCTCGCTGACATAACTACGTCGACTGCCACTCTCATAGCTCCTACGGCTGCCGCTTGCATAGCTTTTGCGGCTTCCTTCATCGTCACGACTAACACGGCTTGTAGCATCTTGATCATAGCTGTCAGGACTTTTACTGACATAGCTATGATTGCTCTCACTACGACTGCCGACGCTGTGATTGTCACTAATAGCATCATCGTCCTCGTCGTCCACTTTTACAGCAGGCTTGGAGGTGAGATCCTGATGGTATTCCACCATGTTGTTCTCGATGGCTGGCTTGATGAGAGTCTTTAAATCTGGAATCGGTGCCACGTTCTTTTGCTCACAGAGAGCACAAGTCCAAATCCCCTGTTCGACGTCCACCTGACAATGAGGATTAATGTACGCCAAACAAGTCAAGCAAATCACGGGTAGCATGGCATGGCTTTGGCAGTCAATGATTTGGACCTTGTCATTTTCGGCTTGGGGAGTCCAAATGAAACCATAAGGAATGTCACGAAAATTCTCCAAATCCGGTTTGGGAGGACATTTCTTGGAAGTAAAGACGACTCCATCATTGGCTTTTTTCTTGAGTGGACGAGGGACCACACCGTCTGCCTTCTTGATTTTGGGTTTGCCGTCCCAGACTGATGGTTCTACTGGATTTTTCTTTTTGGCTTCAATCTTCTTCTTCTTTGGAGGACTACTCTTCTTCTTCTTCTTTTCCTCCTCTTCAGCAGAAGAAAATGGCCACCACATGATGACGGTCTTCGCTCAAGAACGAACGAACAACAATAATACGAGTGCTGGAAGAGAGCTCGACGTTTGCTTGGTTTTTGAACCAATGACTCCAGTCAGTCGAACGATTCGGAGATTTGCCCTATTTGAAAATATTGCTTGTACACCTACTGTCCTGTGCTGTAGCTTCGAATGGATGGAAAGAACTACAGAGTACGAAGCTTGTTTGTCGTTTGTGTCATGTACTACTTTTAGTACTCAAATATGCATCTAGCAAATAGTGGAAATGCCTAGTAGACCAGTTACTTGCATACTTCTACAATTCTGTTGCTACGAAGAAGACTTGACTAGTCCCAAGAACGCACCGATGTTGGAAAGCACGATATCGGCGTGGCACAGAAAGCGGCACTCTTCTCGACCATGACCCGTTTCCACTATTTTCTGCTTCCACAAGCTCAGCTCCAATACTGTCATGTTTTCATTCCGTGCATAGCGTTCGATTTGAGAGCATGCTTCCTTGTACAGATTGACCCGACGATCTTTGCGAGTTGCCGTACAGATGGCTTCCACACGGCGCTCCATGTCCTGCATCACCCCCGCAGGAGCACCCCAGTGCTCCAAGGAATCTATTGTCCAGCGTCGCATGGCTTCTTGAAACAAAACTTTGGTTTCCAAAGTCCAGTTGGCGACCAAGTAATCCATGGCTCGTTTGCCATTGGCATCTTTTAGACCCAGCACACTATAGTGTGGGAACTTGTCGAGAAGAACCAGAAATAAATCTTGACGGGGATCCACAGACGAACAGAGAATATGAAAGGGAGTCATGCCAAACTTGTCTACGGCTGGTGCATCATCATCATCATCATTTTCCAATGGAGTGTCCCGCAACTCGTCTACGGTAGTGGTGGACGAGTGGTAGCACAAGCGGTGGAACGGATGCCCATCAAAACGATGAATCAGATCCTGCACAAGCTCATCAATTGTTGGACCACAACATTTGTGCAGTGTAGTACATTTGTCGGCAAACACCACACCGAGAATCCCCTTCTCAATCACCCCTTGTGGAAATAAGATATTGGCCAGTGACGCACAGCCCAAAAAGGAATCTTGTTCAATTCGTACGGAATACGTAGGTGCCATTTCCACCGTGACCAAATGGATGCAGTTGGCAAACGCTTGAGACGCAATGCGGGCCACGCAAGTAGGTAGCCGGACTGCTTGGAGGGCTCGGGAATACGCAAAGGAAGTGCTTGGAATATCGCGAATGTTCGACAAGGAAAGATCGACCTGCACCAAGGCATCGCAAGAACAAAAGACGAGGCGTTCGATCCATTTCACGCTGGGAGGAAGTTTGATTCGTTCCAAACCGGGACAACTCATAAAAACTGCTTCCTTGAGTCTTTCCAACGAGGATGGCTCTGCGAAAGCAACCTCTGTCAACTGTTTGCAAGCGTTAAAGGCGTGTTCTTCAATGGTTTCGGTCGTGCTGGGAATTCTCACTCCCGCCAGTTTCGAGCCAGAAAATGAACCTGTTCGAATTACTTTCAATCCTTCGTTCAGCTGGACTTCTCGCAGGCGAAGATCCCTGCAACAGTACTCAGGCAGGACTTCAACGTGATCATCGACAATGATTGTTGGCACATTGTCTGGTACCTGCTCTCCTTCGTTACCACGAAAGTGATAGGATTGCATCGTTGTGCCAGAGGGACAGATTGAAGATGGGCAATGATGCAATGGCCAATTTGATACGGTAGTGTTGGTTTTGAGAAGCAGTACCAGTACTGCACGGTAGGTACCGGTATTATAAAAGGAGTGATGCGCCGCCCTGACACTGTTGTATGTGTACTGTAACTCGGCGCTACTGTACAGTGCTGTGACACAACTGTGATACACGCTGATGAGGTTTTCAAATTCGTCTGACGTCAGCTACAGCACTGTAGGATATTATCTTTAGTGTCAATCCGTCGGCCGTGTTCAGTGTAGTCGAAGGCGTCGAAACATTCATGTGAAAACATTTCGAGTTGTGTATTTCGTTTCAAAACCCAAACCCAAACCCAAAACCCAAACCGTCCAACACAACATTACCATGTCTTTATCACAAGAAAGAAGCTTTACACTTCCAGATTCAGGTTCTCCATCGAGAATAGCCTACTTTGAAGAGTCCAATTTGGCCGTCATTGTTACCCACCCATGGGGTCCTCTAGGCGGCAACATGCAAAACAATGTCGTCTTGAACGTGGCGCAATTCTTTCAACGTTTGAAGGTTACCACCCTGCGATTTGACTTTTGCGGGATGCAGGTTGGAAGAGGATATTCGCAAATAGAGCAAGTCAAGGAATGCGCCAATGTTTTGCTAAAGGGAAAGTTTCTGTCCTCGCAGCAGCAGCAAAATCTTCCTAAGCAGATCTTGTTGGTGGGATACTCCTATGGATCCATCATTTGTGCCTCTGCCACGGCTTCCATACCCGAATGCATTGGCATGGTATGGATTGCTCCACCACTGGGAGTTCGACGGTGGCTATACCTCTTTGCTGGTAATACACATTTGGAACAGGCCCGCAAACGACCGGAACTACCACAGCTCATGATTTTGGGGTCCAATGACAATTTCACGTCAGTCAAGGATTTTGAAAAAGTGGTTCAGACCATGCCACAAGAAACGACATCAAGCACTGTATTAAATGGCAGTGATCACTTTTTTGGAAGAACGGCAAAGGATCTTTTGGCAGCGATTGGTGAGTACAAAGTGTGCGTGATTTTCATAACATCGTTGATTGATTGGATTGATTGGATTGATTGATTGATTGATGTGTGACCTTATCTGACTCGTTTCCGCCACTATGACGACACAGCGCGCTGGCTGATTGATGTTTATCCACTTCCTGATAGTGATATTAAGGCGCTGAATTCATGTGATATACCTCCGGTAGCCATGCCGGATGGAGAATCTCCAAGTGGTTCCTGTTTGGGCTAGAGTGGGTAGAACAGACCTGATGGTATTGCCTACTATGCCATTCTTTGCGCCTTGCACTTTGTATCAAATGCAGACAGAAATAATTCATGTTGACTCGCACTCATTAGAGTCAACAAGAGAGAACGCATTAACGTTTCGAGCTGTTGCCCCCCTCAATGCACAAGCTGTATCGACAATGGATCAGACATTCAAAATTGGTTGCACATGTTGGTCGGATAGTAGGTATCAGTATCACGAAGCACTCTGATACTACAGTATACTATTCTAGAAAACATCACCCGGAGTGAAGGGAGTTAGTTTTCTGACTTCTAGTTGCGATAAAATATTGCAAATCATAATCATCATGGCCACACACTATTAATATGGATCCGTGATAAATAGCCACCATACTTTTGGAATCTTTCACTACAGTATTTTCATGCGTTCTTCCACTAATCGGTAGTAAATGAATCACTACTTTTGTTTACTGCTGTTTTGATTACCATTCCAATTCATCCGGATAGATTGGATGGTCCAGGGGTATCACACTCTCTTTGTTTTTATCTCGCGGCAAGGCCTTCCGCATGTCTAAAGCGTCCTCAGGCATTTCACCAGAATAGTAGCCTATCACTCGCCGGTATGTTGAAAAACCAAACTTGTTGTACATGCTTTGCGCCAAATGATTCGACTTGCGGACAAACAAATCCACAAAGTAGGCATTGTACGTATGAGTGCACAAGTCTTCAAAGTCGTCCATCAAGGTCTTGGCCATACCCAAGCGACGATATTCTGGAGCCACAGTGACGGCAGAAACGTGACCGTGCCAGAGTTTACCATAACCTTCCGCCTTGCCCAAATTGTAACCCATCAAGGATCCATTGGCGGCTTCCGCAACGGTAAAGGCCTCGGGCCATTGCGACATGTACGACATGTAAAAGCTCATGTAGTAAGTTTCCGTCAAATAGTCCAAGTTGATGTTGTTGAACTTGAGCAAGTCATCCATTTTAAATTGTCGAATGGTCGTCATGGTGATGTTGATAATGAGGATGAGAGATGCTGACTACAACTATGCGACAAAGGTGAAGATTGAATATTGAATTCGTATGCCTTGGTGTCGCCGTTTTATACATTGCGAAGTGAATTAAAGCTATTTATGTACCTTACAATTCTGACGGCTCTTAGATCCAACGCTGGTATACGTGCTATATTCGAATATAGCAGACCTACTTGCTACTGTAGTTGACCTTTCAACATCGTCAGATGATACTGTATTATAAGTATGATACCATTATGAAAGCTGACTGTTCAATGGGCGAACGTGATTATGTTCTCAAAGTACTTAGTGCAAAACGTTACAGTGTCCATTGACAGCTCGGTAAGCCTTCAAACATTCGTGCTGCTTCATCCATTTGGCTTTTCGGGCTGGAGTTTCGCGACTCTTTTTTATAGGACTTTTGTCTCTACATATATCAAAGGCGCCATATTTCTCAAGCTTCTCTTGCCGCAAGGAGTCGAGAAGTCCATTTTTGTATTCGGCTCTTTGTTGCCAGAGCCAAGACCTGAGTGGATCAGTCTGCTTGGTCCCATTCTTCCCCAGACGATTCTTGTAATAAAGCTCATATTCTTTATACTTTTAATCCCAATTGCGTTCGTGGTCTTCCCGGGGCTTTGGTGTAGCAGCATAGTTTATCTCTTGCAGTTTCCGCAATCGATCCGGTTTCATTGCCTTTCGATGGTGACGCTGGTTTGTCAACCACTTTGAAAGCCGAACATAATTCGGATGACTCTTGGGGAGAGTTAGGTGTTTATGCACCTGATAAAACTTGTAATATTGCTGATAATTTCGCTCCCAAACTTCGTTCTGAGATGGATTGGCTAACAATACAGAGCCTTTTGGTGCATTGCCAGTTTCTACATGTTCCTCGACAGTAGGAGGGCCCTTGGCGGCGACGGACGGAGCGTCGTCCTTCTTGGGAGCAGCAATGGCGTCCTTGGTGGCAACTGGTGGAGCACAATCTTTTTCAGGAGCGCTGTCCTTTTCACGAGCAAAAACGGTGCTCCTCTTCCTTCTTTTCTTCTTCGTCTTGTTGTTCATGACGACTATCGTCATTGTTGGGTAAGAGTAGCTTGCGAGATCCTTTGTCGACGTGATCAACAGCAGCTTGCTCTTCATCACGCTTCCTGGTTGTTGTCGAAGAAGAATCAGCAATGAAATTTGTGCAGGCGGCCTTTTCCACTTTGTCATTGGCATTGGCCAAGAACAAGAACGAAGAAAATGACAAGCTTGTGTTGGTGGCAAAGTAGCTGTCGTTGGTAGTCATGATGAGATGGTGGTGGTGGTGGTGGTGGTGGTTGGCTGACTGCTATTTGTATTGTGGGCTTGCTTGAATCACTTTGGAGATTGAAGGTCCGAATTCGTCTGTGAACGAAAATCTTTGAAGGCCTGGAAGATTGGCAAAACACCGCCTCGATCTACTCAATCGGACTAGTCGAACGGCCATCACACTTGAAAGATAAAAGTTCATACTCCTGGATTCTGTATCAAACGAATTCAAGCAGCGTCTTGAACAACGTGAAGACGATTATGTTCAGATTAGGGGCCGTTGCGACGGACCCACGATTTTCAAGATCATCTGCAATCTAACCTCTCCATCCAATCGGAGGACGATACAATTCCTAATTAACGACCTACAAACTTTGTCCCCGATCGAGCATGGCAACAGCATCATCCTTTTTAATCAACGTTTCAACGAACTTAAGGCCAAGATCCGAGCTATGGGAGGCTCCTCTAGCTTAAACGAAGTCATGACCTACAACGCCCTCGCGCAAGGATACAATCAAGTTGATCAAGACGAATTCAGGGCCTTTATGTCAATCAAAAACAACATGCCCGAAATACCGCACGAAGACCTCATGAAGGAAGGAGAGACCAAGTACAACAATCTTGTCTCAGAGGGTCTCTGGCACCTTCCCTCACAGAAACAACAGATCATGTCCCTTTCGGCTAGCCAGGCGAAGGACAAGAGGGAGATTATTAAGGACTACACCGCAAAAATCCAAAAATTTGGGAGCAAGCGGAAGCAGCCTCCAACTGACCCCAAACAAAGCAAGAAGCCCAAGGCCGATGGCCGCAAGGACAAAGATAATGGGGACTTTGACACCTGGCTTGTTACCCCTCCAAAAGCCGGCGATGAGGACAAGATCATCAAGAAAGCCAACAAAAGCGGGTCCATGAGGGAATGGAATTGGTGTAAGCATCACAAGAAGATGGTACTTGCGGTATCACGCGACGGTAGAAAGCACAACTCCAAGACGTGCAGCGGAGTTGGAACTCCCATAAAGAAGCCTAGCACAAAAGAACAGAAGAGATTGAAAGAGTAAATTACGTATCGATTATCCTGTACATACAGCCTGTAGTACACATTTTGAAAGTTGACAGTGGCATGGGCGAATATGATTATGTTATAAAAGTGCTTCGTGCAAAAGACGGTCTGATCATGTTTCTTTTTCCTTTGAGTCCAAAGTGCGTATTTCCGTATGTGAACTGGTTAGTACAGTGGTGGGAAATTCTACTACAGTACCTACGCTTTTCTTCTGATACCTTGGAATCCACTGTCATTTTCCCTGTCGTTGTTGACAAAGTTCGGTGCATTAATGCGATTTCTGTACCTGATACTAAGAAAGTCCGAACGTTACCACGACGACTGACTTCACTGCTGCATCTGCTAGTGATACATACAGTCTACATCTATCTGTCTCCAATCCACTTTATAAAATGTTGAGAAGTTCTGAATCGATTTGTGTTTTTTTCTATAGTTCTTCATTTTAAAATTTCGAAGCACTTCGATGAAGAGCTGCTTATGTGCCAGAGTTTACAACAATAATCTGATATAACGACCCCAGCCAATTCCAGAGATTACAAGGTGGTGATGCCGCTCATATTAATACAACTGCTTCGAAGCTAAAATTCGTTTTCACTGAAAATCAAAACCAACCGTGGTCGTGTCAAGAAACTACCCAATCCGGATCGAAGCTCACCAATCCGAGACACGCATAGCTTTCCAATATAATCCCAGTAGATTTACTCTTCACCTTTCTTTAGGGCTGGTGCTTTCTTCATAGTCTTGGCGTTACGAGATCTTGCATTGATCTCTCCTTCTTCAACTCCCTTTTGGAATTCTTCTGGAATCTTCTTTAATTCGTCTGGTACTTCGTTCAGACTCTCCTTGAGTTCACCTGCAAAGCTACCAAGCTTTTCCGGACCCACAATGAAGGCACCAACCGCAAGAATCACAGCAATTTCAGGAGCCCCAAGACCGAAGAGTCCTTGAACTTGGATGTTGCCAACCGAGTGTCGTTGTTGTTGAACGGATTTGTGCTGGTGGCCATTCTTCTCAATGGGTGAAAGCGATGAAAACTGCGCTCCTGGGCATTTTGTTGGAGTTACAAAGGCAGAAGCGGAGTAGAATGTCAGTGAGTGTACCAACGCACAGAGAAGTAAAGAAAGGCGACAGTTCATCATCGTGCAGTGTAATGGAATGGGATCGTATATTTTCAATGTGATGGCAGTTTCGTGTTTGCCACGTGGATGTGTCATAAAAGGCTAAGGTAGCTCCAACTACCAATCAAAATCTCAAAAGGTGTAGCTACAGTAACTGTGCTCCTATTTAGCCTAAAGCGCGGAATTTGAACAGTAATGTAGCAGCTAGAGAGGTTATATATGGCATTTCACTTTTTGGATCATATAATCAGTATTCTAATATGTTTCGAGGTCTCAAATCCATCAACCACCAACCCCTGGCTTTCTTGATTCCAATCAGACAAAAGGCATCTCCGATTTAGTCAGAAGAAGAGTCCTCCTTAGCTGCAGTCTTTGCCTTCGCCATCTTTGCTTGCTTTTCACCCTCTTCAAGACCCTTTTGGAACTCTGCTGGGACTTCCTTGAGTTCTCCGGCAATCTTTCCAGCGTCCTTTCCAAATTCGGCAAGCTTCTCGGGTCCAAGCAAGAAGGCAGCAGCCACAAGGATGACACCAATTTCAGGAGCTCCAAGACCGAACAATCCCATTGTCTGAACTTGGGCCACCGAATTTCGTTGCCGTTGCAAACTGGCAGGTTGGTAGTCTGCCATCGGTGACGCAGGAGCCAATCGTGTAACACCAAAGTTGGAGTTTACTGGGGCGAAGGCAGCAGCAAAGCCGAAGAATGAAACAAAGACAGCGAGGAGGTTTGTGATGCGGACCATTGTGCGATAGATTGAGTCCGGAGTATTTATATGCAATGTGATGGAACGTGTGATGATGTTGACTTGGTTGTCAACCAGAAGATCGGTCTTATCCGGGTCCTTTACACATCAGGTATCCTGATGATGGACGGACATCGATCTCAGGACCAGTCCTGCACGATTTTGGGCTCTCACTTTTTTCTTTTCGGTTGTTGTTCCGATATCGAACTTTTCCTTTATACCTACTAATATATCATTGAATAAACAACAGCAAAGATGGGAAATCGTGTGAAAGGTCGTCCAAAGAAGTCGACTATCAAGGCTAACAGCCATTCCAAAATGGGATCCAAGAGAAAGCTATCTCGCATGGGAAAGAAGCAAAAGAAGAATCATGCTGGGTTGGAAGCAACTTTCATCGGGCGTTCCAAGTGCTTGAAAATGCTACAAGTCACAATCAAGGACTTTAGACGTTTGTGCATTCTCAAGGGAATCTATCCTCGGGAGCCACGCGGAAAATTCCCTGGACACAAGAAGGGCCAAACATTCTATCACATTAAGGATATTCGTGCCATTGCCCATGAGCCCGTTTTGGAGAAGTTCCGCGAATTCAGGACTTTCACCAAGAAGGTAAGGCTTTTTCTCATTTGCAGATTTCGGGCACTATTTCATTCACCTTTTCTTACTTTATCCTTTCTTGCAATAATTTTCAGGTGCGTCGTGCTGCTGGTAGAAACGAGCAAGATGAGGCACTCCGAAAAAATGCCATGTGCCCAACCTACACTTTGCACCACTTGGTCCGTGAAAGATACCCTCGTTTCAATGATGCGTTGTCGGATATTGATGATGCCTTGACTTTGACCTATTTGTTCGCAGCTCTTCCAAGTACTTCCAACATCAAGTCCAAGGTTGTCAACAAGGCCAAGTCATTGGCGGCTGCCTGGGGTGCTTATTGCTCCACTGCCGCTTGCATTACCAAATCATTCATTTCGGTTAAGGGAGTCTACTTCGAGGCGACGATCCGAGGTGTTCCAGTTCGTTGGGTTGTCCCACATTCTTTCACACAATTCATGCCAGAAGACGTGGACTATCGTGTTATGACCACCTTTTTCGAGTTTTATGAAACACTTCTTCATTTTGTGTTGTACAAATTGTACACCGACATTGAAGTTCGTTACCCACTTCCCGCTGAGGGCGGAGAGGTCAAGGGTAGCACCAGTTTTATTCTAGGTGCCAACCTTCGTTCTCTTTCCAATGCATTGAATTCCACTGGAAACATCTCGAATATTGTGTCCGAGTCGGTTGAAGATGGAGACAAAAAGAAAAAGAGTGGCAAGACTAAGGAAGAGAGAAAGAAGGAAAAGGAATTGATCAAATCTGTCGGAGCTGCGTTGAACAGCATCAACGAGGATAGTGATTCCGAAGAAGAAGAGGATGATGTCGATGTAGCAGGGCCTCTTAAGGCTGCCTTGGAAAGCATGGCGGACGATGAAGCCCGAACGGTACTTCCAGGTGGAAAGTTGGAGCTTGATGATGAATCCATGAAGAGAAGACGCCTTTTCTCTGGATTCAAGTTCTTTCTTTCTCGTGAAGTCCCAAGAGGATACCTCGAGCTTGTCTGCCTTGCCTTTGGTGGAATCGTTGGATGGGAAGGCCCCAACAGTCCTATTGCCGTCAATGATCCGTCTATCACTCACCATGTCGTGGATCGACCAAAGCTTCCTGCCTCCTACAGCAACTTGCCAAAGTCCCGAGAATTCATTCAACCTCAATGGATCTTGGATTGTGCCAATAATGTATTTTTGCTTCCTGTTGCCAAGTACACGGTTGGAGTAACCTTGCCTCCTCATCTTTCTCCATGGGTGGACAATGAGGAAGAAGGATACAAACCAGCCTACGCCGAAGTGATTGAACGTCTCAAGAATGGGGAACCAGCTGTTGCTGAGAACGACGATCAAATGGAAACCGATGAAGCAGCTGATGATTCTGAAGAGATGGAAGACGCTGCCAAAGAAAAAGATTCGGACACCGAAGAGGAAAGCGACGATGACAGCGAAGAGGAGGACGAGGAAGACCCTGCAGCAAAGAAAAAACAAGACAAGAAGAAACTTGCTGCCAAGAAGGCAAAAACTGAGAAGAGAAGAAAACAGGAAGAGGAAGAAGCCCACGCTCTTGCCAAGACAATGATGAGTCGTAAGGCTTCCCACCTCTATGGTCGTATGCAACATGGTATTGGACAGCGCAATGCCAAGGTTGAGAATCTAAAGAGCAAGCGAAAGGCTATTGAAGAGGAAAACCGAAGCAAGAAGAAGGATACTTTGGGAAGAACTCCTCTGAAACAAAAGGTGGACCGCCTTCGAAAGGAGCGCAAGCGCTTGGAAGACGAATATTCCAACCCTACTGGTGTTTCCTCGAAGAAGAAGAGCAAGAAGAAGCGCTCGACTTAAAAATAGAACCTGTATTACAACATACTTTCTTCAAAGCTGTATTCATAGGTAGGCTTGGTGCGTGGCGAAGAATAGGTTGTTTCGTTGGTGTGCGAGCTGCAGATCACCAGTGGATTGGAAGTTCTCGTTTTCGTAGGACGATGTTGGCATTGCTACTGCTGATTGATTCAGCCCATGATAAGAGAGTACTGAAGATCTTTTGAAAGCATGAACATGGATATTGATTATATTTTCTAGAATCGTACACGTCTGCATTTGAAACCCATTCAATGGGTCCAAGAGTGCCGTTCAGATGCAAAGTGATTATACATAGAGATACAAGTGTGGGTGGCTGCTGTGGGACCACAAGCCAACAACTGGAATTGGGCAGTATTTTTGGAATGACTTCAAGGTGGCTGCGACTATACCAAGATAATCTCCTCTTGTGGTTGGCTCTTGGCCCACCTCTTGCGATTTTTCGATCGCTTTTGTTCAGACTTGGTCAAGATTTTACCATTGTTCCAGTTGAAAACTCTAAAAGTAGATCAATTGACGTTTGTTAGAATCGAAATTGCAATCGTGCATAATATTCACTCCGACGGACTTACCCGAAATCACCGTTTTCATACTCCATAGTTCCCAATCCATGCATGTGTCCATTCTTGAAGTCTCCGTAGTAAGTGGATCCATCCTTCCTTTGAAACTTTCCTCTTCCGTTAGGGGTGTCCTGGCTAAAGTCACCTTGGTACTCGGCACCATCCGCCCACCTGAAAAATCCGAATCCTTCACGGACATCGCGATCAAAGTTGCCGACATAGACACCAGTGGTATATTCGAGGCTTCCATGACCATGGCGAAGGCCGTTCTCCCATAATCCAGTGTAGGCGATGCAATTCTTCTTCTCATAGCTAGTGTATCTGAGGCTACCACGGCCGTGTGGTAGACGGGTGACCTTGTTGATCTCTCCAGTGTAATGACCTTCACCGTTCATGTCATTGTTTGAGACAAATTCCACATCGGCGAGAATTTGACGCGAAGGAGAACTACTTAAAGAGATTGTGCTAGAGACCGAAACTCCATGATGGAAGGTTGGAGCGGTATCGTACAGTGTAGGAGCAGAAAAGGGAGGCATGCTGTCTTGGATTGAATTGTAAAATGACGATGATTCCTTACATAAAAAGGAAGATTGATGGAAGGTGTCACGCTCAAAATGTATCTTTCTATTTTATTTTCGTCCATGGAAGCAAAAGAAGTTTCAGGATCCTCACTTCCTCGCACGAAATTGCGGATATGCTGATTTCTAAGCCTGGAAACATAGCTAGTACTTCTTTAGATGGGGTTTCGCGCCTTCAAAATCGGCATCTCATAACAACTTTCTACGAAAATAGTCCGTTCCTTGCGCCGAAAATTGCGAAAGAACAACCGGAACGCCAAAATTGAAGGGACTTGCGCGTCGACGCAATGTTTTGGTCACTTCGATGGGTCACGAGTCATGGTGTCTGTCCTACAGGACGATGTCTACCCATCAGTCCGTTTTGGATTCAGCCGACCAACCATCAAATCCCATCAACTACCGTTATCCCATCACTATAATGAAAGAACAGAATGATGGCCCAATTCCATACACAAAAGACGTTATTGCTAGCACTAGCGTTGCAACTGTCAGCTGTCTACAGCTTTTCCATTCAATATGGGCCCAAAAAATTGAACATTGGAAAGCAGCAAACCACTCCATTGTGGGCTAAACCTCCTCCCACAACCAACTTTGATTTGGAAGCAATCGAAGCCATGGAAGCCAAGTGGGATATGGAAGAAGCAATGGGAACAGACGATGTTGGTGAAGAAGATGATATCTTGTCTGACGGATTGGGAGGAACATCAGAAGAAAACGTTGTTTTGTTGCAAGTCCCTGATGAATTGGATGGAAAGAGAATTGACGCTGCGTTGTCCAAATTGGATTCCAGTTTATCACGGTCAACTTGTGGAGCATTGGTAGCCGATGGAAATATACAGCTAGTAGGAGCTAATGGTGATCTAAAAGTGCTTTCTCGCAAGTCGCACAAGGTTTCATTCGGCGATACGCTGCGAGTGACCATGCCCAAAGAAGAGAAACCCACCGAGATTGTGGCACAAGATCTGCCTTTGAATATTCTATACGAGGATGAGCACATGATTGTTCTCAACAAAGCGGCTGGTATGGTAGTTCACCCAGCGGCTGGAAACTGGGATGGAACAGTCGTCAATGCGCTTGCCCATTATCTATTGCAAAGTCCATATGGGGCGGGAGAGTTTGTTGGAAGCGAGACTAACACGAAGACAGCTCTCCAAGCTGATGATCCCGCTGGAGCCGATGGGGAAGTGATTTCGTTCCGTCCAGGAATTGTCCATCGACTGGATAAGGGAACCACTGGAATCTTGGTGGTTGCCAAGACGACACAATCCTTGGGAACCTTGTCGGAAGCCTTTGCTGCACGAACTGTAAAGAAGACCTATCTAGCTGTCACTGTGGGAAATCCTGGAAAGAGGGTAGCCATTGACAAACCAATTGGAAGACATCCAATTCATCGGCAACGAATGCGAGTTGTTCCTGATCCTCACCGACGAGACTCGAGTGGCATTGCACCCAAAGATCGATTGACAGGTCCCAAGCAAAAGGGACGACGTGCTCTATCTTATGTTGACACTTTGGCGTTTGATGGAAAGCTTAGCGTCGCACAAGTGCGCATTGAAACAGGAAGAACGCATCAAATTCGTGTCCATTTGCAAGACCGACACACACCCATCTATGGCGACGACGTTTATGGCATCGAAGCTTGGAACAAGCAGCTGGTAAAGAAGCATGGGATCGCTAGACCGCTGCTGCACGCATACAAGTTGGAGTTGAGCCATCCCATCACAGGGGAGAAAATGGTATTCACCGCACCAATGGCAGAGGATATGAAGGGAATTGCATCAGTAATATGGCCAACTGGTGTGGAAGAATTTCCAGAGGTGTTCCAATAGACTTGACACAAAACTTGGAATAAAAATGTAAACACACTGCTCTAGCTTTCATATAATGTGGGAATGTCAGATCGACGGACATATTGAACCACATATGCATTTGCTGTTCTGCCTCCCCATCCAAAGACTGGACCTCTTCCGCCAAAAATTCTACGGACAAACCGAAATGGACCTTTCTTCCCTTGCGATTGCAATCTTCCATTGGCCCTTCCGCCACCGCCACCATAGGCATCGCTAATTACTTCTTGAAACGATACTTCCTCTACATCGTCGTCGTTGAATCGGTACCATATGTCACTATTTACATCTGGTCGGACATATGAATCTGTAGGAGCAACGGCGCAGTACAATGAGTATCAAACGACTTGGCAACGCGTCAAATTGAGAGTCCCTCTTTGCAACTTACAGTAGTGACCCGATCGATATTCGCCTACGTGGATGACCACGGACTGAAGGTCATAAATAGTTTGCTTCGCTTCCTCCCCTTCTACTCCGCACAACTTTGATAGATCAAGTACCTCTGGAAAGGCAAAACGGCTATTCAGTTTGCTCATCGTCTCCGTTTGCCAATCATAGTTGAAACGCTTCAAGTGACATTGCAAGATCGACGGCAACCCTTTGGCAATCAATGCGCAGCCCTTGTGCGCATCAACTTTATCAGCACCCTTTTCTGGTCTCCAACCATTCCCTTCAGCCTCGCTCAGCAATTCAGGTTCTCCAAAGGACTTTTCCATGGACTCCAAGAGTGACGAACTGTGGTAAATTATTTGTGAGGCTGCATGGCATCGGAGGAACGATCAGCGCACTACTGCTACAAACCTTGAGGCAATATCTAGAGAAATATCCAAAAAGAGTTCTTCCCTAACCTTTTCTCGTCCAGAACCATCAAGTGCGCGAATGTAATCCTTAAAGGAGCCTTTGTACAAATCTGACAACGATTCCACCTTCATGGCAGGAAGAAGTAATTTCCAAAACTCTTGAGAATCTTGCTGCTCCATAGTCGGGATTCCTAGCCGCATACAAAATGTTTTTGGTATGACTGAAGGAAGATTCCTTTCCGAGGCAATTGTCATCTCATGTATCAGCTCTTGCATGGCAACCAAGGCTTGATTGGGGTCTCGTCGAGCAATGTCATTTTTCTTTATTAAAATAGGATCTTTGACGTCTTCATTCTTCTTTTCTTCCTCGTCGTCACCGTTTTCAGTTTCAATCTCCGGCATTGGGTCTCCAGCCAAAGTTATTTGTCGGACAGCTGGAATGTGAAATGCACATTCCAACTGAGCATTCATGTAGCATGTGTTTCCCAAATTTTTTAAGCCAGTGGATATCAATGGAGCACCAGTAACTGTAATCGAAGATCCAGGTACAGTTCCAACAACTGCAATTAAGCCCACGGCTGTAACTCTCAGTTGCCTGACCATGTTGAAGTCTTTCATTTTTCTTGATAATTTGTGATGTGGAAGTTTGTGAACACGTACTGCCTTGAGGAAAGCGGCCAGACGCGACGCAAAATTGAGTACTATTTCAGTACTATTGCGAGATACTCTAGAAAAGAAACAGAACTTTGTACATATAACCAAAACTAAAAACTATGACTATCAGTTCAGCAGCGGAGAATCAGAGCTAGCACACGTTTCTCTTTGCCTAGTAGGAAGTGCATGCCCCTTGACTCGCCGTGCAATAGTCTTTCCATCAACAACACTACAAGCAATGATCCAACCTAATGATCGTCGTCGTCCAATTTCTTTTCCGCATCGATAATGTGCTTCCCATGAAACAAAGAGTGATCAATGTCGGCTCGAGTGATTTGTGTCTTGATGAATGGGAGGTATGCCGTTGCAAACAAACTACAAAGCGATGCCATGAGGATTGCTGGGATGCAAAATGGTTCTGCTGGTAGGAACGCCAAGATCAGTGTTGACGCCAAGGCCGTTCTGGTGATAGCAACATTGATTCCGGCTGCCATACACAGAATTGAAACTTGCAATGGAACGCTCTCGGGCAAGAACGGATGCAAGGCGCGCCCAAAGGCAGCCCCGGCACACATGAGTGGGAAAATGAAACCTCCACGCAATCCACCAGCAACTGTGAAACTAATGGCGACAAATTTGGCCAAACCAACCTGGAAGGCCTTGAATTGTGTGTCCATTTCGAATCCAATCAAACCAGCAGTAGGGTAAATGTTGGGTAGCTTGGATGCTAGATCCATATTTCCTACCACATCGATTTCTGCTTCTCCCCAGAACATGGTCTGTGGGTAGATGAGACCACAGAGAATGATGAGAATTCCCCCATACATTGCCCTTTGGACCGCTTTTTTATTGTCCATCAACCCGTTTCGAGAAAATAACCCCATAACCTTCCAGTGGAAGAGAGCGAAGACATAAGCTGCAAAGGCCCCAAACAAACCAATCAAGGCACCATAGAGTACCAAAGTTGGTTGGGATTCCATCATCCTTGGGTATTCTTCCGATGTGAAATCCCAAATTGGCTCAATGGTCAAACCCGACATCCCACGAAACACCACCAAACAGATTTCGCCACAAAAGATGGCTTCCACCAAATGCTCAAAGTATTCCACTCCAAACCGGGAGCAGACCTCTAGTGCAAAGATACTTCCGCCCAAGGGGGCTCCGAAAAAGGCAGCCAAGGCACCAGCCATTCCCATCAAAGTGTGCTTCCTCACCACATCAATATGATTTTGTCGAAAGAGCTTGCGTGAGATGAATCCACCGATGGCACCACTGAAGCAAAGAAGCGAAAATGGTGAGATATTGTCTTCGAAGCTATCAGTATAAAAAATTGACCGCCAAATCGAATACATACCAAATTGCGACCAATGGCGCTTCAGGACCACTGGCGTTGAGGATAGAAAAGGTGATACGAATGAGACAACAATGTGAAATGCATCGTTCACCAAGTAACACTATCTACTTACAGCGATCCTCCCGCCAAGATGGAAAATAGAGAGGCAAACACCATGGGCAAGACGTGATCCATTGGAATGTACGCAAAGTGATGCACCCGACCCACTGTATATGGCAAATCTCCTGGTTCCCCCATGTACACCACTGTCAATCCTACGCAGACGCACATGATACCCGACACCAGTGGGATCCAGATCCACTGGCCTGTCGACCAACCGCCAATCAACTTTTCGGGAAGGGTTTCCCAAAGCAATCCCATGAAAAAGAAGAGCACCGTGTAGTATGCCCAACAGGCGATACCGCACACAATTCCTGTAGAAAATAAGATAAGATAGCATGGCGACAATGAGACAACATCGTAGTCACAAAGAAAAGTTATCATTCGGCATCAGCACCAACTGAAACTTACCAACAACAACGGCAACGACAATACTCTGAGGAATGGTTCCAATTGCCAATGATTTAGCATCCTCGAAAAAGCTATGCTTGACCTTTTCCAAAAAGTTGACTGCCGATTGACTCCTGTGTTGATACATGGTCGATGCGTAGGATTGAGGTTTCGCTCCTTCCGACTTGTTCAGATCTGCCGTCTTGCGCAGTGAGGCGTTGACCTTCTCGGAAGTCACCTTTTCCATTTCGTTGTATAGAATTTGGGTGGATCCCACCAGCTTGGACATGTCCTCGGCAACTTCTCGCACATCTGGATCGTTGTGGGTCGTTCGCACCATGTCGGCGACGCTGTGGGATTCTCTGGAAAAGTCTCCGGCATCACCAGTGCGGGAGCTCTGCGTCAAGTACCCCAATCGATGGATCGAGTCTTCAGCAACTTCATCAGTCGCATTGCTGCTCAGGAGGGAGGTTCCCTCATTAGGGGTTGTTTCATCAAGTGTCATTTTGATGCCTATCGTTTTTTAGTGTTATTTTTGTGTGTTTTATGGTGATGCCGGTTTGGTGATGATTTATGATGGCTGCAAGATCTGTATCTTCCAGAAGTTGTGAACGTGACGTCAACTTCTTCCGACTTCTTCTCAGTAGAGTTTCAACCCGTTTTGAGTCCCCTGATTTATTTGCCCCTAACCCAAAGCTTTTCGATTCGGACGACCCAAACAACAGTTATGACGATGATGCATCATCGATCATCATTGGAAGCAGCTTCCAAACCGGCAAATTCCAAGACAAGACAAGTAATCATGGGCGAAAACGATGTGGCAATTCAAATGGTAGCCATCCTGGGTACCATGTTGGCTATTATTGGAGGCTTGATCACAATCCAGACTCCCGAAAAGAGCGTCGGAAGTTATTTGCCCTCTTCCTCCACCCAACCTTCCAAAAGAGCCTACGAACAATTCGTTTTGGCGTACACCCCCATTTGGATGTTTTCATTTGTCTGCATTGTCGCCTTTGGATGGTACGAAACCTTTGATGAATGGTCCTATCTGAGGGTATGTATTGGACTGGCAATGCCCTTTTTGTTGCAACCCATCGTGTTGCCTTCTGCTGGATGCGATTCTCCAGATGCCAAACGGCCACTATTCGAACGGTATTCCTTCAAGGCCAATCTGTGGATTCTCGTTTATTCCTTCATTGGAAACTACTGGTACACGCATTGTAAGTGAAGTGAAAAGTGAAGTGAACTGGAAATGGGCTATTATGGTTGAAATTCCACATACTCACTTGCCTTCCATTGGGTTTTCGTGCTTTCTTCTGTCAATATGATATGGCATGATATCCTATATCATCGATCTTTTCGACGACAGACTTTTACTCCGTTCTCAAGGCCAAATACACCATGCCGGCTCACAGACTCAACAATGTTCCAATTGCCCTGTACTTTGCAACCCACTTTTACTTTAGCAGTTACCATGCCTTTTCCAACCTCATGCTGCGCAAGGTGGTAACAAGCTATCAAAAGGGTTTCTTGCGTTCCCTTTTATTTGTTTCAGTAGTCTTGTGCTTTTCCTACTTTACTGCTTTTATGGAAACCTTGACCATTTCGGCGTATCCCGACTATTCCTTTGAAGATCAAGACATGGCCTATACTGTGGGGTCAGCCTTTTATGGTATCTACTTTATTGTCAGTTTCCCTGCCTTTTTTCTGTTTGATGATGAGGTGGATGCTGAGAAGAATAATGCTGCTGCAAGAAAAGTCACTCTCTATGACTCCTTTTTGTCGAGCTGTGGACATGGAATGATGATAATGATATTATTGGACTTTGTTCGATTGTATCTGGACATTCCATTGGTTGTGGGAAAGCTGTGATGATCGTCATGCAGAGATTGCTGTGATTCATCACTGTCGAATCACACAATTGATTAAATATCTCGATCGCCTCACTTGAAATTTCGTAGCATGGGTTGCGTTGTTGCCATGATGCTAAATCCTCTTGAACCACAATATTCCTTCAATTTTCATTATTTGCTTGTTCGGCAGCAATCTGATTTTCAATCAATCGTTGTATTTCGACCATTTCTTGTTCCGTTTCAGCGCCTTGCATTCCCAGAGCCATTGCAGCTTCTCGTTGCCGTTGTCGATCTCGTCGTTGTTCGAGGTTCCGCCGTCTGGCTTTTTTTCCAGACCTTCGGGCCTGGTTGTTTCTTGGTTGTGCATCAGCCTGGTCATCTTGCTCGCCATTATCATCATCGTCATTATTATTATTATTATTATTATTGTTGTTCCTTTGCGGCTCAATTCGTGGAGCTGCTGCCCGGTGTTGTTGTCGTCGTCGTGCCATTGGAGGAGGAGCATTGTCGTCCGCTACTCCCACAGGCAAGGCTGCACCTGGACCCATCCCCACATGCTGGGCCAGCAAGGCTTCGGCATCCACAGATCCCAGCAATCGTTCAAAGCCCCGATTGAATACCGAATAAGCCGACAAGCCTTCTCGGTTTTCATCATTATCACTCAATCCAATGGTGAAAATACCAATGAGCGCCGTAAACATGAGCACCATGGGACCAGCTTCCAGAAATTCATGGATCCATCGGACGGCAAAATAGTAGGCAACCACACCCAAGCAACCAAGTTTCCGTTGCCACAGAAACTTTGCCAAGGCCAAAAGGACGCCAGGAAGGTAGGAGATGATTCCTCGCAGTATCTGTCGGACAATCTTAAACGTGGTTTTCACCATTCGCAACCAATTCACATGAGAAAATCGAATGGGCTGAAGTTCGTAGAGGATGGCACATACTGTGGCATATAATCTTGAAGATGTAGTGTGATCTATTCGCTTGGTTTCGTCCCACAGGGCTCGTGATCTTCGAAATCCGGCGGGCATAACGAGATTGTTGTGTTGTCGTTGTTGATGATTATGATTATGATAATTTTGCTCCGTTGGTTTTGTTGCTTTGGGATAGATATCAATGAAGCCTAGAAACTAAACTTCTTTATGTGCTTCCTTTCAAACGGTTTTTGTAATGATGAGAATGCTAAGTCGTAAGCGGCGATGAATGCCATGGCTGACTGGAATTCAGAATAAGTTACGTGTTTTCGTTTTTCCAGATGACATGTCCGTACGTCATCCGCGATTCAATCCAAATCCAAAACATCAAAATGCGGTGTCATCAGATATATGCATCACAAAATTATTCAGAAAAGTGTACCAATCATGAGAACAGATTTTGCTCCCTTTTTAGCATGGAGCCAAGCCAAGGGCATCATCACTCCACTGGAACTGGTGAGCAGTGGATCCTATCGAAAAATGGTCTTACCAAGTGACGAATCCAAGCTCCTGAGTCAATCGAAATCGGAAGGATTGGTCCAACTGATACAGGCTCCGTTGGATGCCTGTATGGTAGGAGAAGATTTTGAGACTTTGGTCGACAAGCTGATTTTTGAAAAGAAGCAAGGAAGTGATTCGGATTATGCGCCTTGGTTGGATCAATTTCCAACGGTGGAAGATTTCTCGGGCATGCCACGATTTTGGACCCAAGAGCGTCGAGATTGGGTCAAACAATTTGATGGGGGTCAATTGGAAACACGAATGGATCGGGACAAGCTGCGGTTCGACAAGGTGGACGATCAATGGGCTCTTGCCTGTGTGGATTCCCGATCGAATTTTCTTCCCGATAATACCTATTCCATGACGCCAGTCTTAGATATGCTCAACCATGATGCCAGAGTCAAAACATCCGCAAGAGTGGATGGAGCCGATCGATTGCTGTTGGAGGCCACATCGGATACCATTTATCTGACGGGCCAAGATGGAAAGGAAGAAGATTCGGGCAATGACTGGAAGTCTCAACTCTTTGGAGGATTCTTTGCTGGTGGTAACAATGAGGGAAGCACACCTTCGTTTCGAGCCGGCGAAGAAGTCTTTGTTTCGTATGGTAACTTTGACAATCTAGAGACGCTTTGCAACTATGGTTTTGTGGCCGAAGACAATGTGGCCAATATTGAAAGCTTTCGAGTACGAGTAATGGGGAAAGCACCAGCCTACTTGGTCATTGAAAAGGATGGTTCCATTGACAATCTGTTCAACATGATCAGCCTTACTGATTTGCGAGTAAACCTCTTGGTGGAAAGCGAAATAGAGCTGCTCAAGGAGTATAATGGGGACGGCATAATATCAGAACGCAACGAACTGGAAACCTGGGCCGTCATTTCTGGAGAATTGGACGAGGCTGCCTATGAGGCCAAGACTGGTATCCAAGAAGCGGAGGCAAAGAACGATACGATGGTTGCTAGCTACTTGAGAGGAAGATACAATACGCTACAAAAGGGACTTGACAAGCTCAAGGTAGATTACCCTGATCTATTTTAAGATTAACGATGCTTTGAACATGCTTGGAATTATTATTGCAATACTGCTATTGTCGGTTCGTAGCCGTTTCTCAGATATACTACCAGCACGATATACTTCAGAACCTATCGCCGACTGTTCCTTCCCTTTTTCTTTCCCCTTCGTTTGGAAGCATTGTTGGGTGCAGTGGCAGTTGTCGTACCAAAGATTTGGGCCTCTTGCAATTCGGCACTCCGCGAAAACTGTTGCATCATGCGGAGGTTTGCAGTGAGATCACTCACTTGTTGTTCCAAATCTTCTACTTGAAACTTTCCCTTTTCGGCTTCTTCTTTGGCCTCCTTTTCAATCTCTTTTAACATTTCTTTGGCCTCCTGCTGCTCACGCAACAATCGTTGGGAGGCATTTCGTTGCGATGCTTCTTGTTCTTTCGATTGAACATAGTCTTGACCCATGCTATCAATCGACCCCCTCAACTTCTTAATCTCGGCCTTAAGTTCCTCAATTTGTCGCTGTTCTTCTTTGGATAGAGTTGACATATCGATATTCTCCCCAGTAAATTCGGCTCGCAAGCGTGTGATCTCCCCCTCGTAGAATTGTGCTTGATCTTCCAGTGCACTTTGCAATAGAACTTCATATTCTTCCCCAATGATGGTTGCTTTCTTTGGCATTTTTTCCACCTCGACATGTCCCCTTTGTTGTTGTGAAGCCGCTGCCGCGGATGCATGTGCATCAAATCCTTGCGGCCGTGATATCCATGGATGGCAAAGAATGGGCGACGATGGACAATCCAACAAGTCTACCCGATGAACAAAACCACCATACTCTCCATGCGTGTAATCCCATATTCGCAAAGTGGCCAGTTCCAATGCAAATGGATGGTTGGTCTTTTGAAAGTGATCGACGGAATGCTTGTTGGTGTAGCGACCACATCCGACAAAGCTGCACGTCAAACAAACCCAGAGTGTCTTGTGCATCCCACACCCTCCACAAAACAAGTCATTGGATTCATCATGGCGATGATGGTATCCATTTTGAAACCAATAGTTTTGAATGACAAGACAAACTTTGCACTTGGCCGGCAATGGCCAAGGATCCAAATACGCTTGTCGATGACAGTTGGGTTTGTATTGAGAATTGGCCGAGTCAAAATCAGGTAGGGAACAATAGCTGGAACAAAGTTGTTCGATTCGCGGTCTCGGTAAACCCAATCGATTAGCATCAATTCGATGCAAGCACACGGGACATGAGGGAATCAGGAGCGCTTGGTTCTCTGGCTCGGCCAGCTTTTCTTCTTCCACTCCTTCGATTGGATTTGATTTCGAAGTGAATTGTATGGATGCAATAGGTAAAATTTTGAGTACGGCTGTTTTGTTGGACGCCATCGATTCTCCATTTGCGATTTCTAAGACATCTGTCATGGTGATATCCATGATCTCCAGCAATAAAATTGAGGAAGGTGCATTGATGTGGTCGAATTTTGTCGAGTGTAGTATTATCCCTCGTATTCTGGCGCTTATCAAGGATGAATGAACAGAAGGTAAGAGTGCTTCAGCTATTTGCCTGGTGTGCTCGTCTGGAATCCAATAACAAGATCCCCCATTGTGTGGGTTCCGAGTGGCAGTGGTTGTGGTGTAAATTTGTAGAAGATTGTCAACCAGGGAAGGTGGTACAAAGACAGCTGCAATGGATGATGATGCAGTAACTTGAGGATTGATGGATAATTCCACAGCAGATGCAATGGCGACGAAACAGTCCATGCTGTGATCATTGCCTTCATCGTCGTTCTTCTCGTCAGAACTGGGAAGGGAATCACTTGGTTTGAAATCATGAGAGATTCTGTTGAGACTCTCTTCTGTTTGTTGTTCATCTTCCCCTCCATTGTCGATGGTGACCTTCAATGAAAGTTCGGGCATTGTGGAGGTCTTCTTTCTGCGTGTTACATTCCAGTTCCTCCTAGGTACTTTGTGAGTTGTTGTGGTGCGATGACTGATTTCGTTTTATATGTCATCGATTTGAATCTGTCGTCATCTTCGGAAGAGACGTTCTGAAAGTCGAAGTTGGTCTACGTCGGGATAGTACGAAGAATGTACGAGGAAACTTTGAAGGTAGTCGAAGAGTTCGACTCAATTTTCAACAAACGCGACGCGACACGATTATAAAAGTGTATGGAGATACAATCTCACCATGCCCCAGTCTTTAGATGAAGAAGAAGACCCTGAGAAGAAGCTAAATGTCCGTCTTTCATCCTTCACAGCAGCTGAATATGGCGACATGTACTCTATACAAAAAACAGGAGCCTCCGTCGTTAACAAGATTGATCCTTATGGCAATACTCCTCTTCATTTGGCCGCCCAACACGATCATGTAGCTGTTGTGGCTATGCTCCTGGAATTGGGATGTCCCGCAGATTCCCAACAAAGTGGGGCTACCCCTTTGCACAGGGCATGTTTTTCTGGGGCCGTCTCCAGCATGGGATTATTGCTGCAACAAAATGCAGATTTATTGGCCAAAGATGTCAGTTTCAATGATCAAATGACGCCTCTTCACAAGGCGGCAGCTGGTGGTCGGTATTTGGCAGTGCAACTATTATTACAAACCCTTCGTTCCCGAGGAGATAGCAGTGACGGACGATCAATGTTGGCGGCAGCTCTGGAAGTAAAAGACAGTGCAGGTCGAACACCTTTGGATATAGCCAAGGAGTTTAGTTTGGTTCAAGAAACGGAAAAGGACTCGGTGGCACGATGGGATCAAGTGGCGGGGGGTGAGGCTGATTGGGTGAAGTGTTCTAGACTCTTGACAGCTGCGACGCAAAGTTTGAATGGTATCTCCTCCCAATCGCAGACTTCTTCTCTGGCCTACAAACTGCCGGCCGAGATATCTCGATTGCGACAGGGTTGCGTCAGTTCCTTTGATGGCGAAGAAGTGAATATCAAGTCAGTGACGCTGCCGCTTCAAACACGATTTCAATCGGTCATTCAGCACTCCTTGGACGACGTTTCCTCGTCGGGTTCTCCACGAAGTTTGACATCGCAAAACAATGCCATCAATACCATCACATCTTCATCGACTTCGCCAGCAGCAACAGGAATCGATCATACTACGACTGTCAGCAGCAGTATTCCAGTGTCATCATCAATACAAGAAAACAACGAAACACCTGTGGGGATGAAATGTTCTGCCTGTGGAAAAGTAACAGTCGCACTGTATCCAACAAAACAAGGGAAACTAGCATGCAAGGCCTGCAAACGGGCCTCGGGTTTTAAATTTTAAGATAAAAAGAATGGCGCAAATCGAATGGCACGCTTAAATGCAAATGTCTCTGGGCAGAATTACCGGTACCGGAGTGGAATGAATGTTTCGAATGATAACCCTCCAGCAAATATTCAAAATACTCCTGGCGACACTCTACCGGTAGGCATCTGGTCAGACCAATATCAATCATGCACTTCATGATGATCTCTGGTCGGGTTTACTTTGGGCACACAAGCTGAAGAAGGAAAATGTAACATTTTCGGTTCAACAGAATTACACTTTGAACAGGAAGACAGTTGGATAAAGATGTTTGGCTTGTCCAAAGTCTTCAATCAAAAAAGGTCATTTTGTGACCGTCATGGGGAATTTCAGATTTCCAAATGCAACGAAAGTAAAAAGAGGCGGAAGAAACAAAAGAGACGGAAGAAACAAAAGAGACGGGAAAGATGCAAGGTTTTCTGGAGAGCGTCTAGCGCCAGTGTTGCTAAGAGCTCTGTGATGTAGTCACGCTCCATCGTGTGGAGTGTTCTTGAAAAAGAACCCCACCTTTGGCATCCTGATTTTCACAACAACGACGACAAGTAAATCATTCACATATCTTTCAATGAATCTGTTTTCAAAATAAGGAAACAACAACAGGAATTCTAGTATTACGAAAGGGTAGTAGACAGTCACAATCAAGTAATAGCATGACATCAGCAATCGAGTCATGTGGAGGTATGAGGTCAGTTTGATCAGGCAGAGGAGCGCTCTTCTACAGCCTTGGCCAATTCCAAAAAGGCAGCCTTCAACTGTTGTTCCGTCATTTTGCGAGCTGACTTCGGTCGACAGCATCTAGTGATGCAGTTTAGCTTGCTCCGTCGTTCATTGTGGATCACAACCTCTTCAAAGGCATTTTTATAACTCGTGACCGCCAATTGTTGAAACTGTTCTCGAGTCGAATTCAGGAACGGCCGGGAACGGCGGTCGTATTGGTCGGCCATCTTATATGCGGAAGACTGAAAAAGGAATCTTAGTCGCCGAATGACATTCCGACGAAGAGTCCGATTCCCGTTGAAATTTTGTAGAAATATTAAATGTAATTCCCCTTCGCAAGAGTGCTTCGAAGAAGAATAAAATGTTCGTGAGACACATTCCCCTGGCATTAAAAGTTTTTAAAATGTGAATTATCAGACCACTTTTTAGTGAATGCTGACCGGAACGGTCGCTAGGACGAGACAGTCGAGCCGTGGACAAGTGGTCCACGAGCCAGTCGAGCCGTGGACCAGTGGTCCACGA